AAAAAATTGTACACGAGTATGTTGAGGTGTTATTGAATATGCTTGCTTACATTCAAAGAAGGAATTATATACTTGTGGGGAGCGTCCATTTTTGTTTCTGTAGCCACGTTGGTCTATGTCGCAAGTTTACCATGTTACCCCTCCTAGGAACCTCGTGTCCTGTCCCATTTTCATGATTTGATCGTCAAACACATGTTTGGTTGTCTTCCATTCAATTTAAGCACTTAATTCCAATCTCATCACTACCATAATTGCCTGTAACGTGCACAAACTAACTCGTATGCCATTTCAAAGCATATTCTTAGAGCATCTTCAACTCATGTGTCAAATGTACCATATAGATATTTAATAGCTAGAAATAACATCTTATATCAGTCTAATCGATGTGTCAAAACTGATGTGGAATAAATGCTAGAGGTTGAGATATTATTTTTGACATCCCAAAAGCAAGATGTCAAATGAATATTTTATTATTTTTTACAAACAGCTGGCTATTACTTTCATTTATTATTTTCATTTATTATTATTTTCTTCTTTATCTTAAATAATTTGACTGTTACAATAATTATTTATTTGACATATCGGGTGGAGTGTAAAAGTATGTAAATGTCAAATTGCCACATCAGCCATCAAATTTAAATTTGATGTTTGATATTTGACATATCCCTTGGAGATGCTCTTACTTCACATATATTTGGTGGTTTTTATCATAACACAATAGGGTGGTTAAGAATATTTATTATTTAATGTCGAGTGTCGCAAATATTATCTTTTTTGATATCGCAACGGCTTATAATTTGTATATTTTATGTTTATATTATGATTGTGTTTAAATTTGCGTTAATCGTATTTCTAATATAAATTGTAACCCAAAACCAATAAAGAAAAGAAAGAAAAAAACATATTTTGTATAAGAGAAAATTCTCCACTATTATAATGAGAATAAAAGGCTAGTAGTGATAAGCTCGAGATTAATATATACGAAAGGATTAACATAAAGTATATCCCGTGACGCATGTGTACTGACCTCATTGTGTCCCAATCAATTGTGCAAACAAAGTTAAGCTAAATGATTAAGCACTTGATTTCAAAATTAATTTTAAGATTATATACTTATACGCATGCTTAATCAATAAGCAGGTCGTCCACGTGGTGCTTGCTGTCTCATCCAATGTCACCCTATGGACTCTCGTGGTGGATGATGTTCAGAAAGGACTGGCAAATGGAGTTAAAAGACGTGCCAAATTCTTCCGATTTGATTGCAAATATATGCAAAACACGACAATAACATAATAACTCATGTTTTGTTTTGATTAAGACTTGTTGTTTATCACATTCAGAGGATTTTAATTTTGCAAATGTCAGAGAGGGATTATGTGTAAAGTCAAAAACATCAGCTTGTTGCCAAGTAAAGGCACTAGAAACATGCGTTGAAAGTGAAAGGGTAGTGTTGTCCTTTGGTTAAAAGAATATTAGGGTTTGCATCTTTATGGGTACAAAGCTTGCTTAGCAAAAATCTAGCCTAGATTGAAGAATATTTGTACATGTGTAGTGCTTATTTAGGACGAATTTTTACTTGTTCAACAGAAACAAATTCAACTATTGTGATAAATATATGCCTTTAAGAATAAAAGTGAATCTGTCAAATCAACGGTTCTACAAGTGTTTTTGAAAAATAAATATTATGTTACTAAAATAGTAAAAATGATAAGGACAAATCTTAAATTGAACCTCAATTAGCGATGAAATTATGATTAAAATATGAGGCTTTGGTTAAGTGAAGAAATGAGTGGACTGAGGTTAGAGTTTAGGTTAATTCCAAATCCCCCATGTGGTCCGTCCTCAGCCCCAACCTATAATTTTGGCTCCATCTTAATTTTGTGTGACAATTTAACAATTATGGAGTGATTAAGTGATTTATCAGGAACATTGAAACGATACAAATCAATATCAATATGTACAGAGCTAAACAGGAGTTACATTGAGCACGTCAATCAACATCAAAGAGCTATGAAAAGGGAAAATTGTCTCAATTTCTAAGCCTTGTAGTACCTGGAAGGTCCATCAAATATCCACGAGCCAAAGCCAAGCTTTTGAACTCGTTTGGTTGGAAACTAAATACAAGTGTACCATGATTGATGTTTTTTTTATAGCCAGCACGACACGTGAAACAGGTTGGGGTGATCAGTACACTCCCCCAAAATCTGATCAAAATTTTGATTGACATGACAGTGCCTTGTTACGTGGCTTGCATTTGGGAAAAGTTGGCCCGAATTCCAGGTGAAATAAGGTCTTCAAGCTGTGTATGTGAAGGGACGTGATCCCAGGAAGACTGATTTTGTTAACCAAATGCAACAATGTCTGATTGAAGTTTTAATTAAAATCTTCGCTTATGAGTTACGACTCTCAAAATCTTAGTGCTGGCTCTAATATTGACACACACATACATTAGTGAATGCATTCGGTGACAGCATGTAAATATGTGACGCTAGCATTATCGTTCCATGTAAATTAAAAATAGCAACAAAAAAAAAGGGTGTAAAAATCCTGTAATATTATTGCTGTCTAGGGTTTAGATGTATTGTGGTGGAGGTACGTGGGGTCATAGCTCTTCTGGATTGCAATGCAACGAGGTCGTTTTGCTGCATGTAAGCTGAGAGAGCCGTCCATAAATAAACCACGAACAGGTATTAATTCGAATAAAAAGGCATTGGGGTCTACAAGAATCAAGCTGAAGTAGACATAGATAAGTGCCCTCCTTGTTCACTCACTCACTCTGTCCCTCTCTCTCTCTCCATACAAAGAAAGAAAGGAGAAAGGTTGACCTACAAGTCTCTTTCAATTTTATACACATACACACAACATTTATAATAACTTTGCCATCACCTTTTCCATGCCCAGCTTTTTCTCCATTGCTTTTTGTGCATCACACACCGAAAGAAAGAGAAACTTGGCCCAGCTAGCTCGTATATGTATTAAAAATAAAAAAAATAAAAACATTCCCAACCATTAGGGTCTCATTCTGCAGTCCCTACACTGTGGGGTTCATGCATAAAACCAACTCCGAGTGTGATAATTTATAAAGTGGAAGAAAAGAAAAAATATTACAAAATTTTTCACTCGTACAGTGCTTCACATGTTTCTGGAACATTTAAAAATAAAAAAAAGAAGATGCCTATGAGTCATATTGCACTACCCCAATGCCTGCTGTTGTGTGTCCTTCATTTCTTAGTGTATTTTGACTAATTAACAAAGTGAAAGTTGAGATGTCATTGGTGCTAAATGCGAACAATTATAGGTTTGCTTAATTTTCTGACCAACACCAATTCATCTGAATATATTGGTGAAACGTCGAGGAAGGCCCAAGTTCAAATCTTATGTTAGAAATTTTGACAGCAGAAAAGTGCTTAGTGTACTATTAATTTTTTGAGTTGATGCGTTTGTGCAGGTCAGTGATGACGTTATCACACATCACCATGTTGAAGGATTTTCTTGAAGCCGTTTGGGGCCAAAAACCTGGATGATTGCCTATAACAAAGGAGTCTGTCGACTTATATGTGGCAACAAAGCAGATTATGGTGTTGGTTTCATTGACTATTGACATCATTTGATTTGAACCCGTTCTTTGCATAATATGCATCGGAAGTAAATAATAGCAAATATAACAAGTAGAAAAAAAGAAAAAAGAAAACGCCAAGGGATCCACATTTCATTCAAAAAACCTTATTTGTATTGGGGATGTCACTGTTTTGTTATTCCTGATCAATAACATAATAACACGTGAAAAAATTATCCTACATATTAGAGTATTTGTGGTTTTAAATTCGAACCTATGACACATTCCTTTCTCCCTTTCAAACTTTGATAAAAGGAAAAAAGAAATAATAAAACACAACTCCTGGGCTCTTGTGTGTATACAATTTGTTGGGCCAAATTAAAAGGCCTGACTTTTTCATTTATTAAAAAACATAATTTGGGTTCAATGGCCAGCAAGTGGGCCACACATCCGTCAGGCCCGCCTAGCCTTGTATTCGGTCATACGGCATTATACTGCTGCCCAATTGTAACCTGACCGAACCCAGTCTCTAGATCCCATCCCCTTTTTCAGTTCTTCGTCTCCTCCGACTAGGAATTGGAACATTCAGAGCCTATTTGGTATTGGATTTGAATCTAATTTTATAAACTGAAAAACAGATTTTAAGTTCAAAATAAAAAAAACCCGTTTGGTAGGTCATTTTTAAAAATTCAAAAACACGAACAAATTAGAAAATATAAAAAGTCTATTTTTTTTCCTACTCATCGCTTGAGCAATGTTTGCTCTAAGCTCATTCTGGTTGAGCTCAAGCTTCAAGTCTCCATAGCAGAAACTTGAAGCTCTCTTGCTCTCTCTCTCTCTCTCCATCTCTCTCTTTATCTCTCTCTCTCATCTAGTGACGGATTCAGGATTCTCGATCCAAGGGGTCATAGGGTAAAAGTGTTGAAATTTTTTTTATAAAAAAAAACACTAAAAAGCATAAAGATAGAACATTTATTTAATTCTCAAAAAATTAGGATATGAGTACACCACGTATGCGAAAATTAAAATAATATATTTATTAATTTTTATAAATTACTATTGTACTAATATATTAGTTAAATATATCAATGGGTATAGACTAAAAGGTTTTATTAAAAAGCATTTGGGCCAAACTTTTTAAAAAGACCTACAAGTTATTAATAAAAATTTGGGCCAGACTTATACATGGCCCAGACTTAAAAAAAAAACCTACAAGTAGTGAAACGGTGAGTTTCAACTTAAATGAGGCATAAGCTAGGGCAAATCACCAACCTCATCTTCTTCACTGCCTCTGCAACCCAAAAAAAATTCAAGTCGTGGTGCTGCCAGAGGAGAGCAGCTGCGTCTGGAAGAAGTTTAGAGAGCAGCGCAAGGCAAGCCCACAGGGGACTTTCATCGAGCACTTTACACACAAGGGGTCGCTGGTGGAGTCCACGGCTAGATTTTAGGCATCCAAGGGGTCGTGTGACCCCTCTTGTCTCAACGTGCGTCCGCCACTGCTTTCATCAGTAACTTTTAGGGCTGGGCATCTGAGCTTCGCCTCGCCGCCTCCTCTCGTCTCTGTGATTCCTTCAGTTGAAGTCTCGACATCACACGCCACCGAACAAGTGCGCATATTGGCTCGTCGTGAGCTGGAGTTGCTCATCTCCGATCGCTACAATCGGGTAATTTTTAGTTCCCCTTTTATCCTTGTTACTGAAGATTGGAGTTTATTTTACATTTGGGTTATGTTCGATTTATAGCTTATTTATATCTAATTCGATTTTATTTATATGAATTCTTGTGTGTAACCTGATTGATTATTTTTTCATAGAAAGTGATGAAATGCTTTTAGATTTTGACATTATGGATCCACTGTGTTTCCTATTCTGGTTATAGAATTCTTTGGTTTCAGTTTTTCAGTCCTTTTTTTCAGTTTTTTTAAATCTCATTTGAAGTCTCTAGTATTCAAAAGTCTGAATGATATTTGCTTAGTGATGCTATTCATGGGTTACTTGTAATTTCTGAGATCCTGCTTATGTTGAATTGTTCATTTGATGCTTCTCTGCAATTTTTTTCCATTGAAGGCTATTGAAAGTTGTTCTACTGTTATGAAAAATCAAGCTTTGAATAGAGTTTTCATGAGCTTGTCTAAATTGGGTTCTAAGTAGATTATGTTCTATGAAGGCTTGTTAGACAGAGTCTAAGAAGGAAATATGATAGTGCATACCTTTGAAAGATTTGATGATTGAATGATATTTTGCTTCATTGATTCATCTTCATATAGGAGGTATTTATTTTCAGACAAATTTTATTTTAGAGTACTGATAAACCACAGAATATAATGGAATTTATACATATCTTTTCTCCTTTTTCCGATAAATTTTAAGTTGGTTGATTTCCAATTGGTTGAGTTTCACTGCATTTTATGACATTCTTGTATAAATCCATGGATGAGTGTATGATGGTTTCTCTGTTTGTTTGAGTTTTTTTTGTTAAATTATTAACTGAAAATTGTTTTTTTTTTGTCAGCAGCGGCCATAAAAAGGGAAAAATTACCCCTCAAAACCCTAATTCGGCGACTTAGCTGCAATAGCCCAAGTAACAGTGATTGAACCGCTTCCTTGCTTTGGTTGCTTGTGTATATATGGCGGATTCAGGTGGAAATGCAGAACCTGGAGAAGGTATGTTTAGTATTATTTGGATTTAAAAAAAATCTGTTTCCATTGTATACACTGTAAGTTTGTGACATTGTTCTTTTCCATTTCTAGTTTGCAACTTCTTCCGGAAGCCATTAAAGAAGCAAAACATTAGAAAGCGAAGGGTTGATGAAGATGAGGAGGATGACGACTCAAAATCTGGGGGCACATCATTACCAAGTCAAAGAAAAGCCTCAAAGCTTGATGGCAAGTTGTATTTTTTTAGTGAACCTGCTAAGTGCTCTACTCCTGATAGTAGTGCAATCTTTGAGTTCAAGTCTTCAAAAGAAATCCAAGTTGAACATGATAGTGGAGCAACTGCGACTTTGGAGACTGAGACTGACTTCTCTAGAGATGCCCGAGCAGTTCGTGAGAGAGTTCTTAAGCAGGCAGAGGAAGCTTTGATGGGGAAGAGCAAAGTCACTGGGAACGACAAGTTGTATAAAGGGATCCATGGATATACTGATTACAAGGCTGGGTTCCGAAGAGAGCTAACGGTGGCCAGTGAGAAAGCGGGAGGTTCCCATGGGCCACTTAGGGCTTCTGCTCACATCAGAGCTACCACAAGATTTGATTACCAGCCAGACATCTGTAAGGATTACAAAGAGACTGGTTACTGTGGGTATGGAGATTCCTGCAAGTTTATGCATGATCGTGGAGACTACAAGTCTGGGTGGCAGATGGAAAGGGAGTGGGACGAAGCAGAGAAAATAAGGAAGAGAAATTTAGCTTTGGGTGAGGATGATGTGGACCAGACTGACGAAGATGACGAGGATGATGAGGATGGCTCATTGCCGTTTGCATGTTTCATCTGCCGCCAACCATTTGTTGATCCTGTTGTGACTAAATGCAACCACTACTTCTGCGAGCACTGCGCACTAAAGGTGAGTTCTCTTTCTTAATGTATCATCATCTTAACTCCTGTGGTTGCAATAACTCTTGTGGAATTCAATTGTCGTTTTAGACTTGCGAATCAAGTAGAATCAAGTCTTTTTGTTTCCATTTTGGGTTTCTTTCAAGCATTTTCTAACGTCAATCTGCGTTTTTCATTCACAGCATCATTCAAAGAACAAGAAGTGCTTTGTGTGCGAGAAGCCTACTCTTGGCATATTCAACACAGCTCATGAGATACGCAAAAGGATGGCTGCAGAGGGCAAATAACAGCCAGTACATTCACTTATTGAACTCATTGCTTTCGAGGCATGTGAGCAGTAACATTTCCACACTCCATGGTCAAGTTTTGAAGAGAAAGTTCACTTGTGATCCTTTCAAGGCATGTGAGCAGTAACATTTCCACACTCCATGGCAGAGCTAGATGAAATTCGTTTTATTTTGTTAATGTAAATCTGTTTTAATCTTTCTTTCTTTGGTGGTATATCAACGTTGCCCGTAGCAGGGCCTCAAGTTTTGCATCACCTGTGTAGCCCTTCTTTTCATCTTATGTAGATTATTGATTTATTAAATATGAACTTGCGTTCAATATGTTGGTAGCAATCATCAGTACAAAATAAATAAACAATAATAATTAATAAAATCCATTTGCTATTTCGAAATTGGTAAAATAACCTTTGATCATCCAAGATGAAAGAGTACATGAGGTTTGAGAGAAAACAAAATGAAGTTAACAAAAGTACAGAAGGTTTGGTATGGTTTGGTGGTGTAAAGAAAAAAGTTGTTGAACTGTCAAATTGAAATAAATCAATGGGTGTCGACATTTTTCAAGGAAGGTTTTTGAACTTTCAGGGCAGACAGTGATGCATAAGCTTCATCTGCCGCAGAATGAGTCCACAATGTCCTCATCTTTGTTGAAGGATTGTTTCTCTGACATGGACTCGTGCAATTACTATATTAGCCTCAAAATTTTCTACAAAATATGGAAAGAAAAAACAGTTTGAAGTTTGTAGGTATTATTTGCCTCATGCAAACAAGAAGCTCATCAGAAAACGCTGGTCATTGAGACGTTTTAAGTAAATATCAAGTAATATATCTAAACCAGATGTGGGTTAGGCTACTCGGCTCGGGTAATGAGTTCGCCTCCTTACACCTAAATTTGAGCATGATGAATATATATATTTTGAATCTCTTGGTAAAACAAAAGGGTACATTAGTAATTTGACTTTTTTTTGGGCATATATTATACTATATATTGTTAATCTGGTCCTCTAACATAACCAGTGATTGATGTAACATGAACACTCAAATCTAAGTTTAGCACCATCAGAGGGAGCAGCAGCTGAGCAAGCAAAAGAGTATGGCTAGATTTAAGGATGTCATGTCGACAGCCATGGCCGTAATATTTCTGAGGAAGAGCATTTACGTGTACGAGGAATTCGGGGTTTTGTTAATAGACTTCGTTTCTGTTGTAACATCCACCATCCAAGTTTCTGGTTTTTTTTTCCACAGAAGTACAAGGGTTTCTAATTCTACAGGCAGGACCTCTCCCATGTCTTCCATGTTAGCTCGACCCGATCGGTAGCTGCAATTCTCTTCAAAATTTTAATTCGTGAGTTTTTCAACTGTAAGTGGATCAATATTTTCCATTTTTTTTTTTTTAAAGATTCAAATGTTATTATTATGAGTTTGTTTTTGGCACACAGCTGAAATATGAATATTTATTTGGGTTGGATTGCATTGCATGCATTAATTTTTGTTTCCATATTTACTGATTCATGAACTTTTAGAAATCAACATGCATGCTAGCTTCTTGATGAAACCCAAGTAAAAAAGTTTAATGTACTGCTCAGTTGGAGAAATCAGAGTGGTAAATGTAAAAAAGTTTTCATATTTTTTGTTGAGTAAATTAAGAATATATTTAAGATTTGGGATGGCCAACATATATATGAAAAAAAGAAGTACAATTGGATCTACTGTTTGATTCAAATTTTCAATTGGAATTTGGACAATGCACATAAGTTACATGCTACAATTTTGTATTTATGTCGATGTATCAGTCCTGATTCATGAATTAGATATTTCGGCAGAAGTTATGCGTTTAGTACAATCACATTATTCAAGCACATTTTCTGTTTAAATTCGAAACTATTGCAACTAAAATCAAACAGCATTATATATACAAATGCAAAATTACTTCACATGTTTTAGACAAACTAATATAAAATATTCGCGTGAATTAAAGTTATTTTAAACCTCAATTGGTTATTGTAATACATTTAAAAAAAATGATAATTCTTGTATTGATTGTTGTGGAGGTATTGAACCCACTGTTTGAGTTCTATGTTGTTCCACCACACTAGAGTTTGAGCTTCAATGCCTCGTCCCCCACATTAGAATATCGTAATGACCTAAACTCTTATCAGCATTGAAATCAAGTGCTGAATCATACATCCCACATATTATCTAGGTCATTCGAATAGTAGTAATTTTCATTCATTAAGTTTGAATCTTACTGTACCTAAAATGATTGTAAATTTAATCAATAACTATGCAAATAAATTTTAATCTTTATTAGTAATAATCTTATGAACTGCATTTGGTGGTTGTTTTACGCTTTGTTATGGTATAATATGGGAGAGAGAACGAGCGAGTTATAAATTTCTTAAGAGCATCCCCATATTGGTATCATCCTGTGTTACCAATTTGGTTCTCTTTCATCTTCATCATTCCATGAGTGTGGAGATGGTGAAGTGAGCATTGGCAACAAGAGATTCCTCTGATTCCTCACAATCATCCTTGTATGTTGCCCTTAGAACCACATTCATAGTCTTTAGATAGTTGCAAGAGTCATGGTCATGTAAGATTGTACCTTCTGAACCATAAGCTGTAGGGTCACTGATGGTTTCTAGTGGATGTGGGGAATTCAAGAAGGCCCTCAAGACAGAGAACCCCAAATTGTGTTTTGTCCAAAACATAGAGGCCGCTCCCCAGAGGGAGCAGAGGGTGCAAAGGAGAGGAATGCTTCCTCCAATGCAATGGCCTGTAAATTGAAACTTCGCTTTCTCCCCATTTCTTTTCAAGTGGTCTAATTTTTCTGGCATGAATTGCTGGTATATTCCCTTTGCCGCTTCAAAGATTCCTATGTGAACAAGTACATTTGCCCCCTACACAAGGATATTATTAGCTAGGCATAGTTTATCCGTGCCTAATTTCTTATTTTCTTCCCTTTCAAGACAAGGGTTATGTATCTAATAAGACTAATCTCTATGCTTTACCTCAAATTTGGGGTTCGAATAAGAGGTATGCCTGCTAAGATGGATGGGAGTCTAGTCCCTTCAAGTCAAGAAGCATGTCATCCTTTCACCATTCCCTTTGCATTCCTGGATGAAAAACAGAAAGAGTAATGTGTCATGTGAACTCTGGTATACAAAGGCAGATTAGTTAATGACTCATTATAAATTACCTGCACCACAAAGCAACAGTAAAAGTACAATAGTCATCACAAATAAATCATTGAACAAACTTACGGCAATGGACTTTTATAGAACACCATAGTCAGCTGCTTGCTCCTTGTTTGCAACGGAAACATAGGCAGGACCTCTCCCATATCTTCTATGTTAGCTCGACCCGATCGGTAGCTACATTTCTCTTCAAAATTTAAATTCGTGAGTTTTTCAACTGTAAGTGGATCAATATGTTCCATTTTGGTGTTGAAGCTGTGAGCTTTGTTTATTTTGAAGTTTTAGATTCAAATACTATTATTGTCAGTTCGTATTTATATTATATGTATGGGTTTGTTTATTTAAATCTTTGCAACTTAATTATAACTTCTCTCACGTGTTTCATTATTTTTGTTGGATATTGCATTGCATGCATTCATTTTTGTTTATGATTGAACCAATTGGCTCCATTGCTGATTCATGAACTTTAGAAAATCAACATGCATGCTATGATAGCTCCTGGACGAAACCCCAATTCTGCACAAAGAGTACAACTGGTTGCATATTATTTGAGCACACTACAACCTTATATAGATGAAACTAGTTACTTGCTACTAGCACACCCAAGTAATAAATGTAAAAAGTTTTCATTTTTGTTGTTGTTGAGTAATCTAAGAGTATATTAAAGATTTGGGATGGCTAACATATGAAAGAAATAAGAATAATAAGTACTTTCATATATAAGAGAGTTCGATATATCCTTGTCTTTTTCTCAACCGGAATTTCCTCCTTTATTTTATGTTTGTTTATGGTGAGGTTTAATGAGGCCCACTCGTAGGGCTCTTAGGGCGGTCGGTTCACTTGTTGTTTGTTTTGTTTTTTTTTTTTTTTTTTTTTTTTTTTTTTTTTTTTTGGGTTGGGGGGGGTTAAAGTCAATAAGTCAAAGGTGTTTTGTGTTTTTTTTTTATGTTCCAATGTTTCTTTTCAATGATTTTCTTTCTCTCTTTAATAAAAAATAAAAAATAAAAAAAAACTCGAGGATGATGAATTTATGCTTCACCTATATAAAAAGTAGCTATAAATTTTTATGTAATTTGAAGAGTATTCATTATTTAAAACCTATTACTATATTTTCAGAATATTTTAGAACATCAATTACACTTGAGTTTTATGCTCCACAACCTAAGTCAAGGTCGAATTAGATTGGTTTTAAATAATTTGTTTGAGTTTCTACTTTGAGTTGTTCTGGTTATTTGGGCTTGCTTTGACTTGGATTCAAATCTCTCAATAAAATAACAATTCTTGATATGCGGTTGGAATGGTTTGTTTTTAGTAGGTTTTAATCCTTAAAAGCCGACAACAGATGGTACCATTTTGGATATTCTAGTTTTTCAAACATCTAATCCAATCCTATTGAACAAAAAGACAAAAAGGTTAAATTGGATCTACTAGTTTGTTTAAAATTTTCACTTGGAATTTTTGAAATTGCACATAGGTTACATGCTACAATTTTGTAGAACAAGTTTGCTATGTATGAGCCAAATCAACCAATTTATGTCATGTATCAGTCGTGAATTAGATATTTCAGCAGAAAATATGCTTCTAGTACGATCACATTATTCAAGCACATTTGCTGTTTAAATTTGAAACTACTGTAACTACCATAGCTCTTAATCAAACAACATTATATAAACTTGCAAAATGCAAAATCACTTCACATGGTTAAATTATGCTCATTTGGGACAAGTGATATGCTTAATATCTAAGCATGTATATTCATTTGTTCTGACCAACTACTATAAGATATTGGAGTCAATTAGTTATTTTGAAGGTCAAACAACATTAAAGTTATTTTGAATGTCAATTGGTTATTGTAATACATTTTCTTTTAAATTATAATTCTCCTATTGATTCTTGTGGAGGTTCAAGTATTGGTTGTTATAAACATCTTGAACATGTGATATAACATCTGTATTTGAACACACCATAAAGTTTGAGCTTCTATGGGGGAGCTGAACCCGCCATAAAGAGTAGTTTGTTCTCCAAGAAAATTGAACTTCCAAGAATCAAGCAACATGATTGGTCGTTTTTGGTTGCGGGTTTAGGAAATGTAAGACAATTATTTAAATCAAGTAATTTTATTATGTTGGAGGAGAATAAGAGTACACTATTTATATAGAATTCGGCTAATTGGTTTTTCCCAAAGTATTCTGAGATTGAACAAATTGGCATTACCTGTTTAACAATGACATCATTTTAATATTGCTAGCAATATCAAGATTAAATCTTATTGTAACGATTTTATTGATTAAATGATTGTAAATTTAATCAATAACTAATGTGAATAGATTAGAATCTATATTAATAATCTCATGAACCAGATTTGGTGGTTGTTTAACACGTAGAGAATCAGCGAGTCATAAATTTTCTTAAGAACATCCTCTACATTATACGTACAGAAATCGAAAGAAAAAAAAAAAAAAAAAAAAAAAAAAAAAAAAATTACCTATCAGTATCATTCCCGTGTTACCAATTTGGTTATCTACAAGTCACTTTTATCTTCATCATTCCATGAGTGTGGAGATGGTGAAGTAAGGATCGGCCACAAGAGATTCCTTTGCTTCCTCACTTTCCTCACAACCATCCTCGTGTGTTGCCTTAGAACCATATTCATAGCCTTTAGATAGTTGCAAGAGTCATGGTCCCGTAAGATTGTACCTTCTGAACCATAAGCTGCAGGGTCACTAAAGGTTTCTAGTGGATGTGGCGAATTCAAGAAGGCCCTCAAGACACCTGAAGAGGACCCACACTGTGTTTTGTTCAAAACATAGAGGGCACTCCCCGGAGGGAGCAGAGGGTGTGGAGGAGATGACTTTTCATCAGGTTGGAGAATGAACAGATTGCCCATTGGCGAGTACAAACGTTTCTGCACAAGAAAAAAAGACATTAGAAGCAGTGACAGCTCATGCTTTAAATCCAAATTAACCAAAATAAGTGTTTTTTGGATGTTTTATGAATTTTAGGGATGGTACTTACACTTTTAATTAGACAAGGGTGTGTTTGAAATGAACCTTTTAAACGCCTTAGGAGTGTAATCACTTGGTTATTGTAGTTGGAAGAGAAGGCTCTAGGGACAATATCTCTATGCATTATCACACAATGGATGTGATCACTCTCATCCAAACTCAGCTGCTCAAGTATTTTCGGCCCTTTGCAGAACACAAATGGTGAGCCGAACGTGACAACTGGCCGAAGAGTGGAGGGCTTGACAAGGTTCCTAGTTAGTAGCATCAAGTGGACTAGAAGAGCAATGCTTCCTCCAATGCAATGGCCTGTAAATTGAAACTTCGCTTGCTCCCCCTTTCTTTCTAAGTGGTCTAAAATTTCTGGCATGAATTGCTCGTACATTGCCTCTGCTGCTTCATAGATTCCTCTGTGAACAAGTACATTTGTCCCCTACACAAGGATGTTATTAGCTAGGCCTAGATTATCCATGGCTAATTTCTTATTTTCTTCCCTTTCAAAACAAGGGTTATGTATCTAATAACACTAATCTCTATGCTTTACCTCAAATTTAGTCGGTTCGAATAAGAGGTATGCCTGCCAAGATGCATGGGAGTCTAGTCCCTGCAAGTCAAGAATTGCACAAATATCTTCTTGGGTGAAAAACAACGAGATTAATGTGCCATGTGAATTCTACAAAGGCAGATCAGTTAATGACTTATTAGAAGTTACCTGAACCACAAAGCAGCGAGTAAAAGTACTAGAGTCATCACAAACAAACCATTCACATGGTGAGGAATGCTGGCCTGCTCGAAAGTCCTTCGTTGTTTCATGTTTTTCACTTTCGCTTGCTGCTACCACTACTGTCATTGTTGAAGCTTCCGTGTAAGCAGCTGCCTCGGCTTTCTTTTCGAATGAAGATGTTACAAATTGTAGGTCATAGTATCTCTTCAAAACATCGCCCTGCGCATTGTAGTGTGAAATTACTTCTCATGCTAGAAATACCTAAACTTTTGTCTGGCTATAAACTATAACTGTAAATCTATATATGCTAAAAACAGTCAAACATACCTTGATCTCTGGTATCACATAAACCATGTTGCACAAGAAAGCTAGTTTAGAAAATAGCTTGGTTTCAGACCATGGAACTCTAACCAAAAATCTTGAGAAAGATTCAGGATCATATGATTTGTATCCCATTTCTCCATTCTTTTCTTCTAAACTACAACCCTCTGCACAACAACCCTCCTCTCCATTATTGTTGTCTTCCTCCTCATTCTCAACCTGTTTTTGCTGCCATATATTCCTCCACTTACTTCTGAGTTCCACAAGCCTCTCCATCCAATTAGCTCTCTTTATCTCCTCTCCTTCATTACCAGTACTCTCCCCAGGCTTCTCCACCATATTCATGTTCATGTTCTTTTCCACCATGTCCATAGGCTTATACGGACCAAAAAAAATGAGCCAAGACAATTTGGGAGAATGGAACTTGAAATTTTAAAAGGGAAAATTTCTATGGAACGGCTGTTGTTTAGTTGTGTTGATGATGCGGCATGAATACGATTGGTGCATGAACAAAGATGGTTATGATCTGAACTAGACCTGCGGATACGAAGGTGGTCTTTGAAGATGGGGTTTGTTCTTTTGGTTGAGTTAGCAGGAGAGGTAGGAATTGATAATGAAGTGCATGCCATGGTTGTACAATACAGGAATTGAACAAACTTACGGCAATGGACTTTTATATATAGCATACTATAGTCAGCTACTTGCTCCTTGTTTGCAACGGAAACTTTAGGGAAAAACTACCGTTATATACAAGGCAAATTAGTAATTGCACCACCTTATACAAGTCAGCTATGGATAAAGATCATAAGGGATCACAAATCCAAAATAAAATATGATGTCAACGCTTTGGTTGTTGATTTCAATGGTTCCCCTTGGAGAGCCAGCCTTCACACAATTTTATCTAATTGTTTTTGGAGTTTCCATTTCATTTTCAAGTACAGCGGGAAGATGAACATATTTTAGTCCCAAGCTCGCATCAGTTTTGTTTCTTCTTCGGCCCTGATGCACCACGGTTGCCCCTTGGCCGGCGGAAAGGGTCAGGAAATTGTCTCAAATTTCAATATCAACATAGTTATCTAAGCTTGTATTTGCATAACTGAAATTGGATTTGAAAATACTATTCTCTTGACCACATCTCTAAAGAGAGTCATTCACTAGCATTATTCATTTTGGAAACCTGAATGTGCAAAGCTTGCATCAGAGTAAAAGTTTCAATCACAAGTTTTTTTTAAATAATTTCATTGTTTTTTTTTATTTTTAAATTTAAACGTTTTAATTTGATAGTAAATAAAAATCTCAAAAATTCGAAAATTGGTGAGGCAATTTACATAAGCTAAAATTGTAACATATGCATAATATTTAAACGGAGAGAGACACCCATAAAATATTTATAAGATCATAAGAAGTAAACATAGCAAGCGTATCTGCTGAGTGAGAGACAACGAGTTGTTGACCCTTCGTTTTCCAGGATCACAGTGAATTATTGAAGCACAAACCTATATATATTGATAATTTTTTTTTCTTCAAAAGATAACAGTACAACGGTGCTTAGACCAATTCGTGAACGATAATTAGACACCTTATGTACAATTAGACTTGAGGCTTCAAATCTTAGACATTGTGTAGTCCATTGCATCCACAAGAAAATCTGCAGCAAAAAGAAAAAAAGAAAAACGCAACCCAATTGGTACTAGAACTGGTAGGACAAAAAGAAGAAGAAGAAAGCTGGTTGAAAAAGAGCTATACCTGCATCATCCTTGGTGAAGCACAGGGGAGGTGTGATTCTGAAAACATTTCCATAGAAGCCGCCTTTGCCAACCAACACTCCCAAATCTAATAATAAAACCAAAAACAAAGCAAAGATGAATTAGTAGATCATATAACATTAAAGCACTGAGGGGGGGTTGAGAAGTTAACACAAAGTAACACACCTTTCATCTTTTCCATTATATGTACAGTTTCAGCCTTTGCAGGTGTCTTCAGCTCACGATCAGTGACTAGTTCAACTCCAAGCATTAATCCCCTTCCCCTCACATCCCCAATAACTGGGTAAGCAACGGTCACCAGAGGTTGAGATAAAGATACTTTGTGATAGATATTCTAACTCTAGAGCCAAATATTGCTTAATGCATAAACAGAAAAGCAGTAGTAAGAGAGTTTACGTTCATATTTATCCTTGAGGGCATTGAGTCTTTCTTTCAGATATGATCCCACGACGAAAGCATTATCCTGAAGCTTTTCTTTCTCAATCACTTTTAGAACAGCAAGTCCCGCGGCTGTACATACTGGATTCCCACCGAAGGTGTTGAAGTAATTGCGGCGAGTCAGGACCTCTGCAACCTCAGGAGTGGTTACAACAGCACCAAGAGGAATGCCATTTCCAATGCCCTGCAGAAGCCAGAGAAAGAACAAGTCAAACAAAGAAAAAGGGGCTTCTGATACCATACAGCTCAAATAAGTACAGGCAAGATATTATATTGCTTGGGGTGGAAGAAAAGAATGATGAGATTAAGTTGGTTAACCTTGGCCATTGTTACAATGTCAGGCACAACACCATGGCCCTCAAATCCCCAGAAGTTGCTTCCTGTGCGAGCAAAACCACACTGGACCTCATCAGCAATGAAAAGGCCTCCTGCTTTCTTCACACTTTTATAAACGGCTGGCAAGTAACCTTGCGCCAATTCTACAATTCCACCTACTCCCTGTTCCATAAATAAGAGGTTAAGAAGGGTATGGAAGGAGAGCATCAAGTAATAATAAAATGGTTAGTGATAATAATTTGAGTAAGAAGGAGATGACATACCTGTATGGCTTCACACATAAAACCAGCAACATGGCCTGAGGTTCCAAAGTCTATGAGATCTTGAACATCATTGGCATACTTCTCTCCATCTGCACCAAAAACTCCTCTGTATGGGTCCGGGTTTACGGCATGATGAACTCCACTCTGTAGGTCAAACCAACATAATTTGAATGTTAGCAAACTCCATACAATTGCAAGTCCTCCATTCATTGAGATATCTGGTGCAGGTAAAGCTTATCAATTTATTAGCAGTTAAGTAATACGTGCATAAGGTATTTTCTTGTTATGAATTAAGCGTCTCTGTGAAAATTCATTTCTAGTTATAATTGATATGCACCTCTTTACTTCTCATTCATGGAATTAGAATTGGACAAATGAAATGCAGTGGGTTTTCTACTCCTCCTCATTGCACGTCTCAGAAATAGAACTTCACTTAACTTGAGGTCTTAAAAAAAAAGCATCTAATATCTTTGTTGGAGAAGCAAAAGAGTTTTAAGAATGCACACCAACCTTGCGTATGTCTCCTTCTCTCACTTAATCTAACAAATTATGGAGTTTTGGTTTCAACACCTAACTTTCTCTTTGGACATCCTAATAAATTATTTTGGTGTGTCAATAATAGAGTCACGTTTTTCCTATTAAATCAGAATCCTATAAATGTGTGCCATATTACTATTTATTTATTTAACATGATATTAAATAAAATTTAAGTATGCGTCACGTTTTTCATTCACAAGTATGTACTTGAAAAACGATTTGCTTATGGGCGGTCCACTCTTTTCTCAGTATAGAAATTGACACCGAATGATCTAAGCCTGCCCCATCCCAAAATAAAATAATAATAATAATAGAGGAAAATATTTTATTTTTCATAAGGCATTGATTTGGACATCCTTATCGTTTGGCCCTATTAATTTATGTAGTAGTGGGTTCAATTTGGGTATGATTAAAGTATCCAATTCGGCTGACGTTAGGTGCTGTCCATTTATATCCCATCATATCTGATCATCAAAGAAAATACATTATTATTATTTTCAAGCTGTATTCCACAGGACCATGTGTAGATTCATAGAATGGAGCTACTAAATTAAATTGTCACAATCTTTAACCTCTCATCAATTAGCATCACTAATGGTGCTCTAATCAATTAATACAATTGACCAAGTTAAATTATATCTAAAACAAAAATAATGCCAGATATGAATTATGTGGAAGTTTTACTCTGGCTGCTATATTGTTATTGAATGACGTCAGTCTTTTGTAACTTTTTTTTGTTACTGATCTAATAAAATTCTATCGTATTTTTATAAAAAAAGATTAACTCTAGTTAACTTAACGTTTCAGCTAATTAAAACTTGTTTTATAAATAAATAAATTTCTTTCTTTATTAGAAAAAGAAAAATAGTGAGAGTGAAGTAGTAGAAAATTATATATATATAAAAGAAAATGACCTGGATGACATTGAATTTCCAGTTGCCCTGAGCGGTGGCCCCCATGGTGCCAGCTGCGTTGCCATGGTAAGCGTTTCTCAACGAGATAATGTCATGGCTCCCCGTGTACAACCTCGCTATCAACATCGCCAACTCGTTCGCTTCCGTCCCCGAGTTTGTAAAAAACACCACCTACGCATAAACAAATTAATAATTGTAGAACAAAAAAAGTATTAAAAACAAAAACAAAAACAAAAACAAAATTGATGATGATCTCTCGACGCATAACAACAAAAGATTGCATCACTCGTCACTGAAAATGACAATTCTTCACAAAGTTGCTTAGCTATCATTACTTAATTCAGAAACAAAAAAAATGTGGACCGTCTGATCATCAATCGAGTATGATTGATTAAAGAATGAGTTGGGTAGGGACCTTGAGATTGGCGGGCAACTTGGAGGCGAGCGCCTGGGCGAAATCGCCGATGGCGTGGTTGAGGTAGAGGATGGTAGAGTGTTGGATGCGCTTGGTTTGGTTGACTATGGCCTCCACCACATCGGGGTGGCAGTGCCCGCAGCTCACAGTAGCAATCCCTCCGAAACCGTCCAAATACCTCCGCCCGCTTTCGTCGAACAAGTACTGCCTCTTCCCGTCCACTATGTTCAGCTGTAAATACCCAAAAAAAAATTAAACACGTGAAACATGTGATGAAATTGAAGGGCGAGGAGGTGGAATCAGGTGCGCGAGGGGTTACTGGTTTGTCGTAGAAGTAGAACATCGAAGGGCTGAGATACTCCTTGCGCTGGGCGAAGATCTCGTCGGCGGTGGGGCCGGTGTAGGGAGGAGGGGTGTAATCGAAGGGGGGCATTCTCGGAGTAGCGACGCCATTGTCTCGGAGAACTTCGCTTTGGGCCACCTGAGAGAAGCAGCGCTGCCTTAGCAGGGATTGTGCTGTTCCAGATAATACCCTTCTCCCTATTAATCCCTGCATATTTTTTTTGGCTGCCTCTCTGTGTGTTGGTTTCTGAAGACTCCAAAAATGCAGTGAGACAGAGAAAATATGGGAAGGTTGGAGAGAGAAAGAGAGAGAGAGAGAGTAGTGGAGCTAATAGAGGGGAAGGCGGAGAGGGGTTTATATAGCTGGACGTGTTGATTTGTTGTTAATTAGCTTAATTAGTTAATTTCGTAATCGCGTTTAAAATTTTACAACTAATATCCCACGGTGGTAAAAAGGAAAATGGTGGTGAAAAGGAAAAAGGGTTGAAAAGCTTAAAATAAGTAAATGACCATTTGAGTTGAGCAACCAACCAAAGCCCTGTCTGTATTGCTATTTGGTGAGAATCGATGAATCTATCCGGTGTACTGCTGCACATTCCAATTATGTCTCTTCTTCCATCTTTATGACTCCTCTTCCATCTTCAAATTATGCTGCACCCTAACGTCACTTACTGTTTTTGCAAAAATATGGGGGATGTGCTTGTCCTTCTTCTATCACATTGCAATACACGTCCTGTCAACAACTGTTTCAAGCTCAAAGGGATCAAATTCAAGATATATTTGTATTGAATGCATTTAATCTAGCATACGCTATTATTGTCAAATTGTTAATTTTAAATTATACATATCAATATTGAGAACTTACGTTTCCTCAAAAGAATCGTGAATTCTTAACACTTTTCATACGTGAAAAGGTAAGATATTTTAGAATTAGTCTAGATTATAAGAATTTAATTGATTGGTAAATATTTTGATATCCTAATTTGACAACATAGAGTAACCAAAAGTGCCTCTCTCAAAAAGAAATTGAACTCAAAACATCTTTTTATATTTAGTATCACTACTACAAAAAGTGAAAAAGACGACCAAAAAAAGACGACGGTAGAAGAAAAAACCGTCATTGTATTTAAAAAGACGACGGTAACAAAAAACCGTCCTGAATAAGTGACTTAAACAACAAAAAAACGGAGGTACTGTTGAATATTTTTTTATAACGACGCATACAAATAAAAAAGCGTAGTCTTATTAAAAAGGTTTTCTTCAGAGTTAAAATCTGACCAAAAAACAACGACAATAGGTATGACAAGCGTTGTCTTTTAAAAATCAAGTGTCCTTTTTTTGGTAAAGACATGATTGTTTTGAAAGAACCGTCGTCTATTATATGTAAAGATGACGCTTTTTATACAAACCGTCATCTATTATATGTAAAGATGACGATTTTTATAAAAACCGTCGTCTATTATGAAGTAAAAATGACAGTTTTTTTTATTTTTAAAATGGTCGTCTATTATATATAAAGATGACGCTTTTTATAAAAAATGGTCGTCTATTATACGTAAAAATGACGTTTTTTATATATAAAAAAAAGGGTCGTCTATTATATGTAAAGATGATGGTTTGTTAAAATAACCATTAAATCATGATTTTTCATTTATAACCGTCGAAATTTTTTGTCCCGTTACTTGATCTCTGAATGTTTATTTTTTCCGATTTTTGGTGTATATGATCTCAAAGTATAAACAAACAAGTTTCACGGTTGGATTGTTGAAACTAGTTTCTTAGAATGCGTATGCCATCAAAACAATATATTCACTAACAATTAAGAGTTTATTTATACTTTCGTTAAATATAACATAATATTTTATGGTATCCACTAATGTAAATATTTTAAATTGAAGATCAAATTCAGTCATTGTATTCATATAGGGTCAAGGAGTGTAGCGGTAAAAAATCATCAAAATAGGAGTTAAAATAACCTTTAAATCATGATTTTTTTATTTATAACCCTCGAAATTTTTTGTCCCGTTACTTGATCTCTGAATGTTTATTTTTTCCGATTTTTGGCGTATATGATCTCGAAGTATAAACAAACAAGTTTGACGGTTGGATCATTGAAACTAGTTTCTTAGAATGCGTATGCCATCAAAACAATATATTCACTAACAATTAAGAGTTTATTTATACTTTCATTAAATATAATATAAGATTTTGTGGTATCCACTAGTGTAAATATTTTAAATTGAAGATCAAATTCAATCATTGTATTCATATAGGGTCAAGGAGTGTAGCGGTAAAAAATCATCAAAATCGGAGTTAAAATAACCGTTAAATCATGATTTTTCATTTGTAACCGTCAAATTTTTTTGTCTTGTTACTTGATCTCTGAATGTTTATTTTTTCCGATTTTTGGCGTATATAATCTCGAAGTATAAACAAACAAGTTTGATGGTTGGATCATTGAAACTAGTTTCTTAGAATGCGTATTCCGTCAAAACAATATATTCACTAACAATTAAGAGTTTATTTATACTTTCGTTAAATATAACATAAGATTTTGTGGTATCCACTAGTGTAAATATTTTAAATTGAAGATCAAATTCAATCATTGTATTCATATAGGGTCAAGGAGTGTAGCGGTAAAAAATCATCAAAATCGGAGTTAATATAACCGTTAAATCATGATTTTTCATTTATAACCGTCGAAATTTTTTGTCCCGTTACTTGATCTCTGAATGTTTATTTTTTCCGATTTTTGGTGTATGTGATCTCGAAGTATAAACAAACAAGTTTGACAGTTGGATCATTGAAACTAGTTTCTTAAAATGCGTATGCCATCAAAACAATATATTCACTAATAATTAAAAGTTTATTTATACTTTCGTTAAATATAACATAAGATTTTGTGGTATCCACTAGTGTCGTCTATTATATGTAAAGATGATGATTTGTTTAAAAAAGGGTCGTCTATTATGAAATAAAGATGACACTTTTTATAAAAAAAACGGTTGTCTATTATGTAAAGATGACGCTTTTTATAAAACCGTCGTCTATTATATGTAAAGATGACGCTGTTTATAAAAAACTGTTGTCTATTATATGAAAAGATGACGCTTTTTATAAAAACCGTCGTCTATTATATGTAAAGATGACAATTATTTATTTATTTATTTAAAAAGCGTTGTCTTTTAAAACACGCTAAAAAATGGGCGCTTAAGTGAATTTGCGCTCAACAAATTTTCAAATTTTCACCCGTCTTTGAAAACCTTATCTCTCATTAACAAGCATCGTCTTTTAAAACACGCTAAAAAAAGGCTACTTAAGTGAATTCGCGCTCGACAAATTTTTAGATTTTCCCCCGTCTCTGAAAACCTTATCTCTCCCTCCTTGAAACCCTCATGCACTCTCTAAAACACCCTCATGAAACTCTCTACAAAATCATCAAAAAATCGATATCAATGAAGGAGTTGAGAGATTGAGGTCTTCGTAGATCCATAAGATGTAGAGGGATGTTCTGTATTTGAGAATCAAGGCTGGTTGAAAGGTTTGATTTGAAAGTCACCTAATCTCTTAATACTTTTCTATATCTTGCTAGTGAATTCTAGATTAGTCTCTTTGCGTTTTTGGTATGTTCTTTGTCTCCCTAATTTCAGATTTTGTCTCTCTTGATTTGTCTGGTTTGTTTACATTTTTTTTTTTTATATTTCTAGTTTCTTTTTAGATTTTCTGATTTGGTTATCAAGAGATGAGGAGGAAGCTTGCAGATTTATAACTTTTTCTTTTGCAGGTTTTCTATGTGAGTCGTATGTTTTTTTGTTGTTGAAAATTTGCAGGTTCTCGATGGTATTTTTTATGCTCATTTTACAAGTTTTCTATGGAAATATGGACCAATGGTAAAATTTCTCTTCCACCTAATTTTTTATGTTTATAATCTTAGCTTTTTTTTTTCTCTCTTTGTCATTTTGATTTATTTACAGGGATGATGGAGGAGACTTCAGTTGTGCATCATTTGTATGTTTGGATGAGGAATGCTTGGATTAGGAGTACGTAGGTCTTGTTAGGAATTATGTTTGTTGTAGAATAAAGATTGATTAATTATGTAATAACTATTGAATCTTCAAGTTTTATGAAAGAAACTATTTTTGAGTGTATATATTCATTAATAAAGCATTATGGTTGGTTTTCTAGTTAAAATCGTTGTATAGCATCATAGGAAATAAAAAAGAACTAAAATGTAGCAGTTTGGAAACTTATTAGACCACAGTTTTTATAATAAATCATGGTCTTTACAGATAATTAACGACGATTTTTATAAAAAAGGGTCGTCTATTATATGTAAAGATGACGCTTTTATAAAACCGTCGTCTATTATATGTAAAGATGACGCTTTTTATAAAAAAAACCGTCATCTATTATATGTAAAGATGACGCTTTTATACAACCGTCGTCTATTATATGTAAAGATGATGCTTTTTATAAAAAACCGTCGTCTATTATATGTAAAGAAGACGATTTTTATACAAATCGTCGTCTATTATATGTAAAGATGACGTTTTTTTATTAAAAAAAACCGTCGTCTATTATATGTAAAGATGACACTTTTTATAAAAATTGTCATCTATTATGAAGTAAAGATGACGTTTTTTTTTATGAAAACCGTCGTTTATTTTATGTAAAGATGACGCTTTTTATAAAAACCGTCGTCTATTATATATAAAGATGACGGTTTTTATAAAACAACCGTCGTCTTTATAAACAATCCACTACGGTTTTCATAAAAAATTGTCTTCTTTACATACAATATACGATGGTTTTATTAAAAATAGTCGTCTTTTCTCCTATAATTAATGATCTTTATCTCTAAACAACGACGATTTTCTTTAAAAACCGTCGTCGTTACAGATAAACGACGGTGAAAAACCGTCGTAGTTTGACACTCAAATAGATGTCGGTTGATTTCACGACGGTGAATTCCCGTTGTCTTTTGCCTTGTTTGTAGTAGTGTATCTGTTAGTCATCATAGTCCCCACCCCACATGAGCCTTGGATTGGATGATTCCTTACATGGAGGAATGCCATTGAAATGGTTCTCTCAATTATTTAATATAATATTAAATAATTGAGAAAGACAATTAAATATTATATATATGTTGTTGAATGAAAGTTAATTAATTAGCAATTGTATTCCATTCCACCTCTGTCGTATTTTTGGTTGGGGTAAATGTAAGATGGAGGTGGTTGATATTATTCCAAACGAATGAGAGGAAATATCAAACAAATATTGCAAATCTAAGCATATTAGGGAATGAAAATGGTAGCCAAATGGTAATCAGGTAAGGTGCGCACTAAAACCAAAACAGCTAATCCAAAAAAGGTGCCATGCTTTGCTTTAGTGCTTCCTTCGATTCATTCACTACGTTGGCTTCTTATGGTCTACTTTCTAGTCAATTTCTCTCAACGCATCGAATTTTTTTTTGTGCTTTCAGTTTCGTGGGGAGGAAGGACGGATGGTTTGCTTGATGCATCCAAAAGATGTGACACAAGCCTAATAATTCTGTTTAAAGTTCAATTAAACCATCCAACAAAAAAATAATTCAATACAACCATTGATCCTCAACCAAAATATGAGAATTAAAAAAATAAAGGAGAAGTAAATGCGGATTAGAGAAGTTGGGTGAAGACAGTGTGCATGTGTCTCTACCCAAGTTTGATTCCTTCTTCTCTCCATAGATATCATGCATGATGCTTCAAATAAATTGCATAACTATAACATGTGAAGCAAAAACATTCAAGAACAAGAAACCCATGTGTAGGTGTGTATACAAACTGAAATAGCATGTGATGATGTGAGAAATCAAATAAATGATGGTGTGAGAAACCAAAAGAAATGTCCAAAAAAGCACCATGGATTATGATGTAGAGGAAAGCTAGGGTTCACCTTTTTCTTTAGAGTCCAACCGTACGAAAGATATTTCGTATTAAACACCGAAAAGAAAGTGAGGTGAAGGTGGAAGTCATATTCAGAGATGTTTCACTTCCAAAGACTCTGATATGTAGGTTTCAACATTGCGTGTACTTGATTGGAATTCTCTTTGGACATAAAACGACAAGTCTAGAAAAACCAAAAAAAGGAGTTGGAAGTGCCTCCCAACCAAACAACCCTAACAAGCCATGGAGTAATTAAGCAAAGCAATTGATCTAGCAAAGCGAAGCATGCACTTAGTCCCAACTCCACTAAAAAAGGTGATTAGCCAATAATTGAAGCCCTGACTAGGATTAAGTAAAGTAAATCAGCCTATAATGAACTTGGTCGAAAATTTAGGCCAAATGAGAGCGAAGTTGGTATATTATGTAATGCAACTGTTTTATCTATGGGGTCACGACACCATGTATATCTTGGAGAGAATCACGGGGGTGCAACAAAAAATTCATAAACTGGTTTAAGAACTATAAATAATATAGTTAATAGATTAATAAAGCAGAGGCTTTGAAATTGTGGCCGTGGTTGAAGGGTAAGCTGGACAATAATGGACTTGAAAATCTTAAACTAAACATTCAATCAGATAATTATAAGCAGAACGACCCAGTGCAAATGAAACTGTGTAACCCTAAAGTCATCATTACAATATTACAATAACAAAATGGATTTCGACATCCAAGTTAATCAGATGCCACCATTGCGTGTTTTCTGCGTAGGATTTCCACATCCCTATCATGGAGGCCAAGTTACTTAAAAAAACAAGTGTCAACAAATTAAATTAAAGACCTCCATGGACATCCCTTTGATTCGTGTCTAAGTGATGTTTTCGGGTTTAAAAAAATCTGACATATTATGTTATCAGACTGTGAATTTGAATCGCATATAAACAAAGAAACTCATCTATTCAAACCATGTATCAATCAAGCCACGCCAATGACTCAATGATACAGTCAGCATATTAAACGTACTGGATTTGGAATATAGCATATATAATTGATGCCCAATAGCAAATAGTCAGAGGAGAAGGGGCCTATGTCAGATCGAAGTCCATATTGTTTTTGGGACAAGTATCTTATCTTGACAGCTCCAATTAGATATGCCGTGCATATGTGGCTTGATAATTTGTATTTTATCTAGATTTCTGACGTTTTCAAGATTATTAAAAGCCAACTCATGATCAACCAATCAAATAGCTGTACAGCCAAAAGACCTTGTGGGAAAACACATTAACAAATGGGGAACTAAGAATACTATAAGAAACAATTTAGACAAGAAGAACAAAACAATTTATGCTCAGATGTTACATGAATGATTGAAGCCTCTAATTTGATATCAGTGAACAAAACAAGTCACAGTATCGTAGCGTAATAACCAAAATATTCTTCCGTCTAGTGAACAAAACAAACCTCTAATTTGGAATATTACTAGTGATAGTGAACTTCTTCTCGCTTTGCTTCTTACAGCATGTATCAATCATCTTTTTAAACCAAAAAATTAAATAAAAAACAAACGGAAATAAATGAAAAGAAAAACAATAAAAATGGCATACTAATTATACCCAAATTAGAAAACAAAATACTCACGGAAGGGTGATGCTGGTGCTCATCTCTAATCCATATTTTGTTCGCCCTTTTCTATGTATTCAATTTGAGGAGGAAAAACGCATTACCCGTACCATGATATTCTCAAATGATATTGAGCGGAAGAGAGAATATTTTTTAATAAACAAGCACCCAAACTACACAGCAGAAGAAGGTTCTCTTTGAGTTTCCTCCCTTGTTATGGTTCCACAGGAACAGAACCACTTGTGGTTGGGACCTATCAGGGCCGGTCTTGAGATTTTGAAGGTATTGTGTGAAATTTAAACTGGGACCTCACATAAGCTAAAACAAACTTACATCATTACATAATGTCATACAATAATTTTTTTATATAAAAAAAGTGAAAAACCTAAAACTATAATGAACACACTAGGTTTTGAAGCAACGTCCTAAGTTGAGGCCTCACAAACCAACACAACTAGAAACATCTTTGTGTCAACAATTTGCACGCTCAGTATATATACAACATTTCAAATATTAATATATATATATACACATAGAAAAAATTGGGGGCCTAGGGCCCTGTGCAGTGGCACCACTTGCACACCCTTTAGGGTCGCCTCTGAGACCTATAAGGATCTACTTTGTTGTTGCGCAACTTGCTTCAATCAACGTCACTACTACATATGCAATCCCTACATCAAGCAGTGGGTTGCTCTTCCTGTTGAATTATAAGTGCTCAAGCTGATTTCATAATTAGTAGTTTTCTGTTTATTTGTATTTTCTGGTTTTAATCCAAGTGGCATAGATTGATTGGTTAGTTTAATGGAAGGCTGAGATTGCATTGTGATGTAATGCATCCAGCTGGCACAGTATAACGGATATACTCTCACACCAAGAGTGTGAGCGATACTGGACAAATGTTTGCAGTCTAATAGAAGAAGAATGTTCACTCTGCTACACGTATAGCAGAGGAGATTTCTGATTTCATCTTGCTCTCTCTTTTTTCTCTTCTTATCAAAACTCACACACAGATTCACAAAAACACTAACATGGCCTCAGAGCCAGGTTGGATTATCTGAAGCTGGGCGTTTATTCTGTGAAGAAAATCGATCGGGGTGAAGCTCATTCATAGCTCACGAAGCTGATTGAGCTCGATCTATTGTCGATTTGAAAACAACTTGTTTCCAGGTACATCTGAAATTCGAAATGGCTGGATCTGGAAGCTCAGAGGCTAGAATCCCAATTTTCTCTGGTGAGAACTATGAGTTTTGGAGGATTAAGATGGTTACCATATTCAAATCATATGGTTTATGGGTTTTGGTAGAGAAGGGGTTTACAATCCCAGATTCAAAGAAGAAGGAATCTGAGGATGTTTCAGGAGAAGAAGTTGATGAGAAAGCAGCTGCCATTCTCATGAGGGATGTGAAAGCTCTTGGAATTATCCAAAATGCAGTTTTTGATCAGATTTTTCCCAGGATTGCAAATGCTGACTCTGCAAAGATGGCTTGGGATCTGCTGTACTCAGAATACCATGGTGGAGAGCATGTTAGATCGGTAAAACTTCAAAACCTCAGACGTGAATTTGAGTACACTAGGATGCGTGATAATGAAGCCTTATCTGATTATCTTACTAGACTAAATGAATTGATCAACCAAATGAAAACATTTGGTGAAGTTCTGTCAAATGAGAGGCAGGTTCAGAAGGTGTTAATTAGTCTTAGTAAGAAGTATGATCCTATATGTCTTGTGATTGAAAACACAAAGACTCTAGAAACTGTGGAGTTGCAGGAAGTGATTGCCATTTTGAAGAGTCAAGAACAAAGACTTGAAATGCATAATGTTGATACAGCTGAGAAGGCATTTGCCTCATTCATTGTGAATCCCAAAGGTCAGAATAAAAATGGATCTCAGTCTAGTTCATCCAAGTCACAGGGAAATTGGCATTCTAAAGGAAAGCCATGGGAGTCAAAAGGCAAGTCACAGCTGAACAATTATCCTGCACAGAATGTCAATTCTACAAATCAGGAGAATGCAAAACCTCAATGCAAGGTGTGTTCAAAGCATCATTTTGGTGAGTGTAGATACAAGGGGAAACCAAAATGCTATAACTGTGATAGGTTTGGACATTTTGCTAGGGACTGTACTGTGAATAAAAATGTGCAGAAGGCAAACTATTTAAACCAAATAGATGTGACAGGGAATCTGTTTTATGCCAATTGCACAACCACTGAGATCAAAACCAATGGAGAATGGTATGTTGATAGTGGCTGTAGCAATCATATGACCGGAGATTTAAAACTGCTGGTTGATGTGAGAACTAATGTGACAGGGAAGGTACAAATGCCAACAGGTACACTTGTAAATGTTGCTGGCATTGGTTCACTGATGATTGACACAGAAAAGGGTAGGAAATACATCAGAGAAGTAATGTACCTGCCAGGGTTAAAGGAAAACTTGCTGAGTGTTGGACAGATGGATCAACATGGATATTGTCTGGTGTTTGGAGAAGGAATGTGCAGGGTGTTTGATAGTCCATCTATGGATTATCTAATCATCAAAGTACCAATGAAGAGTAACAGATGCTATCCAGTATCTTTTCTTGCTGACAACCAGCTACTCATGAAAACCAGTTTCACTCAATGCACATGGATGTGGCATAAGAGACTAGGTCACTTGCACTTTAAAGGTCTGAAACAGTTAAGAGAGAAAGACATGGTGCATGGTTTACCACAATTGGAAGAACAAAGTGGTGTGTGTGAAGGGTGCCAATTGGGAAAACAACATAGGGTTGTGTTTCCAAAGGAACAAGCTCAAAGAGCAAGCAAGGCACTTGAATTGGTGCATATAGAGCTTTGTGGTCCTATGAGAAATGAATCAGTTGCAAGGAACAAATATTTCATGCTGATTATAGATGATTTCACAAGAATGATTTGGGTATACTTCTTAAGAAACAAATCAGAAGCTTTCAGCTGTTTCAAGAAGTTCAAGTCTATGACTGAATTACAAACTGGACACCAAGTGAAATGCATAAGAAGTGACAGAGGTGGAGAGTTTCTATCTACTGAATTTGTGGAGTTTTGTGAAGCTCACGGCATTCAAAGGCAGCTTACAATGGCCTATACTCCTCAGCAAAATGGAGTGGTAGAGAGAAAGAATAGGACTGTCATTGAGATGGAAAAATCAATGTTACATGATAAGGGAATGCCTTATTTCTTATGGGCAGAAGCAGTGCATACAACTGTTTATTTGCTGAACAGATGTCCTACCAAAGCTCTCCATAACATTACCCCATTTGAATCATATAGTGGAAGGAAGCCTGGAATTGCACATCTGAAAGTTTTCGGTTCTCTGTGTTATGTTCATGTACCAGCTGAATTGAGGCACAAGTTGGATCCTAAGAGTACAAAGGGAGTGTTTGTGGGATATGCCACTTGTGAAAAAGGCTATAGAGTTTTTGATCCAATCTCTAACAAGCTGATATTGTCAAGGGATGTGACATTCGATGAGTAAGGTGTTTGGAATTGGACAGATAACCATGGTTCAGATATGCCAACATACTCAGTTGAAAATCAAGTAGAGTTTGGTGTCAATTCTGGAAATTCAGGTGACAATGGTGCAGCTACACCTCTAACTCAGAATCTGCAGGAAGGAAATTTGTCATCTACTCATCACACTCCAAGTGATATAAGTAGTGAAGAAAGGAGAACTCAAGCCTATGATCATTCTCCATTAAAGTGGAGGAGACTAGATGATGTGTTGGCACAATGTAACTTGTGCATCGTGGAACCAGAAAACTATGCTGATGCTGCACAGGATGAATCTTGGCTTAAGGCTATGCAAGATGAATTGTACACGATTGAAAAGAATGGAACATGGGAATTGGTGGAAAGACCATCTGAAAAACCAGTGATTGGAGTTAAATGGGTTTACAAGACAAAGCTAAATTTGGATGGTTCAGTTCAAAGGAATAAAGCAAGGTTATTGTCAAGGGATATGCTCAGAAGCCTGGACTGGATTACAATGAAACATATGCACCTGTAGCTAGATTGGATACCATCAGAACACTTATTGCTCTTGCTGCCCAAAAGAACTGGAAATTGTACCAACTTGATGTGAAGTCTGCTTTCCTTAATGGAGTATTACAAGAAGAAGTCTACATTGATCAGCCGGATGGTTTTGTGATTCAAGGTCAAGAAGACAAGGTATATAAGCTACATAAGGCTCTATATGGTTTGAAACAAGCACCTAGGGCCTGGTATGGAGAGATAGATAACTATTTCTCTCAATGTGGTTTTGAGAGAAGCTTAAGTGAAGCAACCTTGTACACCAAGGTAAGGGGAGATACGGAGATCCTAATTGTGTCTATCTATGTAGACGATATTGTGTATATAGGGAGCAGTCAAACACTGTTAGCTGAATTCAAAGAAGATATGATGGCTAAGTATGAGATGACTGACTTGGGTCTACTTCATCATTTTCTTGGCATGGGAGTTATTCAAACCAAGTCTAGTATATTTCTACATCAAAAGAAGTATGCTAGCACATTGTTGAACAAATTTGGCTTGATTGAATGCAAATCTGTAACCACACCTCTTGTTGCCACTGAGAAACTAGCTAAGGATGATGGGAGTGGAGCTGCAAATGAAGAACACTACAGAAGCATTGTTGGTAGTATGTTGTACTTAACTGCTACAAGACCCGACATCATGTATGCTTCAAGTCTGCTAGCCAGATTCATGCACTGTCCTACAAACAGGCATTATGGAACAGCTAAACGTGTTTTGAGATATGTCAAAGGAACTCTAGACTACGGCTTAGAGTATGTGAAAGGCAGGAAATCAGTTCTGATCGGCTACTGTGACAGTGATTGGGGAGGATCAGTTGGTGATAGCAAAAGCACATCGGGGTATGCTTTTACTTTTGGAAGTGGAGTGTTTTCTTGGGCCTCAGTGAAACAGAACTGTGTTGCACTGTCCACTGCAGAAGCTGAGTACATCAGTGCAGCTGAAGCCACTACTCAGGCCATTTGGCTTCGATTTGTGCTAGAGGATTTTGGAGAGCTTCAAACTGAAGCTACTCCATTGCATTGTGATAACATCTCAGCAATAGCAATCACTAAGAATCCTGTATTCCATCAGAAGACAAAGCACATTGACAGGAGATACCATTTCATAAAGGATGCTTTGCAAGAAGGAGTTATTAATCTGGAATATTGTCCCACGAATGAGCAACTGGCTGACATATTCACCAAACCTTTGGCCAAAGATAGATTCAATTATCTCAGAGAGATGCTTGGAGTGAAATCAGCTCAAGACTTAAAGGGGAGTGTTGAATTATAAGTGCTCAAGCTGATTTCATAATTAGTAGTTTTCTGTTTATTTGTATTTTCTGGTTTTAATCCAAGTGGCATAGATTGATTGGTTAGTTTAATGGAAGGCTGAGATTGCATTGTGATGTAATGCATCCAGCTGGCACAGTATAACGGATATACTCTCACACCAAGAGTGTGAGCGATACTGGACAAATGTTTGCAGTCTAATAGAAGGAGAATGTTCACTCTGCTACACGTATAGCAGAGGAGATTTCTGATTTCATCTTGCTCTCTCTTTTTTCTCTTCTTATCAAAACTCACACACAGATTCACAAAAACACTAACACTCCCAACCCCCAATGTCACAAGGAAGTACTAGTGGGATTCTTATGCAGTCCTACGGAAGATGATGATGGCATTGTCGATCGGAAAGAAGAATACTATAAGTACAAGATTGTGAAAATAATAATCCCTGATGATATTCCGGGGCTAATACCTTTCAATTCTGCTTGCAGATGTTCTGTTCTGAGAGTGGTAAATGGACAGAGGCAGTTGCATCAAGCCCACAAAGCTTTGCTTTGAATCGTTTGTCTAATGATGCTGGTGTTGTTCACAATGGGATGTTGTATTGGCGTGGGGTTGACTTTATTATTGGCTTGAATCCCTACTCCAACGATAATATATACCGTTGTCGTTTCGTTGATAAACCGGCTGAAGTGAATCGAACAATTGATTATGTAGGTATGTGCCAAGGGTGCCTGCGGATATGCCAACTGTTCCCCTATCTAGTTCTGAGTGGTCAAGACTCAAATCTACATTGGTGTTATTATCTGGGAGTTCGAAGATAACGATCATAAGGTTGACAGTGAATGGTGTTTGGTAGATAGATTTTACACCAACCAAATGGAATCGAGAAATCTGCTGGTCACTGATTGGAAAAGCTACTGGAGATTTAGTATTAGCGTGCAAGATTTTGATCCAAATGAGGAGGATGTCTTGTATCTAGAATTGTGTAAACACTTATTCAGGTACAACATGCGTACTAAAACCCTCAAGAATATTACATTCGCTCCATATGAGGGTAGTAAGTGTTCTGGGAGACGTGCTTTTCCATTGTGTTGTTCATAAATAAAAAAAAAAAAAAAAAAAAAACTACCCATACCTATCTTTTTTAATTTTAAAATAAAATAAAATAATTTATTTAAAAAAAAACAAAAAAGCCTCTCGTATGGCCAGAAGTGAGTGCGGAGAGGCTAATATATATAAAGTGTTGCTAAACAAACCCTAAAATTAACTGATTGTACGCTATGATCTAAGTACACCATAATATTTTAATTAAAATGTAACATTAACTAAGTACACCCTATTTAGCTATCAAAAATACCCCTCGTACACCCAAATACACTATCACATAATACCCTAATACCATTCAAGAGCTGGTTGCCGAACACTATTAGACCACCAAACCTACTTTGCTACTGAATACACTATTTTTCATCTTTTTCATCTTCATCTTTGTTGTGAGTGAAAATTGGGATAACATATTCCTTTCCCACTTTGTTGGTTTTGCGCATTTATCACCATATCCATGTGGATTCCTTTCACCTTAATTTTTCATCAAAGTTCTTCACAGCTCCAAGTTGCTTCAGAATCCATCAATTCCTATGTATAACTTTTTGGGAGTTTCACTAAAACACCCAAAATAGAGGCTGAAATTATAAAAAAACCCAACACCCAAAACACTTTATAAACACACCCAAAACCCATCATTACACACACTCAAAATCCATTTATAAACACACCCAAAAAATATACAATTGTTGATTTTGGGTGTGTTTCTATGTTTAAATAGTGTTTGGGTTTTTTTTTATAAATACATGTCTAGGATTAGGTTTATTTATAAATTTATATAACTTTTTTCAATATGAACAAGGATTGAACTGGGTTCTTCACATTTGAAAAGCATCAAAAGTCTTTCAGACCAAAAAAAGAAAAAAGAAAAGCATCAAGAGTCTTTCAGACCAAAAAAAGAAAAAAGAAAAGCATCAAAAGTCTTAGATTAAAATTCATGAAAAGAACTTAAAAAAAGAAGATAAGGTAAGGGGGTATAGTTAAGTTCAACCCCCCGCCCCTCATTTTTAATTCAGAAAGAACCATTTTATTTGGTGATCTTGTTTACAACATGATTTCACCGGGTGGTCTTCAAAAGATCTTTTGTATTGGGTTGGTTGGTTAAAACTTAAAACTAGATCTGCATAATATAGATTAGGATACATTTCCCACTTTTTAAATGCTTAATATTTTTAACAGATTCTTCATGTTCTTTTTCCTGAAAACATTTTCAAAGTAGCCTCATGCCAAATCGCCTCTTTAACCATTCGGTGGCTTCCAGCCAAACACCTCTTTAACCTTTGGTGGCTTTTGCTTACATTCGATTAAGGTTGGATATGGTGAGTAGGGTGCACTTATTAAAATTACATTTGCTTCACAATTCAATATATCATTTTATATTAGGGTAAATTAATAATTCAATAAAGTTTAGTAGTAGGTGTACTTAGTTAATTTTAGCGTTTACCAACACTATATATATATACACACACACACAAAATAAGTTATGAATAACAGGGTTAATCGTTTTATTAGTCCATGAACTTAGACTTGATTTGCATTTGAGTCCCTCAATTTCCAAAATCATTCTCGTGAACCTTTAACTTCACTTTTATTAGGACAAATGGTCTTGCCATCAATTTTGTTAACTTTTTCTGTTAAATGCAGAGCCAAATGGTATTTTTTTTATTTAAAAAAAGAAAGAATAAAAATCATATCTTTAAAATAACAATAAAAGAAAATCAAATAAAAAACCAACCCCAAAAAAAATAAAAAAATTTTGGGGGAGTAGAAATCGGGATAGAGGGGTAGAGAGAGAGAGTTTAATTTTAATTTTTTATTCATATTTTAATCAATTTAATACAAAAATACCATTTTGCCCCTGTATTTAACAAAAAAGTTAACAAAATTGACAGAGAGACTATTTGTCCTAACGAAACTAAAGGACCACAGAAATGATTTTGGAAATTGAGGAACTCAAATGCAAATTGGATCTAAGTTCAGGAACTAATAAAACGATTAACCCTAAATAATAAATAGAAAGAAGTTATGGATAATAATAAATAGGGTTATTCGTAGCAATGGTCCCTCCTATACTCGAAGTTACATTTTGGTCTCTCAACTCAAATATTAGTTACAGAGGTCACTCAATTGAGTGTTGTGTTGCACCATTAGTCCCTACCGTCAAATCTGTGACTTTTTCTGTTTAAAATGATGACGTGACAAGCATCTCTTAGATTATTGATGGGCAAATGTGACTTTTCAGTTAGGATTATTTGTAACAATGATCCCTCAGCTACACTCGGAGTTATATTTTGGTTACTCAACTCCAAAAAATAGTTATAGAGGTCACCACTCAATTAGGTGTTGTTTTGCACCATTAGTCCCTACCGTTAGAAAGACTTGGGGGGGGTGTATTCAATTGAGATTTTAAAAGACTATTTAGGAATAAAAAAGTTTTGTGGATTTAAGCAAAATGTAATGACATATAGGATTTTATTAATGAACTTTTTATAATCAAGATTTTTTACTTATGTATTTGAAAAGATTTATATCAAGACTTATAAGATTTAACAGGACCACATGGATTTAACGGATTATGCGTTTAAAAAATCCGATGGCTTAGAATATACCACATCAGCTAAATAAGTTTTGGTTTTATTTTTTTGAAACTGACAATGCTAACTGCAATTATGCTAGAAACCATCAGCCCCTCTTGAATGGTGGCGAGAATCAAAGATAATAAAAACACAAAGTTGGGTTAATTCTTTCTACACATTGAGCACAAATTCAACCAACAATACCAACAACAAAAAAAAAAAAAAAAAAAAAAAAAAGAAGAAATGAATTTTTACTTCATATTAAGAAAGAGAAAACCACATATAGTCTCCTCAACATTGAACAAGTTCAGATTTGGGTTGCTGCATTTTCAGCTGAATTCTCTACATCTCATTCGACAAAATCAATGGTAGTACCCCCATTAGCAAAACCATCATCCCCTGTTGCTTGAACACTACCTTCAAGTTCAGTCAAGTTCTGCCGCATCTCAGCTTTTTGATCCTCGACTACATCACTACTTGTCATATTGTCAGGATAATTTACCATTTTGTTTTCAGTTGCAACCAGATTGTCAGAAACATTATCTCCTTTACTAACAGAGTCTTGAGCTGAAACCCCACTGGAGTATATTCCACCTAAGCTAGTGAACCTCTTTGAGTACTGTTTCAGGTGCAAAAAATTCCTGAATCATTTGATTCGGTTCAGCATTATTTTTCTTCTTATTTATATCCTTCATTGGAAGAAACTCAAGCACATGTGAAATCAAGTATGGAAACCATTCACATAGCACCATTTGCTGAAGTTGTTGGTTGTGAAAAATGCAATCCTTATGCCCCTTATGGAGAAAATGTATATGATATCAAAGGTTGATTGCTGGAGCAACAGATTCAATAATCGTGGCAAGGAACCATACAAAACTTTGCCTGGGGATCTTTTTGTCTTAGCAGATGCAATGGCATATTAGTTCCCAGCTGCTGCAGCAAAGCCTCTTTGAGGCATTTCATCGAACAGATGGTGGGAACCAGCTGAGAGCTGAGGATTACAAGAACAACTGAGAGGAATTAAACAGATGCTGCAACAATACCTAGACTTCGTTGTATACCTCTGAGAGGAATTAAACAAAGCACAGCCCACTGAATTGGTCTCAAGTATTCCTCTAAGAGCTTGCCCACAGCGTAAAGTATAAAAATTGTAAAGGCAAGACCAGCATAAGCCATGGTTATGTAGAGGGCAGATCACCCGGGGATAGCTGGAGAGGGTGGTTTTGTGATATGGATCGATGGGTTTTGGCGGGTCCTTCGGCAGAGCTTTGTGTTCATCTTTTCCAGAGAAAAAAAAAATCCCACGTGAAAAATCTCATGCTTGAGGGTGGGATTTGAGATAGGGTTTGGTATTTATACCTCCCACTAAAAAGTCCCGCATAATATCACATTTTAAAAAATCCTTCGAAATTAGTAAATTTTTGAATACCATAAGATTTTTTGTTACTTGTTTAAAGTCTTAATTGAATACCACGTGATTTTAACACCCACTTTTAAAAATCATAATAGTCTTAATGGAATACCACAAGATTTGTTTAGATTATTTAAAAGTCTTAATTGAATACCACAAGACTTTTTTATCCTAAAATAGTCTTTTAAAATCTTAATTGAATACACCCCCCTTGATGATAGGAACTAATGGTGCAACACAACACCCAATTGAGTGACCTCTGCAATTAATATTTGAGTTGAGTGACCAAAATGTAACTCCGAGTATAGTTGATTGACCATTGCTACAAATAACCCTAATAAATAAAAAGGAAATAAATTAGACTCATCCTTTCATGAATTGACGACCGTTATGGGATGAGAATATTGGTTAAATTAATTAATTATATAACTCTACATACTTAAGATTTAACCCACTCACCCATATATGCAAGAAAATTAAATGCAGTATAGGCTAACAATTCTATAAATTGACGAGCAATGTGGTTTTGCATTTGAAATTGACCTTATTTCTCTTGTTTTTGGCCCAAAAATGTTGACCAGACTGCGCGAGCTTTTCGTCATTGGAATTGGCATTTAAGTCTGCTTGCTGCTCCAATGTGAAGCATATTATACAGTGGGGGGTGCGAAAGGATGGAGGGCAGATCCTAGCATAACAAACTGGCCCAAAAATGCTGGAGGAAAACAAATTAAAGTAAGGGTGTTACATGGCTTTCTTTGATGAAATGCGTTTTGCAGGCTCATTTTGCAACATTTGCTACGGCAAGCATAAACATTTAAATTACAGCAGGTATAACTTCCAATGCAGAATAACAAAGCACCAAACAACCATTTTGAGTGAAGCAAACTGACATACCAACAAAAAATCCAACCCCATCTCATCCAAATTGGGCACAGCCTTAGACAAACTTTGAGGGCTCCACTGGGGTTATTCATGCCAGTTCATGAGTTTGTTTATACCTGGCCACACTTGTTCATTAGGAGTACCTGAACAACCTACAGAAAAAAAAATTCCATGAATTCCAATAGTCCAAATGACAAGGAACAAAGTAAACGGCACCTTTTTTGGTAAGGAAGAAGTGGATGCCATATTGGTGAACCTGAATATATGTAGGAGCTGCTGCAGTTCAGAATCTCCAGAGAAGAGTGCTTGTTTCGTTACAAGTTCAGCTATAAATCAGATAGAATATACTGTTAAACCAATGGCACAATTGTACAATTCAATTATACTGAAGTTCAAACACACTCTGTAGGAAACGGATAAGTACCAAATATACAGCCAACAGTGTAGCTCCTGGCAAAACATCAGGATAAATGGTACCTTGTTTCTTTGTAACAATTCCAAACCCAGTATGGAGGGAAACCCCAAGTGACATCTAACCAAAGGGTCAATATCTGCAACAGAAATTGCACAAATTCATTGGTACTGGCAAAACATCAGGATAACTTGTAACAAAAATGCTGCTGATAAAGAAAATCAGAAAGCATTCAGTACCCATGAGCCTGAGTGGTACAGTAAACGCTTGAGCTAGCAATTCATATATTGAACACCATCATGAAAGTTGGCATATGCATACATATATGCACATCCACATATGTAAGTATGCATTGAAGTTCAGGTGCAGAATATGCATGGAGTTCTTGCTTGGCACTTCTTCAGGCCACCCACATAAACAACTTCTGCTGAGAGCTCTGACATCTTGAATTGTCCCTTCACATTCAGAAAGCACACAGACGATAGCTTGACTACCGTGACGTTGTCCTCACTGTGAATCAAACGTATAGTTAATCGCCGTTTCACAAATAATGATGGATTAATACTGTCCTTAATTAAGAATCAAAATCTATGACGATAATAATATATAATTTAAATGGTACCTTATTTCTTTGTAACAATTCCAAACCCAGTATGGAGGGAAACCCCAAGTGACATCTAAACTTCTTGCATACAATGCCATGCAATTGTCTGGTAATAATATATATCACTAGGCTGACCATTTTCTTGAACTCCTGGAATTCGCATTTCGCAGAATGCGCCATGATCAAATTGTTTCACCACAGTGTGAGAGAGAGGGAAGAACTGAGCTCACCGGCTTGGCTTCTCTAGAACTATTAAAACATGTTGCAGTCACAGCGTAAATCTCAAAGTTTGATTATAAGCATAGCTCAATAAAAGATTCTATAGAAAGCTTGTGGTGGACATGAACTCGTAGAAATATTAGAAATATATTACTCCATCCACTGGATTGTGATCTTTTGATAATGAAAACTAAACAATGTGTACGGATAGAAAACAAAGGGTCTCTAATACTGTCTGAAGGTAAGGTTAAGACGGCCAGGACGAAGCTTAGTTTCTTCCAACAAATTCGTGGGAGCTGAGTCTGGTATGATGGATGTCACACCATGAAATATATGTCTGGAACGACCTCCGAATATCAACACATCTCCTGATTCCAGAACAACACTCTCTGCCTTTCCAATGTCTCTCTGATCCCCATAGAGGAAGTCTGCTGAATCACCTATAGAAATGGAGACCACAGGTAATCCTTCTTTGAGAGACTTTCTGCTTTCGTCGCGATCCTGAAAATAAAAACTTCATTACAGCACCAAACAGCTATTGTTGTTATTAAGAAACATTTAGAATCTTTGAAACCAACATAGAGTAATAATGAATACGATTAACCAAAATTAACTGCATTGACTCAAAGTTATATATGAATATGCTCATTAACTAACATACATAAACAAACCTGATGGAGGCCAAGTCGTCCACTGGTTGTATAAAAGTTGGCAATGCATATATCAGGAGAAATTGAAGGGAGTATCTCTTCCACACTGGAAACTCTGAGGTCCTCTTTAATATGGGTATGCGCCTCTTCAATTGCTCTTTTAACCAACAAACTAAATTCATGAGGAATAGCAGGAGGCTGAGTACCATCGATTGTTCTTCTAGAGCCATATTTCCTAGTCTCAGGATCCCAGTCGCGGCCAAGGCACATCATCTGCAGACGAAGTTTTGCTCTATCTTTGTAACCAGGCTGATAAAAGCCCCCAGGACCTAGACCAAGCTGCCTGCACTTCTTCACAATTTCAACCTGTAATTTAGATGGTACAGAGGTATTAAAACTTTCAAAGAACTGAAAAATGAGTCTTCCTACAAAAACCAGAAATGTACTACCCCATAAAACAGGGACAACCAAAAGATCAATCCAGATATTATCTCTGAATAACCATCAGAGACAAAAAAAAATTGAGATGTCAACTTAGGAGTCAGTTAATGGGCATTAATACATATCCGAATGCCATTTTCTGATTTCAGAAAACAAAAGACACTAATAATACTATATTATTGATCAAAGGCATACATGTCTGCAAGACTTCATATCATTTTCTGATTAATGCTCTGGAATAGAATTGCTAATTTGCTAGACTAAGATTTAAAATGAAAGAAAGCAATACCTGTTCAGTGTGGGTGACATAATGTTTCAATAATACCATCCCCGGCCTCAGTATTAGATTGGTGGAATTCAGTGCTTCTGGATTTGTAAATTCAACCATGTGATCTTCTTCATTCTGGTTTTCCATATTTCTTGCATAAGAAGCTTGAAGTTCATAACTTCTGCTTCCAGACAAGCATATATCGAAAGGTTCATTATAACGAAAACCCTTGGAACAATCTGAATCCTTGGAAGCATATCCATATTTCATATTTCTTGGTTCAGAATGAGGCTTTACTGCACTGAAATGCTTTCTTTTATTCCCAAACTCTGTAGGCAAACCATATTTCTCCATCTCGCTTCGGCAATCAGACATAGGGCTCTCATGTGGAAACTTAGTTACATTCTCAGAACTTGAACTTGCAGCAGCATCCTCCATATTAACTAGCTTTGATATTGAATCCATATGATATTTCCTTTTATTGAAATGAATATAAGCACTATTTGATATTCCCTTATCAGTAGGACCTGATGCAGACATGAGAACAAGTTGCCTTAATCTAATACCAGATGCCACAGCAGAAATCTTGTAATAAATCTCAAAACTTCCGACCATTATCATCTGCCAATTTTCGTTTCTGTTATGGGGCTTTCCACTCTTAAAACCAGCAGAAATATTGAACCAAGACCCACAGCTTGACACCTGTTATACATTTTAACAACATTGCTCGTGAAATTCTTCTCGCTTTGCTTCTTACAGCATGTATCAATCATCTTTTTAAACCAAAAAATTAAATAAAAAACAAACGGAAATAAATGAAAAGAAAAATAATAAAAATGTCATACTAATTATACCCGAACTTGAAAACAAAATACTCACGGAATCGTAAGGAATTACAGAATTTCCACTGGGGGTGGCGGGTGATGCTGGTAATCCAGAGCTCGCAGCAAGCCTGTCGTTTCTACAAGTCATCCTCTCTGGCACTGGCAGTGGAGAACGTACTTGGTGGAGAAAGAACACTTTACTCTAGTGTAATCGGGTAGGGTCCGATTCTTATTGCTGCAGGTTTCTCAATGGAGCCCGAAAGCTCGTTCGGCCCATTGGGCTAATGGCGCGGAACGTACCATACTCGTACACGTGGCAGCACAAGGGACAAGCTACAATTTATTTAATCTCTAGTATCATAAAACGATACCTAAAACGGTTAGGGCTACTGACTTCACGAAAAAAATTTGGACCATGATTATGGTTTTGTGAAAGGTCCAAAATGATTAATTTGGATTGATTTCTCAAGAAATCTTGGAATGTGTGATCATCAGATTACTAATTATTATTAATAACCAAGAGAAAAAAACAAAACAATATACAAAATCTGAGAATTTGAGAGAGAGAGAGAGAGAGAGAGAGAGAGAGAGAGAGTAGAGTGGTTGAAGGCTAAACAACTTCTCATTATAACCACTTACTATAGCATTTTTATCTTATTGTTACTTTATAATTGGATATCTTTGTTTTCGTTCATCGAGTTGCAACTCGTTATCTATTGTATTTAGATGAGCTTAAGTCATCTCTAGTCATAGGCTATAGGGCAAATGTAACACCAAAAATGTGATTAAATTTTTTGTGCCGAATGTAACCCACTTTTAGCCCATGCAAAATTTTTTGTGTGGGCCTAGTGCATGTGCTGCACATACGTAGGAACAATCACGAGGGGCGTGACATACTTTCAAACACAAAAGCCAGCATAAATATATGGGCTTAACCAAAAGTCCAATAAAAACAAAAGAACTTAGTCTAGTAGATATGGTGCCCAAATTAGTTGCAGACTCAATCAACCTCAGCCAGCCCATCAGTTTTGCAAACCCCACACGTCATTGTGGCGCGAGAACAATGTCAGCGCGATATATTCTGACACGTGTAGCGCACCCTGAGTGTACACGTGGCACCATGCCCCATTTGTTTTTCCATGATGCCACTCAAAATCTTAAAGGACCCTGCTGCTGCCCACTAGCGAGAATGGCACTCGATTAATGTTTTAACACCCAACGCATTCAGATGGGCGGGGGTCCCACAAGGAGGCGCAAGCTGCACTCGTACGCCATTTTTACTGCACAATAATAATACAAGCAAAATCGTTTACGAATATTAAGTTAATTCACTATAAATCAGATTTTTTGTTCATATTTGAGGAGGTTATATCGGACTTAGGCTAATTGGTAAAGACAGTGTGCTTATTTTCTACACTCAAATTTGATCCTCTCTCCCCTTGGTTAATGCTGCCTTACCTTGTATAGATTTCTAAAGTTAACTCTTTTAAATGTGAATCCCAATCCAACAAAAATTTACCAAAAATTAGAGTACAAAAATTTAGGAGAATTTTTGGTGAATTAATGCTCTTTACCAAAAACATCCTCACGTGGGCAGCCTGTAGAGAATCACCTTTTAATACCTTCACTTTTTATTATACCTTAACAAGAATATTCATAAGCCATTCCAGCGTGCCATATGAGTAACCCCACTAAATTCCCCACATTTGCAGACATTAAACAAAGCAAAATGAAAGCTCAAACCCTTTTAGCAAAGCCGCACATTTCATACCTGCCTTTTGTCCTTCTCTGCCTCTCTTCTCAATTCTTGCCAGAAAAGAAAAGAAAGGGAAAGGGAAATCTCAATGCCTTGCTAAGCGAAATTTGAGACTGCAAATTCACACATGCAGCTCTATTTGTTCATTTCTCTCTCTCTTTTCTTCACTTATGGCCATTCCAAAACGGATATCTCTCTTGGGTACCAGCTCACTGTGGCAGTGCCTATTGAATACAGTTTGGGATTCATTGGGAGAGCTTTTTGATGGAAACGAATGAAATCACACCAACTTTTAAAACTGCATTGAGTGTTGAAGCTGTGAATGGCAAATACTCATGCTCCTTGGAAGTCTTTCTTGGAGATGTCAAGGTTTGGAACTCTGGTCATTACTCAAAGTTTTATACTTCAAATATATGCGTCCTTCAACTCACCCAAGATGGAGATTTGAGGTTGAAGGGTCCAAAAGACAGAGTTGGATGGAGAACTGGGACTTCTGGACAAGGTGTGCAGGTAAAGCTATAGCCAAAAAGAAAAAAAAACCCAAGAAATTTATGTTATTTTTCCTGTTTGTACAATATATGTGATCAATGTTGAAATATATCTTTTTTCGTTTTTTTTGCTTTTTTGGTCATTTTGATGCAGAGGTTAGAGATATTAAGGACAGGAAATTTAGTTCTGCTAGATGGGTTGGGCAATATCAAGTGGCAGAGTTTTAATTTTCCAACTGATGTAATGCTTTGGGGTCAGAGACTAAGTGTGGCTTCTAGGTTGATTTCATTTCCAACCAACTCCACTTCATACTACTCACTTGAAATTGAACAGAGCAGGATTGCTCTCTACTTGAATTCTGGTAAGTGGAACTATTCCTATTGGGAATTTAAGCCTACCAAGAACAGAAACATCGCTTATGTTCAACTGGGTCGCAAGGGTTTAGAGTTATTCAATGACAAACTAAAGAAAATTGCGCAGATTCATCCATCTGATCATAAAACAGTTCAGTTTGGTCAGCCCCTGAGGTTCTTAGCATTGGGGAACAGAACAGGAAATTTGAAGCTATATTTTTACTCACCTAGCATTGCTAAATTTGATGCTGCTTTTCAAGCACTCAACACCACATGTGATCTTCCATTGGCTTGTAAGCCTTATGGGATTTGCACCTTGTCCAGTACTTGTTCATGCATTCAAGTTTTGATAGCTGAAAATGAGACCAGTAGAAGTGGTAATTCTGATTGCAGTCAAGGAATTTCAGGTGGGTTTTGTGGCAATGGCAAGACTACAGCAGAGATGCTTGAATTAAAGGGTGTTGGTAGTGTTTTGAGGGGTGCTCCTAAAATAGTTAATGTGAGCAAAGAAGCATGTGCTAATTTGTGTTTAGAAGACTGTAATTGTACATCTGCATTATATTCAACTGCAAAAGAAGGCATGGAAGTAGAAGAGTGCTTTTTTTATGGAATGGTAATTGGGGTTAAACAGGTTGAAAGGGGAAGTGGATCGAGCTACATGGTTAAGGTTCGAAAAGGAGCTCATGGGGGCCATGGAAAGTCCAATTTGAAAAGGTGGGTTTTGGTCCTGGTGGGAGTGGTTGATGGGTTGATTATTCTTCTGGTTTTTGGAGGCCTTGGCTACTACTTGATAAAGAAGAGAAGAAAACACACATTGCCTAATGGCCATAACAATTGACTGTATTTGTTACCAGGTTTTCTTGTCAGTCAGATTTCAAGGCCATGATACAATTTTTTTTATTTTTTATTTTTATCTTTTCCGAATTCAAGTTGGAAAGGAAAGGAAAACACAGTTTTGGTTGTTTTTGAAATGTTCATAAGAGAAACAATGTGATTTTGTTCAAACAATACAATTTGCAATTCAACAGCTAAAACCAATTTTTGGTTTGTTCTTTGTTTTCTTTGTTAGGCAATTTCTCAAGGATTAGACTCAAAGAGTTGCATTATGTAGGAGAAAATACATTGTCCAAACACAAGTAACATACCGAGATTTACAAGTACTTCATCACATGAAAGAACGCTTCATATTTTTTCTTTTTTGTTTATTTATATTGTGGTAAATGATAAATAATTATTCTTTCGCAGTTTACTAAAATGCTTGGGGTGTTCTGGAAGAAGGAAAATAGATGTCTAGCGGAAAAAAGAGTGGGGAGGGGGTTGTTCAAATAACATTGGATGGGAAGCGATGTGAATGGCAGCCTGATTTTCACAAAAGAGAGTCATGGGATGTGGATCTTTAAAGTCCAAATAATTGAGAAGTCCTTGGAGCCAAATTAATTCGCAAGAGACAGCAGCCATGCCTCTATATTCGGTTTCAGCATTTGAACGGGCAATAACACTTTGTTTCTTGCTTTTCCATCTTACCAAATTTCCTCCAACGAAGGTACAATATCCTGTGGTGGATTTCCAGTCAACTTGGCACCCTGCCCAATCAGCATTTGAGTGCCCTATAATCTAACTATTTCCATTTTCCCTTATCAAGATACCACGACTAATGGAACCCTTTAGGTAATGAAGAATCCGTTTGATTGCCTGCAGGTGAGTTGATTGAGGAGAATGTATGAATTGGCTTACTAAGCTTACTGCATAACAGATGTCAGGACAAGTGACAGTAAGATAAATAAGCCTCCCAACCAGCCTCAGATAATAACTAGCATCTGCCAACAATTCTCCATCTAGACCAAGTTTGGCCTTGCAGTCAATTGGGGTAATAAATGGTTTGGTATCTAGCATTCCAGTTTCTTGAAGAAGATCTAGCACATACTTGCATTGATTAAGAAATAAACCTTTGCTTGAGGAGGCAATTTCAATACGCAAAAAATATTTGAAGGACCCTAAATCCTTAATAGCAAACTTCTTGTGAAGAAATGGCTTGAGTTTATGAATCTCTCCCATGTTGTTGCCTGTAACAATGAGATCATCAACATATATAAGTACCACCAATCTTTCAGCAAGCCCATATTTAACAAACAGAGATGAATATGCATTACTTCTCTTGAAATCTATACTTTCAAGAGCTGAACTTAATTTGGCATACCAAGCTCGTGGGGATTGCTCAAGGCCGTAGATAGCCTTGTACAATTTACAAACCATTCTTTCTTGTTTTTCTTGAGAATGACTAGGCAACAAGCTCATGTAAATCTCTTATTCTAGTTCTCTATGCAAAAGGGCATTCTTCACATCCATTTGAAATTAAGGTCAATCATTATTCATGGCAACAGATAAGAGAACTCTTACTGTATATTTTCTACAGGAGCAAAAGTTTCCTTGTAGTCTACTCCAAAAGTTTAAGTAAACCTTTTAGCCACCAACCTTGTCTTGTGTCTCTCAATGGATCCATCGCTGTTAAACTTGGTTTTATAAACACATATGCAACCAACCACTTTCTTCCTTTAGGCAACTTGACAATAGTTAGGTTTGATTTTCATGAAGAGCTTTATGTTCTTCTCTCATTGCATTTTGCCAAATCAATTGGGAATTTTCCTCTTGAAAAGAGCTAGGTTTACAAGAGTTCAAAATTTTGCTTAGAAAGGCAGCATGGGATCGATACACGTTAGTGTAGGTAATATACCTTTAAACTGGATACCAAGTAGCACAGCTGACATAGTCCTTGAATTTTGGTGGAGGTTTCCACTCTCGACTTGGATTTCTTCGTGGTGCAACCAGAGAAGGAAGAGTAGAAGGATTAATAAGCTTAGTTTGAACACTACCGGAAGGTGCACCTTTGCTGTTGGAAGTTGTACCTTCACTGCTGGAAGTTGTACTTGAGAACAAGAAACACTTGTAGGACTGGTTTCTACAATTGCCAAATGTACTTGATCAAAAAAGCTCTCCCCTGAATATTATTTCCATAAAATTTATCAAGGAAAGAACATGTTGCATCAAACATGACATCACGAGATATAATGATATTTATGGTTCTTGTGTCATAACATTTGTACCCTTTTGTGTTGAAGAGTAACCCATAAAAGCACACTTAATTGCCCTGGAGTCAAATTTATCTCAATGTAATCCTTGAATATGAACAAAACATACAAATCCAGAGATACGTAGGTTGGAAGGATCAATTTTCCTTCCTTTCGAAATTTCAAAGAGGAGATTTACCTTTAAGAACTCAACTTGGAAACCTATTGATCAAGTAGGCTACCGTAAGAGCTCCCTGAGACCAACACTGAAGGACCGCGTTTTTTTTCTTCTAGGAGATCATGTAAAGCCCGGCTTGAACCCAAAAATTTTGAGCTAGCCAAGCTTGATGAGGAACCCTACTTCTAGCCATCAAGAGGAGGGAGAATAACATATTTCCTTCCCTTTATCCTTTATATATGAATTACACTTTACTTCCTTTTTTACTTCTTCATCCTCCCGAATTTCTATTCAACCACTTAAATGGGGATTGCTAGATGACATGCTAGGAGTGTTGAAATAGTAGTGTCCAAGGATTGACAACAAGCTTGGACAATTGAATTTGAATATGAAGTTGAAGAAGGTAGACTTCTGTTTTAAGTTCACAATACAAATCCATGGGCTTTTATCTTTATGTAAGCATGATGATTAGGATTGCTGGTGTTGAGTCATTCTATAGTGAGGGCCTTATATATGGTCTTTAGGTGAGGTCCTATCTCTTAAAACTTTAGATCAAGCTAACCAATTTTATCCAACGATTAAGAGATAGGGCCTCACCTAAATGCCATATATAAGGCCCTCACTATAGAATTCTTGTACTGGTGTTTGTCTAAAATTCACATTGGCACATTTTTTGAAGCCCGCAATTGTTCATTACAACTACTAGTTATAGGGTTTGGGTGTATATTAGGACCATTTTAGGTACAATGATACTTACAAAAAATTTAGTGGTTTTTGGGTTAACGTCATACTTGAACATATGGGGCAAAGAATGAACTTGCAAGCTCTGTAGCTTAGGGATATAGTTGTAGTATTCAAACTTCACAAGCCATGTCAAGTTCAAATTTGCTGGTGTTTGTCCAATCACCAAATGGTTAATTAAGTGAGCTGGTCTCCATGCCGATGATGCTACCTAGGAATCAGTTGACGACATTTTAGCCTTATTTCCATCATTTAAGCTCTAAGGACTAGCCTCATTTTAAGGGGGAGAGCTTGCATTCTGTATTGGGCCACTTCCCGTTTAGCCCATAAGCTAGCTGGAGGTTGTTCTTATGCTTTTCAAACCGTTAGCCACAAAATAATCTTGTAATTCCCTTTCTATTATTCCTTGTAGTTATCAGGAATTCATTGGGTGTGCTCACTCCCACGAGTGACCTAATGATTAGGACAAGGTGTTGGGTTCATTTTTACACACGATTTATCATGTTATTCATCCAATATTTTGAGTTAGTTCTTGAAATTTTATAACATTTTACTTCTTTTTTGTGTTCTCATAGATTTTACATTGATTGGTATAAAAGTGAGCTAAAAGTGCATTAGTGAATGTAAATCCTGTTTTTGCTCATTTTCGTAGGTCAACTTCTTGACTTTGGATTTCCATGCTCGGATGCGGTAAAATTATTCTTGAAACATGTTCCAATGGGTGTCAACAACAACATATCCGAAATTTAGCTTCATTGAACAAGTTTAACCTCTCCAACTGATTGAACATTGGACCTAACTATGGAAGTCTGTTTTGGGTCAACTTTTACTCCTACTTGGTGTCATCTCCCTTTTAATTGTTACCACTCCTCTCGGTAACAATTATTGACATTGTAGAGATTTGATTCCAGATTGGTAATAAATTAGAATCTCTCTTTATGTATTAAAACCAAAATGAAATGATGAAAGCGAAGACAAGTGGAGCATGTGCCAAAGACTTTAGGTAAAAGGTGGAGTTTAATATTGAAGAATGAGTTGGCAAGAGAGAAGGCAACAAAGGGGGAATAATCAGAGGAGACATTCTACACTTTTGCAATTTCTGAAACCAAAAAGAGAGATAGGAGAGCAAGGAGTAACAGCCAAGCAAGGAGGTTACGAAGGAGGAGAAGAACTCTTGCACCATTGAAGGCTTTTGTGCTTTCACCTTCACAAAATATGTAAACTCTTTCTAGCTATATTTGCATTTGTGTTTGTAAGAAGCATGAGGAGCTAAACACCATAACTAGGGCTTAGGTTAAAGTCCTAAACATGATTACTCTATTGTTTTGATGCTTGAGTTATTGGATTTCTAGATGTTGTTGCTGAATTCATTTTCACTAAATTAATAATATTCTATGTGTTTGCTTCCTTAAAATAACCCCATTAGGTTGTATGCATCTAGCTAAAGTTGAGAGGTTGTGTAAGATACCCAAGAATATAATTCCTAATTAGCAACAAATGATTGAATCCTTTCTAAGTGAGCATACTGTGAATTGGTTTCTTAAATGCTCAATGTAAACATCATACTATTAGGGTTCTTGTGATGTTTATATTCTCTTCAAACTTAATGGGTTTCTTTATATGATTAAATCAAAGTACTGAACACACATAGATTGATTGTGTAGGAAACACAAGTATTGTAGCACTAACACACACTTTACTTATTTTAGAGAGAATTAATCTGTCTTGAGCCACTAAACCCGGTCTTGATTGCGAACATCTTCATCAATGTATCTATAATTCATAACTTGAGTGGCCATAAACATGATTATCGGAAAACCCTAGTGTTTGTCACCATATTAAGTTACACTTTGATAATCACATTTGTTAATCTTGTTAAAATTAGAGTTTGGTTACATTTAAGCATTAGAATTAGGTCACTTGAATCAACCCCCCCTTGTTTGTATGTGTTGAAATCTTGAGTGTTCTTTCCACTGAATTTTGCACACTTTTGTAATTGTTTTTGACATTTGGTACACACTAGACTCTTTAGTTTTTCATGCTGCATCCAACCATATAAAGAACATAAAATTTGGATTAATGGTTGCAAAAGTTACAAATAAAAAACGGAACAGAGATCGAAGTTGGAAAATATGTTAAATTGTTGTCTAGATAAATTCCTCTCTGCCAAACTGGTGATACCTCGATGATAATAGGTGATACAGTGGTGATAACGTAGTGATACATGAGTGATACAAAATGCTGATTGTGTTTAGCTTTGGTTTCTTGTTTTGTTTAATTTCTTTTACTTTTCTTTACTCATTTCTAGTATATGATTTGTATTTTACCTTTGTGTTGTATTAAATAAGTGTTCTTTAGGTACTCAAACTAGATATTTGTTTAAGCCTCTAATTCCTCATGGGGACGATCCTGTATTTACAAATCTATACTCCAATAGATTCATGCACTTGCATATATTTTTAATTGGATGATTAGCGCATTGATTTGTGCCAATTATTAATACAACAAAGGTTGCCCATTTTCATTGTATTTAAGGATACTGACCTTCCATCTTGGAGGCAGCTATCAAATGAAAGTTTAAATTCTTTTATCTTTTTCTCTGCTTGCTCTGTTTCCTATCTATTACCCAGGTCTGGTCCTAGCATGGATCGTTCAAGAGAGAAGACGAGAAGAAGGTGAAGGCAAAATCGAAGCAGAAGAACATAGACACTGGACCTCGCCCTCATCTTCGTCTTCGTTGTTCGAAACCCACGTCAAAGAGGTTGGGTTGCAGAGTCCTGACTTGGATTTGGACAAGGCCATGTCCATTTCATTTCAATTAGAGAAGTGTAGTTCAATTAGGCCCACTAAACATGTTTTTTAATCTGAGTAGTCTGATAAAATTGTGGGATGGGGTGTTCAAATAACATTTCTGGGTGGCCATAGAAGCTCTCTCCATGCATTTGTCCAATTATATAATGAAATTGTTGAACTTATTTCATTGATCGGATGGGTGTGAAAGAACTTCTCATTATAACCACTCATTACAGCATTTTCATCTTATTGTTACTTTATGATTGGGCTTCTTTGTTTTCGTTGACCCAGTTGCAACTTTTATCTTTTGTATTTGGATGAGCTTGGATTATGGGACTAAACTGTGTATCGTTTAAAAAATGTTAAAATCATACCAAGTGGAATTCCCATCAATCCCAATTTATTTGCCCCTTTTGTATAATCTTTTTGTCTAATGAAGATTATGTTTAACCCAAAGAAAAAGTTTCACTAGCATTGATAGCCATCAGAATCAGAAGTTCCAAAAAGTTAAAAGAGTTTAATCAAACAAGGGTATTTCTTTTTTCTAATCAATTGATATATTCCGAGTGACAATGAGCCGATTTGCCACGTTTTGTAAAATTAAATTAAATTAAGCCAAACTTAGCAAGTACAACCTCCATGGGATGGGACCGGATGGGATATAATAATATATAAGGCACTCTTTGTCCATATGTTTAACTAATCCGTCTATCCTCCGGTTTGATTTGAGGATTAGGAAATTGAGAATAGTGGCACGGGTAACCAATTTCAAGATTAACAATCATTCAATAAAAAATATAGGATACCTTTCTACAATTCATCATCATGACTCAAAAAATAAAAAAAATGGGGAAGATATATACGATCCTTAAACAAACAATCGGTTTAGTCTGGTTTATTACTAAAAAAAATAAAATTTAGATAAAACCATACCGATTTGTCTAATTCGACAAATTTGACCGTTTTACGGTTTAAAATGCCCAACCCTAGTTCATTTAATTTCTTAATGGTACGGGATTAGTGATGGACGGGATAGAAGACCCCATTAGTTAAAACCTTAGCGTCAAGAACCATAATTAGGTTTTGAAAAGAAATGTACCTTATACAGTTCATGCATGGTTTCTCTAAACCATTTTAGTTTGCTACTCAATCATACATTGCGATGTCATGTCTCGATTAGTTGCCATCAGCTTTCCTTTAATTCGAAGAGAGACATTGGTGTTGGCTTTGCTCCTATTTTGTGGGGGAACCAAACATCTGAGCTAGCTGTCCATGGCCCCAAGTCAAGAATTAATTTGTCTTAGAAAAGTCGTCCATGATAGCTAGGCTAGGGAATGCTTTATCTGGGTGTTATAATGCATTAGCTTTGTTCTCATATGCGTGAAACGTTGCAGGCGATCCCACATGTGAGGAAAAGGGACAAAAATTGCCTAGTAAAATATGCTCTAGCTAGCTCCACGAGTTCTAGAATTCATTGGAGTACATTTTGTGCCTATCGAAATTTCTGTGTCTAGCTACACAACTAGTTTTATAATATATTTGAAATGGTGATCCGGTTCCTAACTAGAACCTAGCCCGTGAACTCAAAGTCGCCAAGTTTCACATCACAACAGAAGTATATGCGGGATGCATATATGTCTTCCTGGTCCCCAGTGCATGCCTCAAGCTTATACATATATATATATATATTATAGTGTAGTTGCTATTTTTATCATATTTACGGGATCATATTGTTAATTATGTCTCAATTAGAAGTGAGTTCCACCTATATTTAGTGGAAGCCAGTTATATTAGAGAGTTAGTCAGCAAATATGATACAAATAATATTCAATTAATGGTAATTGATAGTGTAAAACAGTTTAAGGCCGATTCTAGCAACTACTTGCCTCATGATACTATTAATTAATTTGATTTGGTATGGCCGACTCTAATTGAAAAAAGAATACTCAAGAAGGTTACTGCTTTGCATGCATGGTGTAGTGTGAGCTTCAAACTAAGCTAGTAGCTAGTACTAGCTCTCACAATACACACATGCAAGAAGCTGGTAACAAATGATGATTTAAGTAATTAGGACTAGGCCTTGATTCTTGAATACAAAAATCAAACTTTTGACTAGGCCTTCTGGTATGATTATTTGTGGAAGTAACATATATATATATATATATATGTATATGTTTTTCCTTCGTACATCTACGCTTGAGAATCCAAATTCAATCACCCCGTGCATGCAACTCTAAGAAACTTTGGTCTGCAAAATCCATGAAAACATTAAGTTTGTTGTTAATGGGCTATCAGTGTATAGAGTTAATTTATTTTTGAAGCTTTCTAATTGATCACTAACAGCTAGCCACCTAACTTGTCCAAGAGATTGGAATCTCAATTTGCAGGAAAAGTTTGTCCAGAAAAAAATAGGGTTTGTTCACGAGCCACGTTTCCAAATTTAGCACTGTTTGTATTAATATGTGTATTGTCTGATAGGACATCCAATCATGCTTCTTAAAATGTACTCTTCTCACCATTCATGTCATGTAAAAACTAATTTAACCTACCAATAATGTGCACAAATCAGCAGGGCACCAGAGAATTCGTATTTATACTTTTATATTGTATGTACCCAGTCTTCCAGGTATATAGAGATATCAGCTTGTTGTATGCCAAAAAGCTGCAGGTGGTTAATCACAGTTGAAGCCTTCTTGCATATGTATGTGCATGTATCTTAATCTGCTATAAATTCAATATTAATTAGGTGTCCTGTTAACATGTGTTTAGAACAATCAAATGGTAAACTGGATTCCCACAGGTCACAAAACTCCCACTTGTCTGCTGTTTAACAAAATCATTAGTATGTGGCTGAAAATTAAGTTCCATATAATTAAGACATCCCTGTGGGGCATAAAGTAAATAAGAAATATTGATTGGTATTAACAAGCTAGGTTCAAGTTGTTGAAGTCCTTTTTGTGTTTTTGATGAATTATTTTTGCATATGTATCAAACTGTAATTCGCAGAAAAGAAGAATAGCTCCTTACAAGAAAGGAGGCAAGTAGTATCCTGAAGATGCATGTATTCTCTTCTTCCCAACAATACTGTATAGTGATGCATCCCATAAAATATTAATTTAATTTTTATCTTGTTTCATTTTAGCTTCTCTCGATGCATCCATTGTTTAAATTAATTGGCTGACAATTTTGTAATTTTATGCATGATTTGGTTTGATAAGCTTTAAGTCAGGCTCAATTGACACGAGACTGAAGACCCGCTGTGGAATTTCCAAGACCAATGCTGTCCAATTATGTGTCACTTTTATCCAGTTGTAGAATGAGAATTGGAATTTCTATGCAGAAAACAACAAATTTCTGTGCATCAAGTTCACTGCAAGCATAGCACTTAATCATTACATAAGTCAAGGGAGTCGAACATGTGCTGCATGCCGATTATTCTTCAAACAAAGCTCCTTTACATGATGCAGTATATGATGGGTCCATCTCCTAAGATTGTCACAATTAAAAATAAAAAATCAAATCAAATATTTGTATGATTAAATAATTATGTATAAAATGATTTAGTGAAGAGAAATCCTAGCTATCTTAGCTCTAGATTGTTAAAACCCTAAGAAAAATAAAAATTGAAAAAGGGTAAAGAGACAAGGATGAGCTGCAGAGTGTATGATGCTGCAGGTTCTTGGTAGATTAAATTGTTGTGTTGTGATGATTAAAGAGGCACACATGTGAATAGCTGGTTGGGTATTTGATCACTTGTTTGTGTGCAAACTGGATCAGAAAATATTGGAGCAACGAATTTAATTGAAACCAATAGCCTTAACTTAGCTTTGCTATGTATGAACTTCTTGGGATTTAGGGTTATATCAGATAAACCCTGATATGGATTGCTTTAATTTGCTGCAGTGGAAACTAATTGGCACTGCTTGAATGATTGAAGTGGAATCTCTTGATAAATAAACAAAGAGAAAGCATGCATGACACGTGCAATGCAAAAAGGGTTTTAGGCTCTAATTAGAATACAATTAAGGTGTGATTAAGTTTGAGTTTAAGCTCTAATCTAAACACACAGTGATTAAACGCGTAGAGGAGGAAGGGAATCTGCACGTGATGAGAAGTAGGGAGAGGGAGAGAGGCATCGGAAGCTGCGAAGGAAGCGTCAAAGGTTGTTTAGCTGTCAATCCCTCCAAAACTCTTCCCCTCACGGGACTCTCTTCTCTTCTCTCTCTCTCTCTCTCTCTCTCTCTCTCTCTATCGCAGTCTTTGTCCTTTGCTCTCTCCCTCTCTCTCTCTCTCCTCTCCACTAGCTACGTCACTCCAATTTCTATTACTTTAATTACTCACTTGATAACTAAACCAGTGCCACTGCAACTGGATTACTTGATTCAAATTAATCTATGTTATCTGTCCCTCCCGCAGTCCATAGATTTACAAATTTCAATGGAAAACTTAAACCCCTTGTTTCGATGGCGAGCAAGTAAACATATAATATCATTCTGTCATGGCATATATTTTCTGTTTGAATTGCAAATATTATCTTAAATTTCTTTCTTAACTTCAACAGTGCTTAATTTCTTCTAGTATTCTTGTGGTCATATATATTGCCCTTGATTAATTATTAGCCGACAAATAACAAATTTTACTTGCAAACTTTATGTTTATGTTGTGTATAATCCAACAAACAGTTGATGACAAAAGTTGATAACTCAGTGTGTATATGCGTGTGTGTGTCTTACATCAATCTATCACTCTCTAATATGGTAGATTTTGAGTGGGAGTATCAACAACTGACGTGGTGATATAATATCACTCTATAATTTCTACTGAACGAGAGATCAATTAATACTGTCCAAAAATATAACTAAGTTGTGTTCATAATTATTACTAATATGAAGCATTGCCTTATTAAGAGAATTCTCCTTTTCAATAAGAAATATCAAACATAATATATGTCTCTCTCTAGCTAATTGTCCTATATATTTAATCTCAATTTCCTTCTCTAGTGCTTACTTCAATCTATCAAATTGCATACACATGAATGATCCCTCTTTCTAATACTATATGCTATTAACCCAATCATTAATCCCAACTTCCACCCAAGAATCCTGTATATTCTTGGGGTAATATAAAAACAACAAAGTATGTTAACCGAGAAAGAACAACAATGCATATCAACGGGGAAGAAAGCAACAATGTATCCAGTTAAACATTCCTAATTGCTGTTGACAATTGAATAAGCAAGGGTCAATTAAGTAAATATACCGGTGAGAAGGTTTAACTTCTTGGTGGGAGAATGTGTAGAGGCACACACATGCAAACATCCCCTCTTTAAAAGCCCTCCGCAGTAAGAAGAAGGAGAGGCTAGGACAAGAGAGACAAGAAACAAGAAGAAATAGGAAAAGCAGAGCAACAAAGAAGAGGGTGTGTGAAGAAGCATGAGTTCCGGAGACCGAAAGAAAGCAGTTCTTTATCATCAATTGCAACAACTTCGGGCTGCCACCAATTCCAATGCTGTAATTAACTCCACATAATCAAACACTCCCTTTAGCTATAGGCTTACGATATCCAAATTTTTATAGTAATTAGAAAAGTCAACCTAGCTAGCTGATTCTTCTACTTGGATCTCATGTTCCATCTTTTATGTAAAATATTCATCATTTGTTGTTGTTTTTGTGATTTGGCAGCTGAACAAAGCTTCAATTATTGTTGATGCATCCAATTATATCAAGGAGTTGAAGCAAAAAGTGGACACACTCAGGCAAGGCGTTGGAACTTCGACTTCCCCAAATCCATCACCAGCGGTACGTAGTGGATACTAACTGATATTTTTTTATTTAAATTTCTTTGGGACACCACACGATCGTATGTATACATGAATTCATGGTTTGAATGTTCTTGTTCAAATTTCCAGCAGGTTACAGTGGAAACCTTAGAAAGGGGTTTCCTTATTAATGTGTTGTCGGACAAGAACTCCCCGGGTTTGCTCGTCTCTATTCTCGAAGCCTTTGAGGAGCTGGGCCTCGATGTTCTTGATGCTAGGGTTTCTTGTTCAGACACCTTCCAACTAGAAGCAGTCGGAGGAGAAGTAAGAGATTAATTATATCATATATTTAATTTCTTTCATTCTGGCCCCTTTGTACTTGACACATTGGGAATATATTGTTTGCGTGCAGCGTGTATAAACATGCATATATAGATATGGGTCATTTTTTTTGTACAAATTAACATCACGTGTGAATCGTACAAACATATATTGTCTTAACCACACCTTTGTTTTGCTTATTGCGAGTACACTGACACAATATAATGAGTGATTGGCATCATAATTGTACCTCTCTTCAATCCAATTTTGTATTTTCACGGTTTTTATATCACTTATAACATAATCAATTATATTATATTGCTATTGGCATGCTTTCTTGTGACACATTTTAACTTTGCGTGAATTTATGCGTCTTCATGCCTATAATTATTTTTGTTTGTTGATTTTCCAGAACCAGGGGCAAGCGGATAGTATAGATGCTCACGTGGTGAAACAAGCAGTCTTGCAAGCTATTCAGAACTGGAGCCAAAGCAGTGAGCAAGATTGATGTAAATTGATATACATATTGCATCTTTGTTGCACCTTCTACCCACCCCTTTCTTTCTCTGTCCTGGCTCCCAGCTATTCCCCTATATGGGTCTAGTGCCACGAAACTATCAATGAACTAGTGTTCAAATCTTCTCCTCTAATGTTACTTACGCTGCTGATCAATGTACTATCACATTGGTTTTCTTACTAAGCCGGGCGAGATAAACAAATTATAATGGGTCATACCCTCGATCGGCCTTTGAGTTTCAAATGTTAGCTATCGGGGGATCAACAGTGTAGGTCTAAGTCGATAAAAATTATGCGTAAAACTTGCATCATTAACCATGAATGATCAAATTTAAAATGAAAATGAAAATGTTACCAATTCCAGGTCCAGCATATATATAGTACAGATTCTGGATCGCAATTTTTAGACATATATAAAATAGAAACATCCAATCGGGAAGAGGATTCTAATGTCCAAATTTTGTTCCCACATGTGTACAGCAAGTGGGAAGTTAAAGGATCACTCGTTGGCAATTTGCTAGACTATGCTAGACTACAATACTGGAGGGTATATTTTGTCTTCCTGCATGTCCATATTTGCTTGGGATTGGCAAGATCTATAGGCTTTGAGCATGCGAAATGATATGTGCTTCTGAGTTGGGGCCTAGGATTTTGACCCCGACTTTGTGATCGATGCACCAAAATCATGCAAGGGAATAATAATGGGATTAGAGGGAGCAAGCCTCGAGGAATGATTATATAATTATAATCTATTGAAAAAAATTAATAAAAATGTTACGGCCTGATCATTAGAAGCTTGGGATTAGATTAGCCGTGTCCGTGTGGGGAACATCTCAAAGGGAATATGAGAATAGCTGGATTTATTAGAACGAATTTTACGCGGAATGATTGTTTACAGAACTATATTGCATCATTAGTATAATGCTGGAACAAAACACCGAGTTTTGCATGTTGCGACATGTCTCCAACAATGAAGACTATAAATTCATTATAAAAAAAAGGAATTTTTATAAAAATGTCAAATGAACTTATACCTCAGTTTTAATTTGTTGTTTTAAAGAAAAAATTAAGAAAAATGTTACCTTAATTTTTCAAAATCCATGATTTGTCATCTGACTTTAACACAATCTAATTTTCCATCCATTTTAAATGGTATTTACGTCTTTCCATTTTCAAGAGTATTTTAAAAATGAAAAAATCTCACCTTCCCCCATCCCATGTGCGCCACCAGTGGCTCTAACCAACCCCGCCCACCTTGAAATCCATTCCCCCTTCCTTCTTCCCCTTCCTCCTTTTCTCTACCATGGAACACCTACCCTCCTCCACACACAAATTCCCTTAGCCCACCCAAACCGAGTCCCCATTTTTCTTCTTCTTTTTTCTTTTTGGTATTTTTCCATTTGCATATTGAAATTTGTGGAGAGAGAGAGAGAGAGAGAGAGAGAGAGAGAGAGAGGAGAGAGAGAGAGAGAGAGAGAGAGAAGTGGGGGAAGGGGAGAAAGGGAGATAGAGGTCTTTGTTTTTTTTTCCATGAAAATGGAAAGACTAAAATACCATTAAAATGGATGGAAAATTGGATGGTGAAAAAGGTCAGATGACAAATCATAGATTTTGAAAAATTAAAGTGACATTTCTCTTAATTTTTTCTTTAAGGTGACAAATTGAAACTAAAGTATAAGTTCAGGTGACATTTAAAAAAAAATCCCTAAAAATATATATATATATATTCAAATTTTATTATTATTATTTACCCATCTCATTTCCAAGTCCAACACTGTAATTAACCAAAAAGAAAATTACTCGTTTCGAGCACACCAAATTTATCCTCGTCGTTACTTGCATGCTTGAGGGTTTTGTTGTTTTTTGTTTTTTTTGTAAGGAAGATGATATTTCATTAAACGCATAAGAAACAATACATGAGAAGAAACTAGCATGATAAAATGCTACCTCGTTAGAATCTACCCGGAGAAAAGAATACCCTAAGTAGAAAAGAGTACCACCCATGCATGCTAATGACTTAACAGATAAAACAAACATCTTATGTGAAATAGACAGAACATAGAACCTACCTACAAACCCCGAAAACAAATCCCAACACTCCACTAATACTGTCAAAGAAGGCCTCTTATGATCTAAAGAAAGCATCAGAGCACTTTGTACATATTCAAAACGTACTGTGGAGATAAAACATATCCAACCAAACACCAACCACCAGTGGCAGAGCCACTCCTAGGCCTGGAGTGACCCTGCCCCCCCTCTGTGGTGCACATGTTTCGAATAATGATTACCAAAGCCTATAACATGTCACATCCCGGGATTGGCTCTGCCGTAGCACGATATTGTCCGCTTTGGGCCCCCATCTCTGCCCTCACAGTTTTGTTTATGGGAACTCACGAGCAACTTCCCAGTGAGTCACCCATTCTGGGATTGCTCTAGCCCCAACTCGCTTAACTTCGGAGTTTCCATGACTCTGAAGCCAGTGAACTCCCAAAAGGCCTTGTGCTAGATGGAGGCGGGCATGTACATATAAGACACATTACCCCCTCTCCGTTGGTCGATGTGGGATGTTACACAACATAACCCATTTTGGAAAAATCACGTAGGACATCAACAGAGAAGAATTCGGGTCTGCAATGCAACCCGGCTGGTTTGGTGCTACCTGCAGTGTTGAAAATAATGCACATTTGTGCTTAATAATTTAAGAAGAATCAAGAGAATTCAAGAAGAAGACTTCACCGACTATGCAAAGTCGACAAGCTCAACGTTGCATGACATAATTATTGTAAAAGACTAGAAATAACTTAACAACTATCTTAAATAGCTAGAAAAGTCTAAAGAAATAAAATATGTGACTAGGAGAGAGATTGACCAAGTTAGTGGGACTTGGGCAATGACGGCAACACCTTGCCCATAAATACGCATGCATGTATTCAACTAAAGGTGGTAGGAGTTAACCAAGAGAACTCCCAACTAAGGGAGCAAAACAAGCTTCCTAAACTAAGTTATGTTGAGGACCCAATAAATTCATCAAGCTAAGAGAGAAAGAAGGTCAACAAGCCTTTAAGATAAACACTAAACGCTTTCTAGTTGAAGTAGGCCAATTAGCCTACACCAAGCTATGTACTATTCTCCTCCAATGTAATAAAATCACTTTATTTAAACTATTATCCCATCTTGTCCTACACCCCTTCTCCCTATAAACTAACAATGGTATCCATCATGCAACACTCACTTCTAAATTCCAACAAATGGTATCAAAGTTAGTTTGATCGCATTAGACATCAGAGCTAGTTTGATTGCTTTGGGCATAAGGGCAAACTCTAATCTCTATTCGTGCCGTAACAATCAACCTTGGGCGTGCGGGCCAATTCTAAGGAAGCAAATGAAGCAAGAGATGCCTTGAAGGAGGAATTTCAAGAAAATCAAGGTACATTCTATACTCAATTCAAGGTTTCAAAATGTAGAGAAGGGGTAAGGAGTTCTAAAGAAAATTCTAGAGGAGGAGATAGGGAAAATAAAAAAAAGAAATGCATGAGAGCAAAAACTTTCCTCCCTGTAAGGTGTAAAAAAAAGTCGAGGCACCCAAAAGTAAAAGAAAAGCCCGAATGTTGGAGCTAAAAAAATTGAGGGTAGAGAAGAAAAAATATATTGCCGGCAACGAACTATCAAGCTAATTATGGACAAAGAATGTGCAACATAAGCCACACACAAAGCAATTTCACCATAAGCCACACGCAAAGCGTAATGAGTTCTTCCTTGTCTTTGAATAGGAGAAAGAATTTCACCATAAGCCACTCACAAAGCGTGCATGCACAAATAAGATATCTGAGGGTTTGAAATCATGAGACAAATCATTAAAAGAAGCAATATCAAGTAATAGGGCCAAAATTAGTTTAATTTGGTTTCAGCATTTGATTGGATCTTATCATAGGAGTTGATTGGATGTATTGCCTCTGCAAGTGTGGAACAGAGGGCCTCCTCCCAAGTATAGTAAGTAATTGCTTTTCCCAATTTGAAATTGTTTAAGCTTGTGTGCTCCTTGGTCTGTCGATTCTTTTGACATTTTGTGGTGTTGTCTGATATGCTTTTTTTTAATATGAAATACATGTGGTCCCAAAGCATTTGTGTTGTTTTGTCTGCATAATTATCAGTAGATCTGAGTCAATGTCAAGTTTAGAATAGAAGATGGGTAGTAAAGATAAGTTGGTGTGATAAAATAGTGATTTTATATCATTTTTTGGTTTTTTTTTCTCAGGTAATCCAGATTTTTTTCTCCATAGAAATTCACCATGGAGGTTATATTTCATAGGGGAAGTATGTTCAGGGTAAGGTTACATGGGCATACAACTGTAACACTAACCACCTATTAATGCTTAACCTGTATGATGTTGCTATATCTTTAGGATATGATCATCAAAAATACAATACCACTACTGGAACAAAAGAAAGGGGTTGTTCCAATTGAAGTAGATGCCTATGAGTTGAGTTTGTGGAGCACACACTTACCTCTAGAGTTCAATCGTTATATCTCTTATATAAGCCTCAACCACATTTCCCAGAGAGCCAGGCATCTGCATCTATTCCACAGTTCATCAAAGTAAAAGTTGAAACTGAAACTGATGTTGGTGAGTTAGGGAACCAACTTGTAGAAGTGGATGTTGGTTTAGATGATGATGGTGATGATGAGGCATATGAATTTGAAGATGATAAGGCAGATAATGAGGCACCTGAATTTGAAGATGATGATAGTGGGGAAGAGGCTGCTGAAGAGAATAGTGAGCCAGACATTGAGTTGATTGACTTTGAGTTTGAGCAGTCAGATGAAGAAGTGTTCAAGAGAGTCTTGGAAGAGGATGACAACTTATTTGATAAACATGTCGTTGATGAAGAAAATGAAGAATACAATGAAGAACCTGGTGAGGTTAACAGTGAAGACTACAATACCGAGGAACTTGTAAGTCTTAATGAAGAATATGAGGATGAAGGTGTGAGAAATCGTAGACTTATAAGAAAAGCTCCTAGGTTTAAGCAGTTTATAAGAGAATATGATTTGTTGAAGCCAACATTTCATTTGGGAATGGAATTTCCCAACATGGACCAGTGTAGGGAAGCAATAAAGTATTATGCAGTTTCAAGTGCAAGGCCATTGAAATGGGTGAGGAATGATTCATATAGGGTAAGGCTAAAATGTGAATGAGATAATAGACAAAAGGTTCCATGTTCGTGGATGTTGTAAGCTTTTCATGTGGAGAAATATCCAACTACAAGTATTAAGACATATATGCCAAGGCATACATGTGGAAGGAGGCAAATAACCAAGTATGCCACTTCATCATAGCTGTTTAAGAAGTTTGATGAGGAGTTAAAAGATAATCCCAAAATGAAAGTGACATATTTGATAAAGACTGTAAGGAAACATTATGACATAGATGTAACTGGGGCTCAAGTTTATAAAGCCAAGAGTTTTGCAAAAGTCAAAATTCAAGGTAGTACTAAAGAGCAATATGGAAAATTGTGGGATTATTGTGAGGAGTTAAAGAGAATTAACCCTGGAAGTAGGGTCAGAATCATATTTTAAAGATGATTTATATATATTTTGGAGCACTTAAAAAAAGATTTATGGAAGGATATAGACCAGTGGTGGATTTTGATGGGTGTCATGTTAAAGGTTCTCACCCAAGGCAAATTCTAAGTGCAGTTAAGGTTGATGAAAATAATGGGATGTATCTAATTGCTTTTGCTATTGTTGAAGTTGAAAACACAGAGACTTGGAGTTGGTTCTTTGACATATTCTTTCAAGATGTTGGTATTCAAAATGACAATGGGTGTGTTTTCATTACTAATAAACAAAAAGGTTTAGGGAATGTCATTCATGCTTTGATGCCTAATGCTGAGCACATGCATTGTGTGAGGCACTTGCACAATAATTTCAAGCTTGCATGCCATACTGGTCTAGCTTTGAAGCAAAGGTTGTGGGCAGCAGCTAGGGCAACAACATTAGCTGTATTTCATGTTGAAATGGAGCAGATGTTAGATCAGTCAGAGGCAGCATATAAGTGGCTTGAGGAGAGACCAACTGCTCATTGGAGCATATCACACTTTACTATAGTCCTAAAGTGTGATATACTTCTAAACAACTTGTGTGAGTGTTTTAATGCTGCAATTTTAGAAGCAAGGGATAAGCCCATTGTTACTCTTTTGGAGAGAATTAGAACATATTTGGTGCTTAAAATGGCTAAACTTAGAGAGACAGTGTAGTCCTATGAGGTTGGTCCAAGAATATTTGCTATTGTGGAGAAGAATACAATTGAAAGTAGTCAATACATAGCTTCATATGCTGGTGAGGGGAGGTATCAAGTTAATAGTGTGTTGGGAGCTATGTTTTTTGTGGATTTAGAAAGCCATACATGCACCTGCAGAAAATGGGAGTTAAGTGGAATTCCATGTGCATATGCCTTGGCTATAATAACAAAGAGTGAGCACAGACCTCCGGATTTTGTGCATACACTTTACAAAAGGTTGGCATATGATAAGGCTTATAAGGGCTATATATCTCTAATGCCTAGTCAAGCATATTGGAGAAAAATAGGGCACCCATAATCAAGCCAATTGTTTATCACATCCAACCAGGAAGGCCCAAACTAAGCAGAAATAAAGAACCTGATGAAATACCAAGAGGGGCAAATGTGGACAAGGAGGTCACAATTTTGCAAGTTATTCCTAAAATAGACATGTTAGATTTTTTTTAATATATTTTTTTTTACACATTTCATTTGTTGAAAATGGCTATAATAACATGTGATTTGTTGTTTTTGTTATGTTAACATGTGATTTGTTGTTATTAACAATGAAGGGGCAACCTAAAGGTGCTATAGCAAGAGGCGGTAGGAGAGGAAGTGGAGTTGTGATGGAAAGAAGTGCTAAGGGAAGAGGAGCTGCAACTAGTAATTGAGGTGTTGATAATGCAAGTGGAACAATAACTGCAAGTGGAACAACAACTGCAAGTGGAACGGTTGATGTTAGGAGTAGAGGTGTTGTGAGAGGCAGAGATGTTGTGAGTGAACAACAACAAACTCAGGCCAGACCAAAGTTTAATGTAAGTACTTGGATTAAACCTTGATGTTTTGAATCAATAATTGCATTATTGTGGTGCTTTTTGAAGGCTTAAGGGAGTTATACTTGCAACAGGTGAGAAGAGGAGCCCATGTCCCCCAAGTCATAAGAAAGATCAATCTATTTGCTGGTTCACAACCTACCCAAGGTTCAAGTTCCCAACCTGTGAAAGCTTCAAATTCATAAGCTTTTTCACAACCTGCCCAAAGTTCACAAGCTCCTCAAGATTCAAGTTCACAAGCTCCTCAAACTTCAAGTTCACAAGCTCCTCTAGGTTTCAAGTTCACAATCTCAAATAATGGTAACTTCTCCAAAAAGGCCTAGGTTCAAATCTCCAACAAAACGAGCAAGGTCATGGAGAGTTTAGTCAGATATTTGAAGTGAATGGATGAAGAGTTGTGATGTTTATTTTGATTTTGTGGATAACTAATTTTGTACAAACTAATATGCAAAGCTTTAGTAATGAAGATGTATTTTTTAACTGAATTTGGACAAGCTTTGGTGGCAAAGCTATATGTTGTGGATGTGTATGTTGAAGGGATTTTGGACAAGACTGTTTAAGGGATGTGTCTGTGTATTTTGAAGCGCTATTAATGTATTGTGAATTCAAATGTTGTATTTTGGCATATGAATTCAAATGTTGTATTTTTGCATACTTTAAAGTGCAATTCATATGTTTGGTGTGACAGTTACTATTTCAATTGTCAAAATGAGAGCTTGCATTTTCATTCACCAAAACAACTCATACATTGATTACATTGGCCACAACACTCAAAATGAAGCCAATTTTCACACCCCAATCCACATATTTACGTAATCTTGGGTTAAGACGTAATTCACACATTAATTATAGAATTTAATAAATAAAAAACCATAACTAAAATGTGAAGAAACATTTAAATAAATAAATATTTCACATAGAATATTCAGTGGAAACGACAACATCTGAAATCTTATAATTTTTATATTATTTTACAAGTTAGAACTACTCAAAAGTTCATTAGAAGAGCATTATTTATCCACAAGCTATGTACACAATACATTCTATAGATATGCCAAAATCATCACAAACTCTAGATTTCAGGTTCAGTACTTGCAAAATCTGTTGGGGTGTGAGCAAAACCACAGCTCAGTAGGGGCATAAACCTTTTCACGGTAAATTGATATAACTAAATTAAGTGACATACAATCACACAACCAAATATCATATTAATAAAATTAATGCATGAATGCTCTTCATCTAATCCCCTTAATTCATATAACTAGACAAGTAGACCTGTACGTCCTATACCATGCTTATACCACTTGGTCTCGAATGCCCATTTATATGAACTAACCCTCATCTCAATCATCCTATAAATTCCCTTTTGTTAGTCATCTTGTCTAACTCCTTGTTGCCAGTCCCGTATCACCCAATAAAAACCATGTGCATTGCGGGATCCCTGAGATCTGGTACCTACCAATAGTTAGACTCAACTATACAAAAGATCATTTCCATTATCCTCTTTTTCCATCATTATTTTCTCAACCCAACAATTCCAGCCAATTTACATGGCATGATATAATTATGCATTTCACATATCCTTCACAACAATGTAACCATTTAAAACATCACCAATGTATATATAATTATGTCAACATTGTTCAAATAGTTAAGAATACGTGAAAACCCAATACAAGGAAAGTCAACCAAACTGTAATACCATACATAATATAATGCTCACGAAATTTAATTAAATCAATCTCTGTAAAAGGCCCTCAAGAAACTTCTACCTTGACACCAAAGCTTTTGCTAGAAATGTTAGGTGTTTTCCAATTTTCCACCGCATTTACAAACCCAATCTTCTATTTTCGTCCAATACTTCTTCCTCTCTACATCTTACTATCTTTCCTTCTTACTATTTTCTTCTTTATGTTTCTTTTTCTCTTCACATGTATTTCTATGCAAGCCTTAATGTAGAAGGTTTCCTATTTAAACAACAAAAGAGGCGGCAATCCAATGTTTACCTATTGGCTGGTAACAACTTGTTATCCAAGTTTTGGATAACTTCTTCAAATTAATGACGGTAAGAAAAGATATACATTTAAAGAAACAAAATATCTTTCTTACTCTAATATTAATGGTAGCCATTTGTAAGTCATTTACGAAATTTGCATGTGCTAAAGCCACCTCATACTTTCAATATTATAAACTAAATAGAAAAAATATATATTTAATTAATATATATATAATTATTTAAGTACGGTATTTCACACCAATTACACACCTTTTCTTACTCTTACAAAAAGCCAACAACCCACCCTTTCTAACCATTACAAATTGCCAATCACCCATCCTTTTTTAACCATTACAAAACCCAAACACCCATCCCTTTCTAACCATTACAAAATGCCAATTACCCATCCCTTTCTAACCCTTATAAAATGGCAAGCACCCATCCCTTTATTACCCTTACAAAATGTCAACTACCCATCCCTTTCTACAGCTGCCCATTGGTGCATTAGTCTTCATTCAAAATCAACCACATAATAACCCCAAACATGCACAATGACGCCCAAAATCATGGGGTTTTTAGCTTTGAATTCAATATTTTTCATTTTATTTATTTATTTATTTATTTTTATTTATTTATTTTTTTGCTTCCAACTTGTTAATTCTCCTCAGTAGTCTTGGAATTATTTGCTTAGATCTATTGCACATAATAGGGTCACCCCACCCCCACATTTGACAACAATTCTACAAAGACAAAGTTTTAAAATTTGAAAACTCAAAACTGCAAATTTGAAACCCAAACTTCAAAATTCAACTCACCCGCGCACAAAGATAAAATCTTCGTCCTAGATGTGAAGAGGTCCAAGAAGTTCGAATTTTTGCAACCCTCCCACAGTAGCAAACCCGTGATGGCAACATCCATGAACTGCCCTCTTCAAACTCTGAACTCCCTCTGTGTGACCCATCAAGGTAAGTTTGTCCTCATCTCTCTCTCTCTCTCTCCCCCAGATAGATGGAAATCACTAGAAACAAATGGAGGACCAACCTTGGAGGTGCTAAATGAGAAGTGAGGTTCACCTAGGTAATTCAATCCACACGAATGACCATAATAACCCTCAAAAGAGAGTCAATGTGAGTCAAATGGAAGATTAATGGATGAAATGTGGGAATTTTGACGGTGGAACATTGATAATAAAATTTAATTCAAGTCCTTAATTTACTATAAAAAAAAAGTCAAGAGGTAAATGGATAGTCATGTACAAATTGAAAGGGTAATTCAATAATTTACCCTTAAAAAATATAGATTTATAGCATATAGAGGTTAGGCGAGCCTCTCTATTAGTTGTTGTTTCCATTCTTCTGCTATGTACATAATCAAACACTCATGCAATGAACCATTTCAGTCAAAGATCATTTGATCGCAAGTTTTTAGACGTTGCTCGCAAAAATGTCAAAAATTTTAGTTGGTTTGTTTACTTCTGGGGATATCTAGCATCTCGAAGTTGTTACACATTGCTCTCACATGAACTGTCATGGATTTTAATTAGTTTGAGAAAATGGCAACTGTATTTAATATTCGCCATATCCAATAATTTGAAAACTCGGGCAAAAGAACAAAATTAATAATGTGATACATGTCCAAATCCAACCCTACTCGCCTAAATTTACTTTTAGAATACCGCGTTGATTAAGACTCATAGGCACTCCACCCAATCAAAATCGATTGTCACATCTCAAGTCTAAAAAAGCGACCCTGTTGAATTTTCCCACGTAAAAGTTAGACTTTCACACCCCAAATCCGTCTGAACAGTATTATATTTTGTGTCGGGGGTCGCCATGGCAATGGCCTAATCCAGTTGTTAACTAAGCATAGGACTTAAGTATCTTTGTTCTCAGTTATTCTTGTTCAAACTTCGATTATTCATTGCCGCCTTTTTAAAAAACTTGTTCAATTCAGATTTGATTTGTCAAACATCGAGATTAGAGATTAGACGAGCTTGATCAATGGATAATTAAGTAATCATCGAATACGTGGTCATGAGCGGACAAACAGCTAGCGCCAAGCAAGCAAGACTTAAAAAGCAAGTCAACCAGCAAAAGTAGTAAGACAACATAGTATTCAGGTTTTACGTGGGAAAATCAACAGATACCAAACTTGTGGTGTTTGATAGATCTTTACCAAACCCACATGCTAATTAGCTTAAGCACGCATATACTTAATCTTTCATTACCATGCATGCATTGCAAAACATAATCATTGATCACAAAGCATAATCATTAATCAAAATCAAGTGCCTCTTGGTGGTTCATAAAGCAATTGGCGTGTGGGGTCGTCCCTGTCCTGGTCCTGTTGAGCAGAAATTTCCAAAGGATGCATGGATGGATGCAAGCTCGTGTTCGTTATCTCCACGCTTTACTTGGTGTCAAAATTGAGCTAAAGTCAAATAGGAGAAAATAACAAAGATAATCGCACTCTCTTTCTAGGAAAGCAAATAAATACCTTGAGAAAACGAATCGTGCATGATGTTAATGTAATGTATAAGTTGCTTCTGGTCAAATTTTAATAACTTGAATTGACTGGATATCGCAGAGGTGATTAAAGTAACACTATCCTCTCACTATTCATGAGACTTTTGAAAACTAATCAAATTTTAATACTTACTAATACGGGTGGCAATGAGCTGCTAACTACTAGGCCCCAATGTCTCTTTACCTTGTTTTTTATTATTATTATTATAAAGGTGGTGTATGTGCATACATGTACTATTGATTCCAAGAAAAATGGCTTTATCTAGTCAGCACATAGCGAATGAAATTAACAAGCACTCATTCGGCATTGGATTCTCTTTCTTAATAATAATAAAATAAAATAAAAAAGTCTATTGATCCTTATTATTCTGTTTTTTAAACTTGTTTCGGAATAATTATGAAAGAGTCATAATCACTTACGCAAAGAATCACTTTCTACGTGCTTTTTGATATAATCACTTTAAGTGATTTTAAACGATTCTAAGGAGAAGCACATGTGAGGTGCTTTTCCCCAAAATTACGTTAAAACCATTTAAGGTGATTATCTATAGAAGTGATTATTGACCTATCCAAAATCACCTTCGTGGACTGGTGTTAAAGATTGGCTTCTCCACTTACAATGCAATATATATATATATATATATATATTATATCTCAAGAATATGGCTTCTGAGCATATACATGAATCTCAAAGCTAATTCATTCACATATGTAATTGCCATAAAATTTTCATTTGAAAACACGGTCAGTCTCAAAGTTAATTTATTCATACGAGCTACTTCCTCCTTAATTACGATTAAGCTCATAAGGTACTAATATATATTATCTTCACAAGACAACAATATTGTAGCTAGTGAAAATCCAAAGTATTCAAATGTTTTGGCTATCTAAAGTCAAAGTTAACCAGAAGCATGAGATCTTTATATCACATCGTGGCCACTTATGTGGCTCTATGTCCCTATGGCCTTATTGATCACAAAGGCGAATGTGCTGCTGCTTTTTGTCTGTCTGCAAATAGCTGACTTTGGTTCCGAATCATAGCTCACCCATCCTGTTAAGCAGGAAAAAGATAAAACGAGCCAAACCTCACACGCATACAATAGAATTGTAGACCAGCATGAGATTTTTTCGCTTAATCAACACCATAATAGGGTCCACTGTTTCAAGTTGATAGCATCGTGAAAATGACAAAACCCTAATGCGTTTAAGTCCATGATAGCTATATATATATATCAACAATATTGGCCATGAAACTTACACTATATACAAACCAATTTAGTCTTAATTAACTTGAATTAGCATTAACCATCCACACGAATTTAATAAAAAAAGTCTTTCTTTGTTTAAAATTCTAAAAAATATGAAGATCAATGCTAAAATAATCCTAATGATTAATTAATCATAGCCATAGATGAAAATCGCCCCCACACTCTCACTTCCTTTTGTCTTTCTTTCTTTCTCATATGCTACCCACTTTTTGTGGTTGGGGGACCCTACTAACTCGAGGATAAGGGGTGTGCTTGCGACTTCACCCAAAGTGAACAACCCAAGACCACCATGCCTCACCCGAAGTTTCTTTCTTTCTTTACATATATATTATTCTTTTATTTTTAAGTTGACTCGAAGTCTAGAAGCATTACACAAAAACGCAAGTATCCACTGGCTATAAATACATTGGAGTTCATCGTGCCTTAAACCCAAGCACTTAAAGCACAACCCATTAGGCTCTTTCTTCTTTTGCTTATTCCTTTCTTGTTCTCTCAGTTCTCGCGAACCCATTAGGCCATTAGCCATGGGCTCCTACCATGCAGGCTCATGCACTGCCACAAACATTAAAATCTCATTTTCATTATTCTTGCTTCTTGTTGGAGTAGCTTCAGCACAATTGTCCCCTACTTTCTATTCAACATCTTGCCCCAACGCCCTGTCCACCATAAAATCAGCTGTGGACTCAGCTGTGTCCAAAGAGGCTCGCATGGGAGCTTCCTTGCTCCGTCTTCATTTCCATGATTGCTTTGTTAATGCAAGTCTTTAATTTCTCCTTATTCCATACATTTCTAGATTCTCATTTCATGGAATTGGTTTTTTTAAAGATCATAAAATCAAATTCCAAGAAACAAATGGGAAGATATCAATTAAATAAATGGATTCTCAATCACTCCTCGATTTTTATTTTCTGTGACTAGGACAGCTTTTTTTTTTTAAGATCTTGTTATTTTCGTTTGCTATTGTTGTTATCTAGAATTCTAAAATGAAAGATAATCTTAGATTAATTTAAATTCTAAGTCTTACGCAATTTGTCTTGTCGACATGCAAAACAGTTTGAACCCTCAAAAGTATTTGACTTTCTAATTGTGTTCACAAAAGTTTTTTTTTATTCTCTATATGTTTTTTCTTTTTCAAGTAATTCATATTTCACCATACGACAATCTGCTTTGACCCTTTGTTTCAGTCTTGGCGGTGCACGCGTTTCGAACTACCAAGTGTTGCCCAAGGCTATGCAAACAACAACACGATAAAAAAAACAAAAAAGTACTGCTAAAGCTATAGCTAGCTGGAATGAGCACCATCTGATTGAAAACCCCTTATTTGTTATATTCGTAAAGCATATTGGATCCTTCACCGACCAAAAAGAAAAATATTTTGGGTTACTTTTGGGCTCAATTACGTGCCTTATTAGCTTTTGCTTTTCGTGCAAAATTTATTTAGTGACAAGCTATGAATCATTCAAATGTTTTTTTTTTTTTTTTTTTTTTTTTTTTTTTTTTTTTTTTGGGGGGGGGGGGGGGGGTGTACCCGTTAATTTGAATTAAGAGATGTGAATTTTACATGAAACAGGGATGTGATGCTTCGGTTCTGTTGGACGACACAGCCAGTTTGACAGGAGAGAAAACGGCAGGTCCCAATGCTAATTCTTTGAGGGGTTTTGAGGTCATCGACACCATTAAAACCCAATTGGAGAGCCTTTGCCCCAAGGTGGTCTCTTGTGCTGACATCTTGACCGTTGCCGCCAGAGACTCTATTGTTGCAGTAAGTCAAAATGCTCCAACATAATTTATGTCATAATCTGTTCTTTTTTCTTCTTTTTTTGGACTAACTAATTAAATTGTTTAATCAGTTGCGTGGACCAACCTACACAGTGCCATTGGGCAGAAGAGACGCAACCACCGCAAGCTTAAGTGCTGCCAATTCCAACATACCTGGTCCCCAATTGAACCTGGCTGCCCTCATTTCTGCTTTCTCAAACAAAGGCTTCACCGCCAGGGAAATGGTGGCTCTCTCAGGTTTACAAATCAATTACTAAACATTATAAATTAAGTTCAATTTTTTATTTATTTTTTATTTTTTTATCATCAGTATCTAAACAATTAACCTAAACCACGTCAACAAGTTTAATATCTAATTACTTTGTTCTTTTTTTCTTGTTTGATTAGGATCTCACACCATTGGCCAAGCTAGGTGCACAACATTTCGGAATCGACTTTATAACGAAGCCAACATAAACGCGTCATTTGCAACATCCGTGAAATCACAGTGTCCAAGCAGTGGAGGCGACAACACACTTTCCCCACTTGATGTCACAAGCCCAACCTCTTTCGACAACGCTTACTTCAGGAACCTGGTGAGCCAGAAGGGTTTGTTGCACTCAGACCAGCAGCTCTATAGTGGAGGGTCCACCAACACCATAGTCGATGCTTACATCAGCAATACTGGGACTTTCAGGGCAGATTTTGCCAATGCTATGAAGAAGATGGGAAACCTTAGCCCTCTCACGGGCACCAATGGTCAGATTAGGACCAATTGTAGAAAGGTCAACTAGGGCTTTTAAGAACTATGCCTAGTTTGTTATTTTTCAAGTGTCCATTTTGATCTTATTGGGTTATTGGTTGCTTTTTCCGAGGTATAATATGCCAGAAGATGAAGTCCATTAATAAAAGTTTTTGTTTTTGTTTTTCACAAACCACAAGAAATAACTATCACATGTCCATGTTTAAGTGATTAATTGTCTATTTTTATTTGGGACTATACAATAAATAAATAAAGATTGCATAGTCTTAAAAACAAAATGTCAAAAGTAATTAATATATTTTCAAAGCACAAATAAAGATTGCATAGCCTTACTGGGTTTATCCACATCCAGTTATTTTCAAAGCAAAAACAGAGAAAGAGCTAATCTTGAAGCTCCAATTATTTCTTTATATTTAGAATAACGCATTAAATGATTGAGAGAGACTTATAGCAACTCCACCCAATTCCCTATTCTTTTAGAAAGTCCAGTCCACCACCTAATTCCCTATTCTTTTTTGGTCGTTTGATTTGATTAATTTGGAGGACTAGGTGTTACATAATTGTGTCAATTGTCAAACGTTGATCGTAAATTGGTTTGTGTACTCCCACTGGAATTTGATCACTTGGTTTGAGTAGGTACTCCACTGGATCTTACCATATAGGTTTTGATTAAAAGAAAATTGGCGTAGCAAAATCCACACGCAAACTTTTCTGAAATTGAAAGGTCATAAGACCAAGTAATATATATATATATAAGATGGAGTAACATAAGGAAAAGAGAAAAACTGACCTGCATCATAGTATGACAAAATAAGCAAAAATTATGCATACTTGGAAAACATCTACAAGACTCTCACAAGATGCGAAGGCTTAGCCCTCTCTCCGGCTCTAACGGGCAAATTAGGACAAACTGTCCAAGGGTCAACTAGACATTATTTTTCTTTAAGAACTATAGCTTAGTTGGTTTGAAAATAATTCTGAAAAATAAACCAACACATGCTTGTTTACCACCTTTTGCGTAAGATTATAATTTGCCTTGATTTTAATAGATTCGGTTATAAGTTTGCAGCATGAGCATGTTTGTTTGATAGTAATTAATATAGTGTTCGTATGAGTGCTGTGGACTAAGTAAATTGAAGTAAATTTCACAATTGGATTGGAATATTGCATAAACTGTCATCCAATGCCTTTCTCCATCCCCGACCTTCTCACCTCTCTCTCTCAAACACTCCCTCGCTGTCTCTCACTTCCCTGCACTCGTTGAAGCTTGAGCCACCCTACCCTACTTCGACCATGTGATCGGCTCTACAAGAACGTTTTCGTGCATAACTATGCTCAAGTGGCGTAGAGGATTGTGTGAGCTTGGTCAAGAGTATTTTCACTCAGGAACTTTGATGAGTGCTCACTGAGGTTGCCTATGTACAACAATGGTTTCGGTTGCATGATAGTTTTGGTCGAATTTCCCGTCCTAAGTCATTGTTGTACATGAGTAGCCTTGGCGAGCATTCCATCAGGATGGATGCGCCCCTAGATAAAACACCTTTGGTTCCCCCAATTTTCACAAAATGGTAAACTCTTTACCTTCACATTCTCACAATGATGGGTGCGCCCCTAGATAAAACCCTAGACGTTTTGCCCCTTTCTTTTGTGTGCCCCAAAAGGGAATGTTAAATTTTTTTTTTTTTTTACAACTATAAATTCATATTTATTTGTTACTGCATCGACCATAGATGAATTCTTTTTTTTACTTGGGAGTATTGAATACACCCATAATTCTAAGTTTCATGTTACTCCTACCAAGAGACATGTCAAATCCAGGCATCCCAATTCGATTGAAAGGCCTAGCATACTTGGAAAACATTATCTACAAGACTCTCACAAGATGGAAAGGCTTAGCCCTCTCACCGGCTCTAAGGCCATCTCCAACCATGAGCTATATCACAAATATAGCCCTAAAATAATGCAAAACCCATCTCAAGTCATGGACTAAACAAAATTTTGGCCAAAATTGGAGGGCCACATTTGGTCCTTTAGCCCTTCAATCGGGCCAAATGTAGCCCAGTTTTGGCATAGACCAAATTTGTAACATCCCACATCAACCAACGGAGATGGGGTGATGTGCCTTATATGTACATGCCCGCCTCCATCTAGCACGAGGCCTTTTGGGAGCTCACTAACTTCGAAATCATGGGAACTCCGAAGTTAAGCGAGATGATGCTAGAGCAATCTCAGGATGGGTGACCTACTGGGAAGTTTATCGTGAGTTCCCAGAAATAAAACCTTGAGGGCAGAGATGGGGGCCCAAAACGGACATTATTGTGCAACAGCGGAGCCGATTCTGGGATGTGACAATTCGGTATTAGAGCCACTCTGCCGTGTGGTGTGAGTGTGCCGACGAGGACGTCGGGCCCTTAAGGGGGGGTGAATTGTAACATCCTACATCGACCAATGGAGAGGGGGTGGTGTGCCTTATATATACATGTCCGCCTCCATCTAGCACTAGGCCTTTTGGGAGTTCACTGGCTTTGGAGTCATGGGAACTCCGAAGTTAAGCGAGTTGGGGCTAGAGCAATCCCAGGATTGGTGACCCACTGAGAAGTTGCTCGTGAGTTCACAGAAACAAAATCGTGAGGGTAGAGAGGGGGGCCCAAAGCGGATAATATCGTGCTACGGCGGAGCCGATCCCGAGATGTGACAAAATTTGTAGTGGGGCCCATCCATGTGCTTTTCAACAGCCAACATTAATATATATAGATTTTTAAAAGCCTTTTGAATGTTTCAATTCACAATGTTTAAGAAAAAGGTATAAAAAATTGTTGGCAATGACGTTGGAGGTTAGACCTACCCACTCCTTTTTTAAAATAATAATAATAATAATAAAAATAAATGTGGTCAGCTTTTCAAATCTTTTCAAGTGTTGTTTAAAAACAATTATAAAAAAGTCTTGTTCATGACCATTGGAGCTCAAACATTGAAACCCATCCTTTTTTTTTGTCTTCACATTTTTAAATGTTTGGTATTGTTTAAAAAAATTATAAAAAATTATGGGTCATAACCGTTGAAGGTTAGACCCTTGAAACCCTTCCTTTTTTTCTTTTTCTTTTTTTATTATTTTATAAATTGCCTTTGTTGGCTTTATATATATATTTTTAAAAATAGTAGTTTAATTAAATTAAACAATATATAGTTGTGGAATGTATGAGTGTTGTACCATAGTTTTTCTCAAAATAATAAAATATAAAGGACCCTAAAATATAGTCATGCATGGCTAGAGATGGAAAAATTTAGCTCTGCACTATTCTTTGAAAAATTAATATTTTGGGGGGCTAAAGTTTTAGTCATGGACTACATTTAACCCTACGGCTGGAGATGGCCTAATGGCTAAATTAGGACAAACTGTCCAAGGGTCAACTAGACATTATTTTTCTTTAAGAACTATAGCTTAGTTGGTTTGAAAATAATTATGAGAAATAAACCATCAACACATGCTTGTTTACCACCTTTCGCGTAAGATTATAATTTGCCTTGATTTTATTAGATTCGGTTATAAGTTTGCAGCATGAGCATGTTTGTTCTATAGTAATTAATGTAGTGTCCGTATGAGTGCTGTGGACTTAATAAATTGAAGTAAATTTCACAATTGGATTGGATTGGATTGGAATATTGCATAAATTTCTCCATCCCCAACCTTCTCACCTCTCTTTCTCAAACACTCCCTTACTATCGCTCACTTCCCCGCACTCGTCGAAGCTTGACCCACCCTACCCTACTTCGACCACTCGATCGGCTCTTCAAGAACGTTTTCGTGCATGACTATGCTCGAGTGGCGTAGAGGATTGTGTGAGCTTGTCAAGAGTATTTTCACTCAGGAACTTTGATGATTACCTATGTACGACAATGGTTTCGGTTGCATGATAGTTTTGGTCGAATTTCCCGTCCTAAGTCATTGTTGTACATGGGTAGCCTTGGCGAGCATTGCATCATGACGGATGCACCCCTAGATAAAACACCTTTGGTTCCCCCAATTTTCACAAAATGATAAACTCTTTATCTTCACATTCTCACAATGATGGGTGCGCCCCTAGATAAAACCCTAGATGTTTTGCCCATTTCTTTTGGTGCGCCCCTAAATGAAAGGGAACGTTTTGCCCATCTCTTTATCTTCACATTTTGAGTGGATTATATGCCATATTGGGATAAAAGTATGGATGAATCCGATTCTCAGCAAAACAAAGTTGTTACATCTACTGTTGGGAAGATGAGATTAAGATATGTGATAATACTTATAGGATGACTAAAAATGCCTAGAGGGGGGTGAATAGGACAATTTAATATTATAATCAATAAACAAAAATTAAACTTCAGTAGCAGGATTGATATGGCTTATCAATCATGAAACGTGCTGGGCATAAAATAAAAGAACACGCAGAGAATTATTTTACGTGATAAAACCCCACATTTGGGGAAAATCCACGGGACTCTTCAGTCCAACACAAATCCACTATAGAACGATGATTACAAGAAGTACTCACACACTTATCCTAGACACATTCTGGATAATGTTTACCAACTTCTTCGTAACTCAACTTCTATCACGGGATGATCTTCGACACTCCTTATGTTGAACGCAATACTGGTCACGATTGCTTCAAGCTCGCCGGAGGAAAAACGCCACCACGGTCTTGGTGCCCTCAACTATATGAGTCACAGACATGCATATGAATGCAATATGAATGATGAAAGTGTGTGATAAATCACCAAGTAAACAAGGAACACTTGATGACTTATCTCAAAAATATGTGCAGGAGCTTTCTCTTAAAAATTCAATCTGTGCAAAACCAAATATGTCGAAAGCTTACTATGTGAAAATAAAGACCCGCGTTTTATTCAAAGCCGGTTCTCTCTAGTAAGAGAGAAACCCAATAGGCCAACAATTCTATTCAAATGTGATTCTCAAACTTGATCCCATATGGACTCAAGTCAATCACGTCAAAACCAAAAGACACACCACTATGCCATTATGAATAATCACTTTGATTCACTATCAACTTCCTGGAAGGACGCCAAACATGAGACTACAAAAGTATCAATCATGAATATAAACTTTGATCTAGTATGGACTCTAAATGACGATGCCAAACAACCAATCTTTGTGGGAGAAACAATATCTCCTAAAACAAACTAATTAGACCAATCAAGTAGGAGATGAGCAACGTGCAAGTCATAATGGGAAAAGATAAAACTTAAATCAAAATAGTCCAACTAGGAAAGTAATCTCAAGAGATAAAATCTAATCCTATTAAAGATAAGATTAAGATAAAAATACTTTGAGTGAAAATAACTCCAATTAGGAATTCTATAATGAATGCATGATTATGTCATGATTTATTTGAAATCAGTTTCTCATATCGGTCAAGTCATGCCTCGGAAGTATGAGGTTAAACGAGTTGTGTCAAAATATCCAGTAACAATTCTTCACATACTAATTTTCAACCTATGCTTGAGTCTAGAAAATGACAATACAAATTTTATACTAACAATATGTATTGTGCACAAGTTCTAAACCTCATCCATGTCTTGTTCTAGATTATTGCACCTAGATGGGGAATTACACCAATGTCCTTAGATTCTATTATAGGGTTGTTTTACTCTCTCCTCAATAAAAGACATAAATTACGTGAAAGTCATAAATTTGTTTGCATGAACTACTCCGCCGAGCCACTTCAACTGTTGACTATTGTCTAAGTCACCGAGCTCGCCGACGATGTCTTCATCGACTGCATAGTTAACCGGGCCAAATGAAACTTCCATATGGCATTTCTTCAACACTTCAGCCCATATTTGCATATGTGCTAAGAAAACCTCAAAATCCTCCCATTTATCAAGCGACGCGTGTTCACCTGACGTTAGTGCTCAAGCCAATCATAAAAGTAGCCGCAAACATCATAGGTAGGCAATAAGAATTGTCAAATCAAGGGCGGAACCAGGAATTTATTAACGGGTGTGTTGTTTTGTACTTATAATTTCTATTGTCTGTTTAGAGATAAAAATATACATTAAATCGTATAAACCACACTAGTTCCTCAAGTGCAAGGCTAAATGCTAATTTCCCATAAGTTTTAACATAAAACAAATACAAATTAAATGCAACCAAAAAACACATATTATCAACATTAAAATATGTTCAACAATATAATTGAAAGTGTACATATTTTCATGTATATTTTTATTGATGCCCTGCCACTAAATTCATAAAGAATTGGACTTTTGTTAGGGTTTAATAAGTTAATACATACTTGGCTATATTTAAAATAAGTCAAATATATTGGTTTTATTTTTTTATCCCCAAAAACCTTCCTAGGCTACAGCCCATTGTAACCATTAGCCTAGTTCTGCCCATGCGTCAAATTTACACAATTTTGAGCCACTAGTACTTGTAGGGGTGGTTGTGGTTCGGTAACTGTGAATTTTTGCCCAAATCGCAAACCGACTACATTTTGCAGTCTGTTACCGTGAATTAGCGGTTTAAAACCGCAAGTTCTTTTTGTGTCATAAAAATCCAATCTTCCACATTTTAGGCCTAATTTTGATTCTTCTTTTGAAGTCTTTTGAGTTCAAGCATACTTTAACCCAAAAATATAAATTCACAACCTCAACTTCTAAAGCATATATAAATTCACAACCTCCTCAACTTCTCAAGCATTTGCAACCTAAAGAAAATTAAAGTTACAATTCCAAGCATTGTAATTAAAGTTTAACTTCTCAAGCATTCACAACCTCAACTTCTCAAGCATTCCAATTCCAAATCCTTTAAAGTTACAAACCAAAAGGAAAATGCAATGCAAAATGAATTAAAGTTACAACCCAAAGGAAAAATCCAATTCAAAGTTAATTAAAGTTACAAACTAAAAGGAAAATGCAATGCACCAATGTTACAAACTTAAGTGTTGGTGGTGGTGAGTGGATTTGAAGGACCCCGTTATGTTGTTTGAGCACCAATGCTATCTACAAAATGCAATTTTTTATTTATTTTAAATATAGTCACGGTTTGCGGTAACCTTTGAAAACCACAACTGCAAATGCAGTTTGGTTTCCCGCAATTGCAGTTCCATTACGGTAAATTGTCGGTTGGTTTTTGCAGTTTTTTGGTTTTTCGGTCTAAAATGCCACTCTTAAGTACTTGTCACGTCACTTTTGAGTGGGGAGACATGGCATGCTCTCGAGCAATGACCACAGCCCCACATCGAAAGAATAACCTAAAGTGCTCCACTTTTCTCCTTTATAAATAGGGCTTTTTCCCATAACAGTAAATTGGCATATGTACCCTTAGTCTGTCCAATTACGTACTCATTTTGTCCTTAAGCTAATTTAAACATCGAAAAACCTTCGATCGGTATTACATCGGTGTCTATGGTCTTACAGTTGCCCTTCGTCTCTGCATATCTATTCATATGTGCTGAAGGTCCCACAAGACCGAAAGCATGCTCACTTCGAAGTTGTGTCTATTTTTCGGCCTCAACAAAACCAATGAATGAGAACAACTTCTTCTACATATATGAAAGCCACTGAACAACAAACTAAGAATCCAATTGTAGAGACTATACATAGGCCTGTTAAAACAGCCCAGGGTCGATCGGCTACCGCGAAACCGGCCTTATTTACTTGGCTATGGGCTTACACTGCCCAACCCGTTATGTAATAGGTAATACTTGGGCTATGATTTTAAGCCATTGGGCAGTCTGGCCCAACCCACTTATAATTAAAAAATTGATAAATTAAATATTTATATTTATATTTATATGTAATGTAACAATATAAATAATATTAGCCAATAAAATTTGATTCCTTTCGGCATTGTATGTAATGTTTTCTCCAAAAGAAAATGAAAGCCATAATCAACGGTAGAAAAATTAATAATAGCCAGTTAACGTTACCATTTCTAGGTTCTTTTTAGCTGTTTTTTAATTAAATAGTTTCTATTAGCATGTTAAAATACACATAAGCGTGCCACTTAGATCCATTCTTGGCAGGGGGAGGCACACGAGCATTTCCAATATAGAACATAAAGCAAAGCCTAAGTGCTCAGCCCATTAGCCCGAAATTTTTTAGCCCTTGGGTAGGCCCTGGGCTTAATATGTTTAACATAAGGTTGGCCCAACTGACCCATTCACTCTGTAGGGCTCAAACAGCCCGTTACTGGGTAGGGCTTGGGCTTTTACCTCTTAGGGGCGAGTTGGCCCGACCCAACCCATTTTACAGGCTTAGCGACAAGCAGTCTTCATTAATCCCAACAACCCATTAGGATTTAGGAGGAGAAATCCAAAGCTGAATCTCTTGTCCTGTGGCGGTAGCCGGCCCAACCAAAAGAAAGGGGCAAAACGTCTTTCTCTAAAAGGTACAGTGGAGTCCTTTGCAAATCCTTTTTCTGTCTCATCGTCAACCATTTTCTAAAAGCATCATTCAAATATATCAACAGACTGAGTGTTCCAATAGAACATAAGATCACATTTCCATCAGGAAGAGTACATCATAATAAAGTACATGCCTATCCAAATGGATGAAGTTGCATACAAAATGAAGTTACCCTGATGCTGTCCTGGAATTGAGGAGAGATGACTTTATCAAAATTCTCAGAAACTTTGAAATACATTACAAGACTCATCCCCTCCCCATCACTATCACCAAGAAACATTGCAGCAGGATAAGTGAGCAACTGCAACAAGGCGCAGAGCAATATCATTAGATATTGCCAAAATATAACAAACAAAACATAAGATAAATCCATTCTGAAAAAATACCTGTATGTTTACAATGAACACTTTCCCATTTGCTTTCACTTTGGGAAGCTCAAGATGCTGGGCAATGTGATGTATCTTTCTGGGGCATACAAACACATCAACACCTATTGGAGTATATGGATTGTAGTTTGGAGCAGTTGACTTTTGTTGTCTCTGGATGGTAGACCAACAGAAAATAATATTATAATTAGCAATGCAGAACAGGGTAATTAGTTGCAAATGTCTAAATTCAGTTAAGGTTGGTTTTGACAAAAGAAAAAACCAAAGTCATACTTGAAATAGTTCTCGCCATGGAATTTAAAAGTTGAGGGTGGAATCTCAGACCAAGATCCTGAAGTCGGCTTCTCTACTCTGCAACATGGAATGATATATCCCGGTCTAGGCCAATACAGAAACCTTTTTGATTGACCTGTGGATATATCAGAGAAATGTTCAGTAATATACATGTACATCAATCTCAATATTCTAAGTTTTCTTTCTATTCAAAGAAAATTGAATTATTTGAATACTAACATTGTTCAATGGTTTCTTCTGCATAACAGGATCTCCTTTTAAAAGAAAGTCTGAAAACGGCTGATGGTTTTCTCTGGGACTGTAGAACCAAACTACGTACCAATCGAGATAAGCCGGATTTCAGGGCATTGTCTTGAATTTTTTCATTAGAATCACGTCCATCCTCTATAAGTCCTTTAAAGCTTCCATAAGAGTGATCTAATATATTCCTCCTCTTATTGCAAACTTCATCAGCCTTCCCTAAGCGAGAAAGCTCACAGCCCTGGGTACTAATAAGCGAAAACCGATTTGATTCCCTGCGCTTGTCTTTGTCTGTGATTTTATCTGATTTACCTCCATCTATTTGCATATAGCTTTGGTATTCTTCATACTTACACACATTATCAACAAAGCGAGCAGATCTTTCATCCTGAAGTACTTGGCCACTTGAGATATTCCCAGAATACTCACTGAGTCAAACCAAGCTTCCTCTTGGAAAATTACTGCAAATTAATAACTTTCAAATTATGAGATTCAAGAGGTACGAATTTTCTTGTCAGCAGTATTGGTTGAAATTGAAAGATAGTTGAAATCTGATGAAAGAAAGCACACACCATTTGAATCATATTGACTGTGGTGCCATTGCAGCTGGGTGAGATGGAATGTTGAATTAGAAACCTTAGATCTTCTGTGAGTAGTTGTTGCACCATTCTCAAAGTCCACATCAACAAACTCACTGACAGCATAGTCACTCACGCGAGCTCCTGCATCACTATTTATTTTCTTGAAACTGGTATTTCTTTTCTTGGTACCATCTGAAGCGGAGCAGGTTGCCTTTCTAGGGTGTTTGATGACCTGCTGACAGTGTTTTTTCCATGATTTAATTGTTTTGGATGGGGTTGACATGCAACCAGCCATTGTAGCTTTTAAATCATGTAAATCCCAACTATAATGATGCCTTCATCAAGTCCTCTCCAACCTGCGTGCCTACAATTGAAACAAAATACATAAGAGAAGATTAAAGGATTTCTGGAAAGTAGTTTCTATTATCACAAATAACCATGAGAACGCAATCAATTCTTTCATCATGAGACTGTTTCAGTAATTTATGGCTCAAACGCTAGGCCAGTTAACCAACTTTACACTTGGAAATTATTAGAATCAAACGGATGACACAGAGAGGTCTCTATGTTTAATGAGTATGGTGGCACTATCAGAAAGCACCTTGGTTAGAAGCGACTGGTAACTTGAAGCAATACACTAATTATTCAATCAATTTGTAGATGAAAATGCAATCATCATAAAAATCAAATGTCTGATTCAAACCTTCTCAAACAAAGTGGGATGTCTCTTCCCAGTCCCATAGATAAGCCACAAATCTTTAGTTCTGGCTCACTAGAACATAAACATGACTAGAAAACAAAAAGATAGTACAACCACCTCAAGAACAACTCAACAAAACCTTAGTCCCTGTACTTGCTATTATCTATCTTAAGCCCCAAATCCTTAGTTCTTACTCAGGGTTAATTAATTAGTGCCTTTCTCTTTAGTAGTTGGCATTTGCAAAGTAAATGGGAGCATCAATCTCAAGTATGAGAATTCCAGGAACATTGCTTGCATTGGGATACTGCTCAACATTTCTGTAAACCATGGAATTCGGAAGGTTTCCTTGAACAAAAGTCCTTGGCCTTGCCACAAACAAAAGTACCCTAATCACAGATATTGCAACCTACACAGAAGAAAAAAAAAGTTCTAATGCATAGTTTTAAGTTGTTAGATATAGTGTTACTGTCACACAATAATGATATGTACTGCTAAGACTAGTCCAATTTCAACGCTGCCAAAACAACGCCGATATAGGCACTCATGCAGACACCAAAGTCAAACTTGTCAACCCTCCGGAGGTGAATTGCGGTGTCTATGACAACAAGCAAAGCCCGACTATGTGTTTCTGTGTCTGTATATTCCCCACGTCTGATTCAGTCAGGATTTCCAACTACTCATCCAACTTAGGCCAAACCAAATTCCTAACAATTACATATTACTTTTACAGACTAAAATCTCTATTGCTCCCTCTAGTAATAACTTTTCGACCACATCTTTCTCTTTTCGTGATGAAAAACACATAATCAAAAGCCAGTTTTCATATATCGGCCATCAGAAATTGAAGCGAGTTCATAATTTAGCTAAAGTCAGGAAAATAAGAAAGACCCGCCTAGACCCGCCTAGGCGGCCGCCTAGCGCCTAGGCCGATTTTTCCAACAGCCTAACTGAACAAAAGCACAGTTTATAGATTTTGAGCTCTAATTATGAACATCATTACCGAATTTAACATTACAGAACAAAATCCACCACCTGTTCTAGATGTCTGTGCTTCAAAGATTTTCCAAAATAAGCAAAATATAAAGATAATTTAGTTAAAACTACAAGTAATTGAATGCATTCCACTAAAAAGCAGGAAGCAGAGTAATTGGAGACTAAGCTTAGTGAAAAGAAAAACCTTAGGTTGAAGAAACTATCCCACCAGTCAAAGTCTGAGGTTCTAGATGTCTTTGCTTCAAAGTTTTTCTTCAATTTCCTATCTTTCTTGCTTTTCTTTGATTTCTTGGGAGACGCCATGAGAGCTCAAATGAGGAATTGCCCACCTTTTTTTTGGCCTTGAACTTGAAGACTTTGATGGGGAGTGATTCAGTGAAGCGAACCAGGAAGCGAGGCAAATGCAAAGCTCGTATGGCCTTTTTTGGCCTTCTATAGTATAGCCGAACGGCTATACTATTTAAATATATATTATATTATATTTATATGGTATAGCCGGCCGGCGGTACTCCTTAGATATAATATATTTAAAAGGTATAGCCGCACGGCTATAAGACATCTTTTATTTTTATGTTTTTTCCTCCCTGGTTTTCGTTTATCTGGGCTACAAGACCAGCTGGCTGCCTATATTTCATCTGTCATCTCTTTGAAGGAGTGTACAACAGCACTTGAGAACCATGTGCTTGCAGACGCCACATCTCATAAACTAGACACTGAAGAATCAGAGGTAATCTCCATGTCTGTTTATACACTCCCTCTGCAATGGGAAATGGGATTGAGGTGATGATCCATTTATTAAAGCTTCAATACTCTCTTCTTTTTTCTATCTGGAACTTAAAGCTTTACTCCATTTATTTCCTTATCCATAATGGGTTAGAAGTTTTTGATTGGTCCTGCACATTTTCTATCCTCTTTTGAACCTGTATGAACTCTTCGAAAATCATCTAGACATGCACCCATGAGTTCTCACTAACGTAATTATGTTCTTTGCTTCAATGCCATCGTGTATGGTCTTCTAGCCAGAAAGTCTTTTGAAAGACTTGCTTTTTATATTAGATCAATTGCGGAGCCAGTATTTGAATATATGGTTTATCTTCAGAATTATGCAAGTTGTTTGTGGCTCCAGGATTCTCTTTTGAACTTCCCTTTTATTTACTTTTAAGGCCTCAAATTTCATATATATATATATATATATATATATATTTTAAAGTGGTACTTCAATTCTGGGAAATTTTATGGAAAGAAAGCTGGTTTCTATCCACATTGGGCTGGACATGAATTGTTCAGCTTATGGCATGTTGCATTTGATTTCAATAGTTCAATGGTGCATGCGATTTTGGATATCATTTGAATTTGACACATCTATATTCCACTTGTATCCAGGATGACTTTCTGCATGCTGAAAGCTCTCATTTGGATGGAGGTCAAGTGGCCACGGTATCAGATGGTGTTTCGGACTTGCAGGATTTACAAAGAAGAATTAAAGCTATTGAAAAGGCAATGGTGGAAAAGGAAAGGCATTTTTCCACAAATCAGGTAGGAAAGAAATTCGGGGATGGGGTTGGTAACACTACGAAGAAGCGTGAAATATCTGGCTCAGGAAATGAAATTCTGACAAAAGACATCATTCTTGATCAGATATCAGAGTGTTCATCCTATGGGATAAGCAGAAGAGACACCATAGAGGTTGATGGTCAGATGCTTGAGTTGTGGGAAACCACTGACCAGGATGCCTGCATTGATTTGATGGTTGGGCCGCTGTACCAACTGACCACAGTCAGACTGAAGCAGTAAAGGAACACAAGAATAAATATTCTTCTTCAGAATCATTGGTTGAGAAGGAATTGGGCGTGGACAAATTAGAGATCTCTAAGAGATTGCATTTTTTTTTTTCGAAAAGTCTCAACGAGCGTCTCACGACTCTATATGCTGTACCATGTACTAAGACCAAAAGCCGTTCTTAATAGAAGTTCCCGGGAGCTGGTTCCTTGAAAACTCTTCCCTCTCCTGTCTTTGAGGAATTCCACGTGCAAGAAGGCAACAAGAGAAGGATTCTAGAAAGATTTGATTCTGATGTACAAAAGTGGACAAACCTTCAAATAACCGTGGAAGACCTGAAAAGGAAGGTGGAGATTACTGAAAAGAGCAAAAAGGGCAAAGGCATTGAATTTGAAAACGTGAAGGGGCAGCTGGAAGAAGCTGACGAGGCCATCACTAAGTTGTTTGATGTCAATAAAAAATTGATGAAGAACGTTGAAGATGCTCCTCTGTTCTCTGATGGAGTTTTTGGGGTAGTGTCGGATGAAAGTGGGGGTGTGAGAAGAAGGAGACTTTCAGAGCAAGCAAAAAGAGGGTCTGAAAAAATCGGGCGGCTACAGTTGGAGGTGCAGAAACTGCAATTTCTTCTACTGAAACTTGATGGTGAAAAAGAAAGCAGAGGATCAACAAGGATCACGGAGCGGAAAACAAGAGTTCTTCTGAGGGACTATATCTATGGTGGCAATAGAACCAACCAGAAACGCAAGAAAGCGCCCTTCTGTGCATGCATACAGCCCCCGACCAAGGGAGATTGAAGCAATGGAATTTCATGGTCCCATGGTATAGTTTTAAAGTAATGATGAGGCATTAGTTTTTTCTTTTTAGAGAGCTTACGTTTTTTTTACAATATTTTCAATAATACACACAAAATTCACATAATATACACATAATTTTCACATATTATTGAATAAAAATAATATATATTAATTCTTTTTAATATATATTATACACCTATCTGAAAAAGTAACCAAAACAATGTACCCCAAACTTGAATATAAAGGTGTGGCTAGGGTATCACTCACCTAGAGAAGAATCATAGGGCATGTTTACGTATCAGTAATGGGAATGAGAGGAAAGGGAATGATTTCCATTCCTGACTTCTCCTGCGTTTACTTGCAATCAGGAATGAAAAAATAAGTGGGCCCTACCTCAAAATCCGTAATCACATTCCCTTAAAACAAGGAATTATATCAATTATGGGGGAGTAGTCAATACGATTCCCATTCCTGTTTTCTCTTAATAACTTCCAAAAATACCCTTATCACTTTACCATAATTCTAAAATTAATTTGGATTCTAATTCATGCAAATTAGTAAACAATAACAATGAGAATCAATCTCATTCCATTGCTAATTTCATATGTTTAGTAAACAACTTAATGGGAATGATTCTTCCCATACCGATTCAGTAGTTCTCCGATTCCTAAATTCTCTGATTCCTTAGTTTCTCCATTACTGATACGTAAACATGCCCTAAAAGGTGAAACAAAAGGATTATATGAATGAAGTGAAACTGTGATGAGCTTCATTGTGCACATATATTTCTGTAACCAGTGTTAGAGGTACCATCTTGCTATTTCCAGTAGGAAATGCAAGACAACCACTCTAGCAATAATTATGACAATAACAACTTTGGGCACTTAGAAGTATATTTTTCTCAAATGGTGTTGTGTAGAAGTGTTGATCAATGCTTGAAGCTCCCTTTAAGAACCTTTGTATAACATCCTAGTTAGTACACACAGATCATTTCACCACATATTTAAACAAAACTAGAGATTTTTTCCCTATTGTTGAGGCCCAAAATGTCAAGAGAAGCCTGAGGATTTTCAAAACCCAATATAACGTACAATAGTTGTCACATGCTAATCCAATCTGTATTTCGGGAATTTATTCCCAAATGAATATACGAATTTTTTTTATACGTGATCAAATAATGTACATGTCATGCCAAGCAAATGTCAAATAACTGTGTGCAAGCTAATACATTTTCCAATGTTAAACCACCTGACACGCTTAAGTAGACCCAAGCCACATAAATGCATGGGGCTTGCTGAGCGGGTTGTGGTGTGGATGGTTACAAATGTCTATAAGGCCAGTTGAGGGATCAAAGAGTGGAAGTTTTGGACTGCTTGAGAGCACCAAAACTCAAGCCCAATTGAAGAGCGTCATAGGGCTTTTCAACAAATCAGCCCAATTGGGCAGCAACCAAATTCAATTAGACAGATCACTACAAATATAGCCCACGTAACAAAACAAAACAGGCAAACAAAGGCATATAGAATATCGCTATAGAATGTTTATTGAAAATGTGCAAGCTCGCACACAAGATGTGAAATAAATAATATTAAAAAACAAATGAGAAGAAATATAAAGCTGTAGGAAGTTTTGTCACATATTCAAATACACAATACGCTTCGTAACCCTGATTCATATACACAATACATCAATTTGTCACATATTCAAATGGATCATCCATTAATTTGAGAATATATATATATATATATATGACTGACTAAAATAATATGGTAAACATGAGATATCAACTTATGATTATATCATACCCTAACCCTAGAATTGAAGGCTGCCATAAATTACATAACCAAAAACTCAGTGATGACTTTGGGCAAGTGGCGTACGTCAGGATGTACTTGGAACCATGTGTGTCTATAATATACCATGCAATGAATGGCCCGCGCGCACATGGAAAGCAAGCACCAGTGGACTCACTTCACCACCAGAGGCTGCCGACAAATTAGATAAACAAATAACTTTTGCATATGTCTGGTTTGGTTGGTGGTTTCAATTAATCCTTTCCATTTTGCTTCCTGTTTATGTTCTTGACCTTCCTCTTCATCATTCATTAAAATGCCAGGAATAAAATCTCCTTGTAGGCTTAGTAGGTACATAAAGATATAAATGTATATGGTGTACTACCCAGTACCCTACACTATATTTGTTATTGATCTTCTTCGTACAATTATGGAATCCTATGCTTTGGACTTGAACACGGATGAGCCCCACCCACATACATATTGTGTTTATTTATTTTTATTTTTATAGAAGCGATATTGAGTAGAAGGAATTCGAACACAGGACTTCGGGTGCAGAGAAAACTATTCTTAAACACTTGAGGCACAAGTCCCTTAAACATTTTCATGGTCTTGCTTTTATGTGGGAAAGTCTAGAGATGATTATAGAAAGGCAAGAACTTTTGAGGATGACTAAGGCTTTGTATGATGAATATCAGATAACCCAATTATTATGGGGTAACAAGATTGAAAGGGTACCGATCAAAGCAGTTTGGCTTAATGGACTGATTAATTTAATATGTATCTAACAAAACAGAGAAGCTTTTACTCTTCGAAAATGCAGTTAACATATGTGAGGACAAGGCAGAGCCAGAAAGATTCCAATCATCAAACCACGCTGCCATGCCACTACTGAATATATGGATAGGAACCTGTAACCCATCTTTCCTCACTGCATTAAATATTTAGCAGACACGGACGCAGAAGAAGAAAAAAAAAACCTTATTCATAATTTGATATGATCAAGCGAGCACAAAATGTTCGGAACAACCAACTAGCTAAGCAACCAGATGCAATCCCTCTTTCAAAACCTACTCGTACTCTCAAACAAAAATGCTGTCTTTCTCTCTGGTAATATTTACTTCACTGATGATATGTTTTTCTGAACTTGCATATATAATGAAAAGCAAAAGGAGTATTAATGACCTGAAATCGTACATGCATCCAGAAAGCCAATTGCTAGGTACTAGATTAACAATCTTAACACCACCATATATGTTTAAGGGGGAATCTTAGGCAGCAGTTGAGGTAATTGCTACTACCACATTAATACATTCTAAACATTAATTAAGGAAAACATGAGCGAAGATTACAGAGCATCATCACTAGCTATAAGAGGTACCTTTGGCCCAGATCCATGGCCAAATATTGACATCATGAAGGCCATTAAAATTGATGGCAGCCTCTGTTGCCTCCACTGGTCACTCTGCTGAATCGAAAGCACAATGTTGAAGTAGGCGAGCCAGCGTCCTCCTCCTCCTCAAAGTCTCCCATGGAGTCAAAAGATGAGCTTCTGCTCGAAAACCGGCTCCTCCTTCCATGGAACTTCCTTGTGCTCACTGGCACATGCATAGATGAATCTGATGACGAAAACAACGATGAAGAAGGAGAAGATGGTACATGGTTTTTCTTGAGGCTTATTTTTGGGAAAAGGGTGTGTAAAAGATTGGATCTTGAGTGCTTTTTGGTTGGTTTTTGGAAGGAATTTGAATAGTACGAAGGAGGAGGAGTGAGAGGAGGAATTGGGTCATCACTAAATGTGTGTTTTGGGGTGCCAGGCTGAGATTCCCAGATGAATGGAACACTACCAGCCAGGCCTCCATAGTAGACCTTGAAAGATGGATTGGCTATGGAGCTTTCCTTGGACAGAAGCCTAGAGAAGAACTTGTTTTCATCTTGGGATTTTTGAGGAAGCTCAGGGTTGCCAGTGTTCAACATCTTTGGCTCTTGAGTGAGTTAGAAGAAGGGGCTTCAACTTCAAGTGGTGAGAGAAGGTGGAAGTAGGAGAGGAGGCAAATTTAGTACTCTCAAGTTGGGACTAAATAATTCCACAACACATCAAGTCAAACAAACATGAATCATAATATAAATTAATCTAACCATGTTGCGCAAGCATAATTACTATATTGTTACTTTAATTACATGCAGCTTTTTCCGCAGATTTGTGTGATCAAACGGATGAGGTGGGCTCAATAGGGCCGTTGGATGCTAAATCAAGAAGAATATGTAGTTGTTGTAAAGGATATATCGTTGGGTCTGAACTAACACATCAGTAGTTGGGTATCCTTTGTTTGTGGTCCTTTGGCACTGTACTCCTGATTAAGGCTTATTGTTCGATTTTAATTAACTCTCTTCAGAAAATTTTATTAACTGCCTTGCACCGCGAACACATCGGCCTCATACTAACAAGCCAAATGGATGTCTATAATTCTGCTGGTAACATAATTATGTAACATTTAAAGATAAGCACATGTTGGATGTGAAAGAATGTGTATGAGCAACATGACCTTTGCGTAGTAAAATGGGTCTTTTGATGGATAGAATTTGATTCGTGCATGACATGATGCATACCCCTCGTTGAACCCACGTTCAACACCTCCTTTTGTCAAACAAGTATCATGCCACAATAAATTATGTGCATTCTTAGAGGAATTGTTCAAAGTCTTAAGTTCCTGGTTCTAAAGTCACACTCATGTAATTATTTTTTGTTTGTTTTTTGGACGGTCACATTTGTTTAATTATACCGAAGTCTTTAAAAACAGAGAGACTAGAATCTTGCCCGTAAACAAAAAGGATTGCTTGTTCGATTGGTCCTAATATTTCAGAACTGACCCGAATCTTGAAACACTTAAATCACTTTTATTAATAGCCCTTTTATTAGAAGCCAGTAATGTTTTCAATAAAAACTCTCTTACGTACTATGATCATATCTCTACTGACTACTGGTATTATATATGCATTTGTATATAATTAACTTATTTGAATTCCGTTTGCCATAAACAAAAACATAATCTAATTTCTTAATTGCGACTGAAATCTAATCTCTATGACGAGAACTGAGAAAGTGACATGAATTTATTAGATTTCAGTCGCATGCAGCAGCATGCAGCATGCCCTCATAACTCTCCCTCGATCAAATGGCTTCTGTGGTCGCAACTGCTACACGCCTAAAAGTTGGTGAAGCCAAAATTGCCCTATTGCTATTTGCTAACACGTGTTTTTTATGTGTGGAATTGTCCTTTTCATTTCTTCAAAGGATGAAAGGGAAGGGAAATCTTTTAATTGGGCCTGAGATTTTAAACTGTGCTGTCCACTCTAAACTCTCATAAGAAACGGACCACTGACATGTTTGCTATTTTGGACATGGAGCGCATGAACTCAATACTTCGGCCCAACAGAAGTAAAATTCAAACTCAGACTTCGCTTTTTACAGTGTATGAAAGTTGAAACGGTAACCTCAATACCTCATAATGTTCGTTAAGGTTAAAAGGTTAAAGTGACAACAAAGTTGGTTTGCACACAAACCCACAATGACACAAAACAGTTGATAAAGTGAGAGACAACATCAGCCAAACTATCTTTGGTTGGTTCCACTTTTATGTTCCTTTTCTTAATTCCTCACTTATATCTAATTCATTCTTTTAATGTATTCAGTTAGTTAGTATTATGTAGCTACTATTGTACCGCATTTATAGACTTCGTTGTTTCTGAACTCTTTATGCATAACATCATATGTATTTCTTAAAGATATGACATGTTGAGAAAACATCACTTTATACTTATTTGTCTTCAATTCAACTTTGATTATGTTTATTAGCATTGCCCAAAGTATGATATTTCAAACCTAAAATCAAAGCGATAAGCGATAAATTAATACAAGACTAGCTACCTTAAAATCTAAGCTCTAAAATTGTACACGTTTAAAAAATCTTCTAACCTTCCAAGCTCTAAAATCGTTAATTTTTAATCAAATACTGCTCTCTCTCAGTTTTGGTGAACGTTGGGGGCCATGGATTCACTCGAGTATCTCTGAGAGATTCGAACGAACAGTAACAGCCCAACAGCCCAAGCCAAAGAGGACAAAGTGCTTTTTCTTGACGCGCTTTTATGATTACCCAGAAGGCAGAAGCCCGTTAGGTGATATGGCTTTTTGTTGCCGTTGAAAAACGAACGACACTCGCGCGTACAATGCCCCCACCATTTTCAAAAATCAATGCGCATATCACTCCATTATGTGTCATCTTACTCATCTCCCACCTTTCCAATAAGGCCCATAAAAACTCAGCATTATATCTCCTCATCATCCCCTGTAACATCCGTAAAACACTCCAAAACTCAAGGGTAACTCTGGAACTTCAAATAAACCAAACGTCTCTTTTGATTTTTGGTTTTTTTTTCCTTTTTATGTTTCCCTCTTTTCTCGAGTTTTGCTATGTACTAATAGCCGTGCTTCTTAGGTTTGTGTGACTGAAGACTCTGAGCTCTGCTCAAACCATAACCAAACATCATTACTTGCTAATTTTGTCTCCCACCAAACTCATTCTGTTCATAACAAGTCTTGGGTTTCTGAAAGTTTGGATCTTTGTTTTTCATTTTGTTGGGATTTCATTTTAGTTGTCGGGTTTTAATATGGAGCCTGATTCGGGTTTGGATGTGAAGAAGGAGAGGGTTTTCAGGGCAGAGATCGATACTTCAGCTCCTTTTGAATCGGTGAGGGAGGCAGTGAGTCGATTCGGTGGAATCGGTTACTGGAAACCCTCTCAGACTAAGCCTTCCGGGCCTGAGGTATGCTCCCGCTTACTTTCTTTCTCTCCAGACGAATAAAGATAGGGTTTTTCTTTTGGAAAATGAAGAAATTGGGAATGGGATTTTTATTTTAAAGCAGAAAAATTACATGAATTGGGATTTATGGCCTTGTTCTTTGGGGTCAGGAGGAAGTTTGAGTTAAATGTACTTTTGTGTTCTTTAAACTTGGTTGTTGGTTCACATTGTTAATTGTAATGGAGGCGCACTCTCACATTGAGCAACCCAAGTGATCCGTTTGCTTCCAAACATAGTTTAACTTTTAAAGAAATTTGTGACTGTCAGTTTGTATGAAATGGTGTCCCAAAGAGTCTGCACTATCTTATTGGGCATTAGCTGTCTGTTACTGCCATTGTTGGGTTTTATGGCTTTATGGCTCAAGAAGATCCCGCAGGATAATCTTTTCGTGTGGAGAAAACTGGGGTGTTGTGTTTACTTTAGTCTCAAAGCAATAGTGGATTATGTCACTGTAGGGGACTCAAGGTTTTGGTTTGTTCCATAATGTAGTGTTTTCTGATACATCTTGCCATATATTAGTATGTAGTTCCACTGAAGGGGAGATTACTAAGTCGTAACTCTGGGCTCTTTTGGTGTTCAAATCAATTTTTAGGGTACCCATTTTATAGAATTACTGGACCATGACCTAAGACCCTGATTCTCTATATATTTCCTGTCATAGAGAGACTGGCCATAACTCCAAAGCCCCAGATTTTCTTTCTGCATCCACAACTTCATGAATGAGAGCGATTACTTGATAACCGAAGCTGGCTTTCTACAGTATAATTTTCTGTCTTTTTTGTTCTGATGATATCTCCCGTATAAGTTATTTTCCTTCTTTATATTAATTATTTCTTCCCCTTCTATTTATTGCTTACTGAAATGCTAAATGAAGCATGGTTTCTTGTTTTATGTGTTTAATAACCTTATCGTATGGTGACATTTCTCCTATTAACAGCATGACATGGAAGAGGTTGGCACTGCGAAACTGGAGGAGCAGGCTTTACAGTTGGAGAAGGATCTCACTTTGAAAGAAAAGGAAACTCTGGATGTTCTAATAGAACTTGAACAAACTAAAAAGGTTATTGATGAGTTAAAAAAGAAGCTACAGAAAGAAGCATCTGAAGTGAATATGGCCCTTGAGACAAATAGAGGTAAGGAATACATGACTCCAGTGGAAAATGAAGACGATAAGGAAAACCATGGGAATGAGGGTGGTCGCTGTAATTCAATGGAAGGTGTGACTCCATGCTCTTCTTCAGCTCCAGGTTTAATCTTAATGGAATTGAAACAGGCTAAGTTGAACCTTACCAGGACTACCACTGATCTTGCTGACATTCGAGCTTCTGTTGAATCATTCAACAAGAAATTAGAGAAAGAAAGAATAATGCTTGAGAAAACCCGTGTGAGGTTAACATCAAATTCTTTGAAAGTATTATCTCTTGAAGAAGAGCTAAAGAAAACAAAACTAAAGCTGCAGTTGGCAAAGGATGCTGAAACTAAAGGTGGTCCTGATAATTCTTTAGATATTTCAAAGGAGCTTCACCGATTGAGTTCTGAGACAGAGCAGTTCAAAATAATGGCAGAAGCTGCAAAGTCAGAGGTCGTGAGAGCAACATCTGAGATTGAACAGACAAGAACTAAGATAAAAACAGCTGAAATCAGGTTGGTTGCTGCCAGAAAAATGAAAGAGGCAGCAAGAGCGGTAGAAGCTGTTGCTCTTGCAGAGATTAAGGCTCTATCATACCACGAGAGTTCATCTGGAGATTCATTGCAGAAGCATGACAGAGTGACTCTTTCATTTGAGGAATACTCATCTCTAACCCGCAAAGTTCAAGATGCAGAGGAACTTTCTAAGAACAGGGTAACAGATGCCATGCTTCATCTTGATGAAGCAAACATATCAAAAACAGAAATCCTGAAAAAGGTAGAGGAAGCAACTGAAGAAGTCAAAACCACTAAAAAGGCATTGGAAGAAGCTCTGAACAGAGTGGAGACTGCAAATAAGGGGAAACTAGCAGTTGAAGAAGCTCTTCGCAAATGGAGATCCCAGCATGGTCATAAAAGACGTTCGGTACACAACTCTACCAAGTTCAAAAATCCACACCCATCCAATCATGGGAGAGATCTGCAATTACGTGACGTAAATGGTCTGAATCTTGTTACTGATGGGCCAATACCCGTTCTGAAGCCAACCTTATCAATAGGACAGATACTAAGCAGGAAGCTGCTTTTGCCAGAAGAGGTTGAAATGGAGGTGGCCGGGAAAAGCCCTGTAAGGCAAAAGATGTCACTGGGGCAAATGCTCCAGAAACAAAATGGCGATCAACCCTTTTCTAGGAGGTCTGAGAGGGAAAGCAATGTCAGGAATTCTTCTGCTAAGAGAAAGAAGTCTGGATTTGCTCGATTCTCACTACTTTTGACAAAGCAAAGCAGGAAAAAGAAGAAGCCAACCCCAAACTTGAAGTGATTCAGCTTTGTCAATCAGCTGACCTCAATCAAGAACTGACTTTAGTTGTGTGTGTGCGCGCGTGTGTTTTTCCTCTCCTCCATCTCTGATTGTTCTTGCTTAAGAATTGATTTGTTTCGTTTAGATGGGAGTTGTTCCCAGACATCTGGTTTTACTTATTATCTATATAGCCTTTATGTATTGGTTGTTAAAATGTTTGTAAAAGACGCGTTTCTATCTAATTCTAAGACTCTTCTCTAGAGCGATGTTTAATCTCTTCCCAGAAAGGTGTACAAACAATTGAAGATAGGCTTCTAGATGGATATTCCAAATTTGTGGTAATTGTTCCTAGTAATCTAATTGTTTAATAACTTCATATGGTGGTCAATGTCAATCGTGCCTTGTACCAAAAAAGCAATTGTTGGTAGAGATATCAGAGCCTGTAAGAGCCAATAATCAATTGGTTTAAAAAGAAAACCAATTGGTATTCATCAAGCAAGCAAATTTGACCAAATTCCGATATAAAAGAATTCATCAAAACAGGCCAACTTCCATTTCAAAAGTTATAACCCTATTTCATCTTATTGATGATTTAATCCCTTTTTTTATTATTATTTTTTTATAATGTGTTTCTGAATAATTTTCATCCAAACAAGAAAAAATAATGGAACAAAAATACTTCTTTGGAATATCCCCTAGTACTTCTTAAGATAACTCACAAACCGTATTAGTAAAAACTTGTCAAAAGAGATGAATCTGCACAATTGTAAAATATGAATTTAAATATAAAATAATGCAATTTTTAATTTTTTTTCACTACCTTGAATAATGATGGGTTGATTGGAATTTGATTTTTACCCAACATTGAGCAAAAATGGACAGAAATACCCTTAACACCATAAAAGAAATTGGCAGAATTTGTGACTTGTTCTTAAATTGCTATAATTATGAAACTACAAGGGTACAATTGGCCAAAATGAAACTAACTAAAGGGGCACAAAAAAATAAAAAAAAGAGATAAACTACAAGGAAAAAAAAAGTGACTTTTAGCTAAGAAAAAAAATCCCCAATTCTAATTGTATAGGCAGGAGATCACAACTTCCAATTTGACACGTTGGAAGCAATCCATGTGGCATGTTGCTTAGCACATAAGAAGCCAAACCCAGATAGGCAGCTGTATAAATAAAGGAAGCAAGCAACCACCAACGACAATTCAACGCATCGCCAACCCCTCAACACTTGGAAGGAAAGAAGCGGAATTTCAAAATCCTGCTTTTTCCACAAACCCAGGTAAATATATCTATCCATCTATCAATCTCCGATTGTTTGGGATTTCAATTCTGCTCCTTTTAGTTTTTCCTGCATCGAAAATCGTTAGATATTTACAAGTATAACTCCAAATCCTGGCTCAAACTTGTTCCTTGTTTTCTTTCGCACGTTTTCTCAGCAGAAAGCACCAAGCTGATTTTAAAGATTTTATTTGATATCTCTCTATCTAGTTTTTCTGTTTTGCTTTTCCTTTCAATGTTTTCGGCATGTCTTGTATTTGGTTATGTATGATTGTTTATTTCGTTGTTCTGTTTCTATGTCGTTGACAAAGTTTCTTGCTTTTGGTCTCTAAGTAAGGTTGTGTTTGTTTGGTTTTTGATGTTATTGCTGTTATGTTTTAACTAGTAATATCATTTCAATTGGGTAATCACCATAAACATGACTAGCAAATCCAAAGAGTGGTGAATTCAGCTTCCAGTAGACTTTAACTAGCTTTTCCTTGCCCAATTTGGTTTGGTGAATTCAGCTTGTTCAAAACTTAGACAGGTGTGTTACAAACAGTATTGAAGTGAGTGATGAATAGAGGGCTATGGCCCTTATCCTAGTTCATTGAGCCCTTGTTGTGTTGATATCTAGTGACATAAGGCAATAATTTCCCATTTTTAAAAGGCACAAAGTATTCTTAGAATGTAATTAGAATGAAGTCACAAAATTCTGATTGGGTCTTCTATCTATTCTTGAACCTTGTTTGCACCTTAAGCTCTCTTGTTACTACATTAAGATTATCTCACTGCCACTTTCTTCGGTTTCTTTATGTTGTGAACCTACATGTATGATCAATTATGGGCTGTCATCGTTTCAAGTACTAAATTTTTTTTTCATAGAGGCCTTCTTATGTTGTTGGATGATTGCAGCTTCAGGCACCATGGATGTGAGAGTTGGGGTCTTAGTTCTTTTTGTGCTGGGAGCTAGTTGGGCTGGTGATGCTAGACAACTGGCAAACCTAAATTTGCCAGGTAAAAAAATCCGCTTTCCAATGAGAACGAAAGTGGAACATGTTTTTGGTAATTCAATTGTCGTTGAAAATCTAGGGTCCCATTGACACCTCAATTTTTCTGGAGAAGTAATTGCTTCTCATGCAGCAAACATATTGCTTAACTAATAGCTTTACTCTCTGATTCAGTTACAAAGACAGCCCACCATATTCAAGAGGTGGAAACTCAAACTTTGCAAGTTTCTGGGGATGAATTTGTTGGGAATGATAATGTGTGCACATTGTGTGAGGAGTTTGCTGCCCAGGCACTTGATTACCTTGGTGAAAACAAGACCCAGACCGAGATCATTGAAACCCTACATCAGAGCTGCTCTCAATTGCGCTCTTTCAAGCAGCAGGTAATTGCCTTTTCTAATTGCGACAATAGTTTTCTAGAAACTGCACATAAACTAAAAGATGTGTCTGGTTAACTGCAGCCATCCCCAAAATTGTTTCTATTAGTTTTTTAGCATGTCAGTACAAATTTACAAGAAGTTTTATAGAGTTCTAATACACTATGAAATTTATTACCATAGGAAGCTTTATAGAATTCTGATAATTATCCCAAGCCCTCTACCTCGGGAAAAAACATCCTGAATGTCTATTTTCTTTTTCTTTTTCTTTTTCTTTTTGTGGGACAGTGTATCACTTTGGTGGACTATTATGCTCCTCTCTTCTTCTTAGAGGTCTCCTCTCTACAACCTAGTGAGTTCTGCTGGAAGGTCAACCTCTGTCAGCAGGTTGCTTTATTTTCTTCACAACTCCGAGAGGATAGCTGTGGATTATGTCACCGTGCTGTTTCAGAAGTATTGGTTAAGTTGAAAGATCCTGATACACAGGTTTGTACGTGCATTATTCATTTAACTAGAAGAAACGTAATTCTGAATTTATCAGATCCAGTAGCTCTTAATGTTTACTTTTCTTGACCTTGACTTGCCCACAAATATTTTTTTTTGTGTGTGTGATTAATTATAATTACCATTATCCTTTGGAACTTACAAGATGGAACCCTGTGCCAGTTTTATAGAATCCTTAAGCTTAAGAAGAAAACTTGAAGCCGTCCATACATCAATCTAAATTCGTATTCCTTCTTTATTAATCACTGATATTTAGGTGTATCCAAAAGGTCACAAACTACTGCACATGTGAATTGAGTTAAATCATGTACCACGCTTGACCCATGCTAGATTTCTGTTATTGGATCCATCTAAGGCCAAATAAATAATAAATTACTCTAAACGTGAAATGCTTTTTATCCTCTTATTGGTAGCTTTTCGTAATTGCCTTCAAGCCCTCTCCAAATCTTGGAAAACCTCCACCACCACCCTTTGCAAAAAGTAGAAGGATATTATAAAGTATACAAAGAGAGGTAGAAACTGTTTTGTAAATGAGCAGCCACTACTTAGATAGACTGACAGAATTGGTTGAGTTGCAAAGCTTACAGATTACACTGGCAGCTTTGAACAATTGTGTGGAATATTTATTTAGGATTTGGGATGTATGTTTTCAGAAATGCTTCTGACTGCAAACATAGATGAGATACCAATACAATTTTGGTAGATATGAGTAATATAGTGATGTTATAAATGCATTGACCTTAAGGAGAACTAAAAAGATGTACCTGAATCCTGAGTGAAAACTTAATAAGGAACTTTTCAGTTGGAGTGTGGGTAGAACATACTGCTGGAATTTCTCTTGATTTTAGCAACTTTGCAATTATTTCTAGTGAGAAATGTCTATGATTACTTATAGTTGACATTTCTTAATGGAGATCCTTCATTCATCCATATACATTCAGAAATATTATATTCCATGAGCCAAGTGGCTTGATTCTACCTAGACAACTTAAATGCTCTCTTTCTTTTTCTGTCAGCTGGAGATCATTGAGTTGCTTTTGAAGGCGTGCAATTCCGTGGAGAACTATGCCAAAAAGGTGAGGATAATTAAGAAAATTAGTCAATATCTATAGTGTGTTTTTTACCAGGAAGTTAGCTTTACTAAAGATTTATTGGCCCCATAATGTTGGACTAGAATATAGCTAGAAGAGAGATTTTCATGAACTGCTGATCAAACTGAAAGTTGATATTCATCATTCAATGTAGTTTCACTGCTTCAGGACGTTCGTTTAGTTCTTCTAATATCCTAAAAAATTTTGGCAGTGCAAGAGGATCGTTTTCGAATATGGACCGTTATTTCTTGCCAATGCAGAGCAGTTCCTTGAAACAACAGACATATGCACTACACTTCATGCCTGCAATTCGAGCGTAGCTAGTACCGAGGAAGCATTGTCAGTGACAGTTGTAACCGTTCTGTCTGACTCTTAGTCTCGGCAACAAAGAGATACTGGAATGATGGAGGAATGATGTATCCATTCTGTCTTGACTGTCTGAATCTTAGTCTTGGCAAAAAAGATACCCTGGAATGGTGTGACTACCACTTCACTTTATGTATTTTTACACTCCCAAGTGCTTGCCTGCGTGCCTGTGCTATTATATATTTGTGACTGGACACATGATTGAACATTTGTTGTAAAATATGTGCTATAAAACTCAAATACTTTTATGAAAATGTTTGATCATGTAACTTCAACTTTCCTTGTGGTGAAATCGAAAAATTACAAAACAGGTCAAATCCATTTCCAGCTCTCATAATCAAAACAGTCATGCATGTAAAAATGACCACCCCATACATAAGTCTAAGTAAGTGTGAGACCAAAAGGTTCGAGCGATGCCAAGTACATGCTTTGGTGTTTCTTCTTTAGGAAAATAAATTAAAGAGAAGAATGGGTAGGACATTTTGTTGGTTTCATGAAGCTTCCCTTGCTGGCCTATTTCCAAACCCACATGTTTTTCAAGTGGTTTGAAAAGTCCAGTGTCCAATCTTTGTTTCATAATTTGGCACAATGAAGCCTCATCATACTAAACTTGGATTTCAATCCTTTTAAATAATTTATCAAATTAATCCATTGTTATATGAAACATCCAATCCGATAGCAGAAGTGTCTCATCCCAAAGGATCCAGTTAAAAAGAAAAGTGGCACATCTTTAATTCTAAATTCTAATCATATACTGAAATCAGGGAGATCTATTGGTGTGATTTATCCATATTTCTAGAACAAAGCATATTATTTTCAAACCAGCCAAGCCAAGGCTATGCTGTAGTTCTTAAAACAAGGTCTAGTTGACCTTTCGACAGTTTGTTCTAATTTGACCACTGGAGCCTGTCAGAGGGCTAAGGCTTCCCATCTTGTTCATCGCTTCGGTAAAGTCTTCCATAAAACTGGCAGCATTATTGGCATACGCATCCACCGCGGTCTTTGTGAACCCACCACTGTATAGCTGCTGGTCTGAGTGCAGCAGCCCCTTCTGGCTCACCACGTTCTTGAAGTAGGCATTGTCGAACGTGGTTGGGCTTGTGACGTCAAGTTGAGACAAAATGTTGTCGCCTGAGCCTCGATTTCCTGGGCACTTTGCTCTCACAGCTGCTGCAAATGAAGCGTTGATATGGGTGTCGTTGTAAAGACGTCCACGGAAGACTGCGCACCTCGCTTGCCCTATAGTGTGAGCTCCTGATAGAGCCACCATTTCTTTCACGGTGAAGCCCTTTTTGGAGAAAGCCGCAATTAGTTTGGTCACATTGGCGAAGGGGCTGGGGAGGTCTTCGGTTGCGGTCAAGTTTGCAGCGGTGGAGTCTCTTCTGCCCATGCCACTGTGTAAGTGGGTCCACCCAGCTGATTAGAACAGAATGGAAGAGATTAGAACAGAACAGAAGAGACTATTATGAAGACAGTAATTAAATTATAGGAATTGAAGGAGATTGTTGGCGGCTTACTGCAACAATGGAATCCCTGGCAGCAACGGCCAGGATGTCAGCACAGGAGACCATGTTGGGGCAGAGGCTCTCCAATTCAGCTTTGATGTTGTCGATTACCTCAAATCCTCTGAGAGAATTGGCATTGGCCACTGACGTTTTCTCTCCTTTAAAGGTTGCCGTGTCGTCCAAAAGCAACGATGCATCACATCCCTGTCATTCAATAATCAAACTGGTTACGTACAAAAAAGAAAAAAGTACATATGCATAATGCATGCATGTATTTCTTAGTATTAGTATGTCATCATTTCAATAAACAGATTTTGCACACAAAAAAAAACTAGTACTAATTTACTAAACATGTCTGAAACTGAAAGTAAGGGTCAAAGCAGATTGTTGAATTGAATCTACTTGAAATTTAAAAGAAACTGAGACAAGAAAGGGTCCCAAACTTACGTTAACAAAACAATCGTGGAAATGCAGACGGAGCAAGGAAGCTCCCATGCGAGCTTCTTTGTACACCGCTGAGTCCACTGCGGATTTTATTGTGGACAGGGCATTGGGGCAGTTTTTGTCATAAAAACTAGCGGATAACCCAGCAGAAGCTACTCCTCCAAGTCCAACACCAACAATGAGGAGAACAAGTGAAAATGAGAGTTTGAAGAAGAAAGTTTGGTAGCAGCCCATGGCTCATTGGCTTGATGTGAGAAGGCTGAGAGAGATAACAAGAGAATTATGTATAGCAAAAGAAGAATCTAGGCTTCAAAGCTTCAAGGCTTGAATGATGTGATGAAGTGCGAGGTTTCAGACCCAACGTATTTATAGCCCGCCCAGTGGCTAATTGGCTTGATGTGATTAAGTGCTTGGAGATGCTATCAATTGACACAAATTTACCTATTTACGATCAACGTTTAACAATTGACACAATGTAACACTTAGTCCTCACCTCACTCAAACGACGAATTGGGAATTAGGTGGTAGACTTTCTAATGTTGGAAAATTCTCATATAATTACATAATATATTTGCCCCATTGCTTTTTTTTTCTTTTTGTGGGTGGGGGTGTTCGGTTGCATTTGTCCCTTGGCTAGTCTTTGTACCATTTTCTCATGTTTTACATTTTACAACTGAAAAGCAGTAATTTTTTTCTTCTCTCTCCTTGTTTTACTCCATCTTACTTCGTCTTATGACCTTTCAAATTTCACACAAGTTTGCGTTTGGATTTTGCTAAGCCAACTATCTTTTAATCAAAACCTAGATGGTAAGATCCAGTCGAGTGCTCAAACCAACTCTGCCCGCTTAAGGACCCGCTTAAGAAAGATAGGCATGATCCAATTCCAGTTCGTGATATATATTTTTAAAATTATTATTTTTATTACAACCCTAGCTAGCTAGCTAATACTACATTTTTCTGATGACTTTCCTCATTGAACTCTAATTTAATCAGTTTTTTAACTTGAACAGCCTCCAGCTTATCTTTAATCACCACTTAGATGGTAAGATCCAGTCGAGTACTCAAACCAATTTAAGTTAATCACAGCAATGTTTAACAAGTTGGAGATGCTATCCAGTCAAGTAATACTAATAACCAAACCAACTTACGACAATCAAGGTTTAACAATTAATCCACACTCAAACGACCAAAAAAGAATAGGGAATTAGGTGGTGGGACTTTCTAAAGCTGGAAAATTCGATATTAACAATTGATGACTGCTTTGAGATTGAGTGCAACGTTTAACAATTTACGATCACGATTCACATGCATGTTTATGCTCAAATCCTCTATTTAGAAAACCTACTCTAAATTTCCCACCACTACTATAAAAATCGAAACAGATGACGGGAAACCACCGTCGTGTAAAAGGTTTTCCAACCGTCGTGAAATCGACTGCCGTCTATTTGGGTTTCAAACTACGACGGCTTTTCACCGTCGTTGTTTATCAGTAAAAACGACGGTGTTTAAATAAAATCGTCGTTGTTTAGAGGTAAAGATCGTTAATTATAGGAGGAAAGACGACTATTTTTAATAAAATCGTCGTGTATTGTATGTAAAGATGACGGTTTTTTAATAAAACCATCGTGTATTGTATGTAAATATGACGCTTTTTTATGAAAACCGTCGTGGATTGTTTATAAAGACGACGGTTTTTATAAAAAAAACTGTCGTCTTTACATACAATAGATGACCCTTTTTTTTAAAAAAGGTCATCTTAACCTATAATAGACGACACTTTTTTATAAAAAAACTGTCATTAATTATCTATAAAGACCATGATTTATTATAAAAACCGTTGTCTAATAAGTTTCCAAACTGCTACATTTTAGCTCTTTTTTATTTCCTATGATGCTATACAACGATTTTAACTAGAAAACCAACCATAATGCTTTATTAATAGATATATACACTTAAAAATAGTTTCTTTCATAAAACTTGAAGATTCAATAGTTATTACATATAGTTAACCAATCTTTATTCTACAACAAACATAATTCCTAACAAGACCTAAGTACTCCTAATCCAAGCATTCCTCATCCAAACATACAAATGATGCACAACTGAAGTCTCCTCCATCATCCCTGTAAATAAATCAAAATGACAAAGAGAGAAAAAAAGTTAAGATTATAAACATAAAAAATTAGGTGGAAGAGAAATTTTACCATTGGTCCATATTTCCATTGAAAACTTGTAAAATGAGCATAAAAAAGATCATCGAGAACCTGCAAAAGGATAAATATATAAATAAAATGATGGTGAAAAGAGAAGGTAACAAATTTTCAACAACAAAAAAACATACGACTCACATAGAAAACCTGCAAAAGAAAAAGTTATAAATCTGCAAGCTTCCTCATCATCTCCTGATAACCAAATCAGAAAATTTAAAAAGAAACCAGAAATATAAAAAAATATGCAAACAAACCAGACAAATCAAGAGAGACAAAATCTGAAATTAGGGAAACAAAGAACATGCAAGAAACGCAAAGAGACTAATCTAGAATTCACTAGCAAGATATAGAAGGGTAGTTTAGAGAGTTTCATGAGGGTGTTTTAGAGAGTGCAGGAGGGTTTCAAGGAGGGAGAGATAAGGTTTTCAGAGACGGAGGAAAATCTGAAAATTTGTTGAGCACAAATTCACTTAAGTAGCCTTTTTTTAGCGTGTTTTAAAAGACGACGCTTGTTAATGAGAGATAAAGACGAGTGAAAATTTGAAAATTTGTCGAGCGCAAATTCACTTAAGCGGTCATTTTTTACGTGTTTCAAAAGACGATGCTTTTTAAAAAAAGATCGTCATCTTTACATATAATAGACGACCCTTTTAAAAAAAAAGGGTCATCTTTACATAAAATAGACGACCCTTTTTAAAAAAAAACCGTCGTCTTTACTTCATAAAACAGTGAAAGCAGAAGGGACGTAGTGGGAATTTGCAATTTTGTCGTCCGAGCTTTGATTGAGGTCCATGATACCTTTCTGAAAAGGGAATGGAGCCAGGAATCAGACTTAGTGCTTTGCACTGATATATGGTGGTTTTTGGCCATTTGAGGTCGTTTAGCCTTCCAAAAATGCATTTAAAGAGTTGAAAGTAAAGAAGACGGTTTTTTTTTTAAAAGAGTCGTCTATTATAGGTAACAAATTTTCAAATTTTCACCCGTCTTTGAAAGGACACTTGATTTTTTTAAAACGACGCTTATCATACCTGCTGTCGTTGTTTTTTTGGTCAGATTTGAACTCTGAAAAAAACCTTTTTAATAAGACGACGCTTTTTTATTTGTGTGCGTCGTTATAAAAAAATATTCAACAGTACCTCCATTTTTTAGTTGTTTAAGTCACTTATCCACGACGGTTTTTTTGTTACAGTCGTCTTTTTAAATACAACGACGGTTTTTTTCTTCTACCATCGTCTTTTTCTGGTCGTCTTTTTCACTTTTTGTAGTAGTGCACTTTGACTTGTCTTTCAATTCTCCAGAATTTGTTTAATTTCTTTTTCTTTATCCCTTTTATAATTTATTCTTCATTTTATGTTAGTTGCTCATGTTGTATTAGCTAGAGAAAGACGCAAACTCCTTCGTACCTTTTGATGTATCCTATTGTAAGCGTGGAATGAAACTCCAAGTTTAGGCTGAGTAATTATAGCTTCATTTAGGTTTCTCAAAGCAGTGATATGCTAATTACAAAGAAATAATTGGAGGTCAAGATGAGCCCTTTGTTTTTAAGACTCTGAAATCTTTATTTATCCCAAATACAACTAGGCATATCATTTAAACATGACTCGTGATAATTATTTACCGATATACCTGGTGGTATGTAAATTAAAAAATACTTTTATTAATGGACTTGTAATAATCTGACCATATTGGTGCCTGTGAGAGGGCTAAGGTTTCCCATCTTCTTCGTAGTTCATACCATTGGCAAAAAAAATCTGCCCCGCGTACGTATTTCTCATGTTTTACATCTTACAACTGAAGCAGTAGTTCAATATGGTTCTCAAGTAGATTGATCTGTCACAAAATGTCAAACGCTTTAGCTACTTGTCGCTACCATTTTCTCAATAAGGTAGCTACACTGTCAATCGCCTTATTCAGACAGATTTGGGCTGTGAAAGTTTAACTTTTACTTAAGAAATTTCAACAAGGTCTCTTTTTTAAGACAACGCGGTATTCTTAAAACGAACAGGGTTGGATATATATGTATCAAATTCCCAATTTTGTTCTTTTTGCCTCAGCCCTTTTCAAATTCTTGATTCCATATACATGGTGTGAATATTAATTTCACATTTTTAAAGTAATTATCTTACTATTTTGGATGGCTCACTTGTTGTTTGTAAGTTGATGAGCACTTATTCCATATTAACAATTCATGACAGCTTTGAGAGCAACATTTAACAATTTACAATCACATCCATCTTTATGCTAATCTGTCATGGAGAAGTGACTTCAATTAGAAAACCTACTCTAAATTTGCTACTTTGATATGTACTTTAATTGTTTTGTGTTGCAATGCGTTTCTATAATTTCAGCTGTGCCATGTAGGGCTCGTCAATGCACTGGGCCGGGCCGGGCCGGGCTTTAAAGAGGAGAGAGAAAATATCGGGCCGGGCCGGGCTGGATTTTATTAGAAAATTCAAAGCCCAAGCCCGACCTATGAGCCCGACGCTTGAGAAAGCCCATTGGGCCAGGCCGAGCTAAGCCCAACGGGCCGGGCCTAAACGGGCCTACTTCATTAAAAAAAAAGTCATAAACTTAAATCATAAGGGCATTTTAGTCCAAATTTGAGATTAAACTCACTTAATTCCAATATTTTCACATCAAACCAAATTCATAAAACACCCAATAAAGTCACACAACTTAATAAGATTTGCCACAAAAATAATAAAACCAAGTATTATTTTTTAGGTTATTACATAATTAGACCGTAATACGTTTTAAGAAATCATTTCAAAAAATAATAAGTATCAAAAAAATATTTTTTTTAAAGGATGGTATGAATAAATATGCAAATATTTGGTGATGTGTTCAAGAAAAGCATGATTATATTTGGTGGTACGATTATGTTTCGTGATATGATTATATTTGGTGATGTGATATGTTGTTCATCTTATTTTTATAAACTAGGAATGACACAATTAATGTGCTAATCATCCAATTATAAACTAGGAATGAGTAAAGAAAAGTAAATGAAATGAAAAAAATTAT